AAAGCTTTTTCTAAGTCGGTATTTCTATCGGTAGTTTAGCGTTAGATAGACGAGGATTAGGCGCCTTTTCGAAAAGCGTTAAACGAATTACGCTTAGCGTAAGTTTCCGCCGAGTCGTTTTAGCTCTTATCTACGAAAATAACCGCGATACTAACTAAGTAGGATCGTTTCGGCTTTAAAGAGGCGGTACGTATATACTTTACGCGTAAAGAAGTACTTTAATATAATTTTAATTATCTCGTAACGCTTAATTCGCTAGTTATTTAAACGTACGTTATTTATTACGGCCGAGGAACGTTAAACGCGCTTAACGACTTAGCCGGTAACCTTTCCTTTAAGCTATTACTTTATATAAGCGCTTAAGTAATATTATTACGTAATATTTCTTCCGAAATACGGCTTATAAATAATTCCTAAGGCTTTATTTACGATATAAGTTAAGCGTAAGGCGCTAATCCTAAACGTAAGCCGCTAATAGTAGTTATAATAGCTTTCGACGATTACGACGGGCCCGGGTTTAAAGATACTTAAGGAAATAAGCTACGCGATTCTCGAGGAAAAAAGGTAGTACTAATATTATACGAGCGCTAGGAGTTCGATTATAAAGGTATCTCCTATATACGAGAATAATTCCTCCTAATTATTTCATACGTAATAACCGTTTATAAAGCGTAGGATATTATTATTCTTTACGCTATCGTTAGAATTATAGAAAAGGAATTCGCGTTAGGGTTAAATTACGTCGCCTACTCTAGGGTTATCTCGTTATAAGGCCTAATATTCGACGAGCCGTTTTATAGGAATACGGTATATAAGGAGTTAATAAATGGTAAGTTTCTTTTTACGTTCGTTAATATTTAAGCTAATATATATTTCGTAGGCATAAAAGCTAAGCTAGAAGATAGAGATCTTCGTTTACGTATATAGCTATTTATTTAACCTTTATACCTATTACGATATTCTTATAAATAACGTACTTTAGCGCTATAGATAATAAGTAAAAGTAACGTATATACGTTAATTTTATTGAGCGAATATAATTTATAATACTTTAATTAATCTCTATATAGCTAAACCGCGTAAAAATAAAGAATACGGATATAAAAGTAGCGTAGATATACCATTTTCTATATAGGAGTACGTTTTTCTTACTTTAATTACGGAGCGTTTCCTAAAGTACGCCGCTCCTTCCTAACGTATAAAGATATCGCGACTTCCTTAGTAACTAACGCCGTGCCTTCCTTTAATCGCGACTTCTTATAACGCTTCCTTATTTACGAAATAAAATAACTTATTTCCTACTATTAATTACTTTTATTATTTCCTTTCCTTTTTTCTTACGCCTCCTACCCCTTCTATAACTACGTAAATTTAAACCTTCGTATATAGCTAATTAAACTTAAAACGAACGCTAACGATATTTCGTAATTTTTTATTTAATGAAATAAGATTAAAGTAATTAAAAAAAGTAAGAAATTTAATACGCGCGCGATAGATTTAGCTAATTAAAGTAATATCTAGGATTTCGATTACCGAGCTCGCTAACCTAGGCTTCGATTAGCTATCGGCTAACAACGCCCGCCGCGTAGTTAGTATTAATATTACGATAAGTAATATTAGCGGTTTAGCGGCCGCCGGCGGCGGTAGCGACCCTTTTCCCTTTAATATACCCTATAAAGTAAGTTATATTTTACGAACTTTATAGTATGAAAAAAAGTACGCGATTAAGTAATAATATACGTAGGCGTTAATTTTATTATATAGAATCTACCTATAAACCGAGTCCGCTTCCTTATTAGTAGCGACGACGACGACGACGACGACGATAACGACGACGGTAGCGACGACGGTAACGACGACGACGGCAACGAGGAAAAAGCGTTACCTTATAAGGTATACTTTAAACAAATTAATCGATTATAAGCGAACGCTTACGTAAAAAGAACCGGTATATAAAATAGCGTAAAAAACGCGAAAAGTTACGTATACGCGATAATTAATAAGTATAAAAGATAATCGCTACTACTACTACTATAAGGGCTACTACGCCTACGTTAAGGTACCCCGGAAGGCCGAGCTAAAGCTCGTTAAATTTATGGAATTAAAAAAAGCTTTCGATTCTAAAAAAATTAATAAAAAGGTACGTTAATACGTAATAAAATACGCTAGCGTAGAAATTCTAATTTAAAGTAAGCTTTTAATAAAGTCTATAAGAAAACTAAAAAGGCAATCCGAAAGACGGAAGAGCGGGTTATAAAGTAATAAGGATTAGATATTAACGCTCTTTCTAGTAACGAATTATTACGAGAAATCCTACGTATATTACGAGAAAAAAATACGGATACGTAGAAAAAAGTAGAAAAGAAACGTAAAAAGAAGTAATAAAGATATAAGTTTAAAGGTTTCGTAGTTTTATTAGGCATAGCGCCCTTTTTTAATATAGAAATTACGTACCTACGTAATTTTAACTTTAAAAAAATTTTTCTATACTAGATTTCTTTTATGTTTTATTCTTCTTAAATTCGTTTTACTATATACGTTTTTTATCGTAAATAATATACGATTTACTTAATATAATATGCGTTAACGTAAAAATTTAAACTAATTTCGAATTTATAAAAGATAGTTTCGTATAAATTATAAGTTTTCTATATATAATTTCTTACGTTTTCTAGGTTTTCTATAATAAATAAAGTTCGTAGCTCTAAAAATCGGTATTAAATAAACTAAGTATACTTTCTATATCTCTTTATCCTCCGGATAGGTTATTATTTTTAGCGTTTACGTTAAAAATAAGCCCGAATTATTCTACGAAGCAGAATAATTCGGGCCTTATTTTAATTACAATACCTACCTAGAGGTACCTAGTCATTATAGCAATGTTATACTCGGTTGGATACGCCGACAGGGGATCGCCCGCTGGTAGACATGCATAGCTACGTATAGCGGGTGCCTTACCTACGCGACGATGGTGTATTGCATTATGTAAGTACCCAGATACCTATCTCTGCCTACCCGGTGGTCTACAGGTGGTTACAGGTATCCCGTCACCTACCTAGGTACCTTAGGTACCTACCTACACCTACCGTAATACATATAGACTCCATAGGCACATCTACCCTTACGTCTTATAAGCATACCTAGTCGTAACTATAAGTATATCGATCGTAGCCTCACCCGCCGGGCCATTGAGAAGCGGCCTGCCTCTCCGCCGTCCGGGCTCGTAGGTTCTGTGCTCGGATGGATGTGAGGTAACGTCAGGTGTCAAGGTACAGTACCTAGGTAGGTACATTATTCCTCCGACCTGACCCCGCCGCACGCACGGGCCAGAGCGGCCAGGGCGGGCGAAAGGCACCGAGCACTAAAAAAAACCCTAGGGAAAAAACCTGGCCGCGTCCCCACCTCCGAGGATCCACTCCGATTCCCCACTCCGCTCTTGCTGGTGAGACAGCTTGACGTCATACACCCCACAAGCCGTCCCGGCTTTTCTTCTTGAGTGGCTGCACTAAGGGAAAGTACCTGACGTGCCCAAACTACGTACCTCGCTAGGTATATGTCGACTATACTTAGTAGGAGGTGCTACCGTACGGGTACCTGAGATAGCAGATTAAGTACCTGGCCTGCCTGCCTGCCTTCTCTGCCTTACGTAAGGTACCTATTGTTGCGAGTTCCTATCTCCATTTGGCATCTGACAGTACCTCACGCTAAACCTCACGTCTTCTATCCTTCACCCTTCTCGTTTCTCCGTACCTAGTTGGACTACTCGTCGTAGACTACTGTGCCCGCTCGTACCGCTCTGCTTGAGCCGGTTGATCGCCTCCTTTCCGGCTACATACAGCAGTAATAGCAGCAGCTAGCCAAACAAGATCTGGCTGTCCATGCAGCAGCAAGGCGGGCTGCTGCTACGTAGATGGTGAAATGGACCGCATGCCACTCAATCCCAAGAGCCTTCTCGGTCCGACCCATCGCTGATCTTTACGTTGATCGATCCTTGGCCGCGAGGTCCTAGATAACTTCGTCTCTAACCGCCGGGAGGGGAGTGTCGACAGCACCGGCCATCGTCATTATCTCACGCCGACTAGAGTAGAGAGGCACCAACCTGCATAACCACCGCCGACGAACCAAAATGTACGGACGCCGTACACATCCCCATATAGTACAAGAGCTAGCTAGGCCGCCCACGCCTGTTCGGCTGCTTTACCTCGGGCCTGATAGCTGATGCCGAGATGCCGCTGCGAAAACAGCGCGCCGCGCCTTGATACGGCAGATCACCTCCACATTTAGCGACGGCGTCGTCCCATACGCCGCGAGGCTAACGCACCTCCCAAGATGTGACGAGGCCGGTCTGTATTAGTCCAGCCAGCTGTAACATGCAATACCCACACGTGTAGATGGATGTGTCAGTGTGTGCTCGTCCGTACAGTCGCAGGAATGCATAGGTGCATCATCACCCAGACAAAGACCCTGCCATCGGGCGGATCGTGGAAGAAGGGTCCCTTTATCGAAGATGATGTAGCACGTCGGGACCTGCAATACCGAGGGCCAGTCGCGAGTAGAGAGGCCACCCACGCCATACCTCCACAATGCTGACGTTGACGACTGCGAGGGCCTAGCTCAAACCTACAGAGGCCAGAGTGCGAGTGCGAGTCCCCTAAGTTAGGAACCCGATGTCCGTCCCTACGCGTCAGATCCGCGCGAGTTGGCTAGCTCGATATCCTCCGAGGAGGTATCGACTAACTAACCAGAGGCAGCCAACTCAAACCTGCTATTTGCATGCTAGTCCGTCTCGAATGTGTGGGAAGATCCACGCCGTATGTGTTCTACTACCCATCCATGATCCAGATATATACCCAAGGTATGTCAGCACACATCATTGTACATGTATCGGGCTACGGGGACATGTATCCAGGACCGCTTTGATGGGTCGATCGATTATTCGCCGCTGGACGTTTACGTAAACGCCTCAAGGTAAATAGATGCACAGGTATATAGGTATGTCCATCTCCCCTTACCCAACCGACCCCCAATCCTTTCTTCTTCAACTTGCTCTCTACGCTTCAGTTGTCCGATACTGGTTCGGGACATCGTCTACAGTCATAGAATCTCGTTCTTCCCGGTGATTATCCTCTCACTTTATAACCATGACGTTAGAACCGACCCGGCAGCCTACCGCCCACCGCGGCAGCTTCGTGGAGGAGATCGAAACTGCCCGGACCGATCTCGCTCGCAAGCTGCTTGTTAGTGAATTACAGTCAAGCCCATCCGAGTCAGAAAGAGTCCCATCCCTGAGCCCTACGACCAGTGCCACGTCTACGGGTCCGGACTCGGATGTAGCCGATTCACCCATCACCACTCCTGTCGACGACGATCTTGTCGCGGACAGCTTTGCCTTTGCCTTTGATATTGACGGCGTCCTTGTGAGGGGTGGCCGGCCCATCCCCGAGGCCGTCCAGGCTATGAAGGTCTTGAACGGAGAGAACAAATACGGGCTCAAGATGTCAGTAGGGCCCTTGATCTGTACACCGACGCAGAGCTAACCTTACCACAGCCCATATATATTCTTGACAAACGGTGGCGGCAAAACAGAGGCGGAGCGTTGTGGCGATCTGTCTCGCCAACTGGACGTCGAGATCTCGCCGGCACAGTTTATCTGCGGCCACACGCCCATGTCCGAGATGGCTAGCAAGTACAATACCGTCCTCGTCGTCGGCGGCGAGGGCGAGAAGTGCCGTTCTGTCGCCCAGGGCTACGGATTCAAGGATGTCGTAACTCCTGGAGATATCATCAAGGCTAATTCCGCCACTACGCCCTTTCGAAAGCTCACGCCGGAAGAGCACCGTAACTCGAGAGAGCGTGATTTCAGCAAGGTCGTCATCGAAGCCGTCTTCGTCTTCGCCGATTCGCGCGACTGGGCTGGCGACCTGCAGATCATCATCGACCTAGCCATGTCCAAGGGCGGCCGCGTCGGCACCCTCTCGGAGACCTTTGACGAGGGCCCGCCCATCTTCTTCTCCCACAACGATGTCGTCTGGTCCGCCGCCCACGACAACGTACGCCTAGGCATGGGCGCCCTGCGGGGGATCGTGGAGTACACTTTCAAGGAAGTCACCAAGGGCAAGACGCTCCACACGCACGCCTTTGGCAAGCCGCAGATCGGAACCTTCGAATTCGCTACCCGTCTGCTCAAGCGGTGGCGGAGGAATGCGCACCGCCTGGATGCCCCCCCGGACACGGTCTACTTTGTCGGCGACACTCCGGAGAGTGACATCCGAGGGACGAACCAATTCAACGAGCAGGCCGAGAACGACTGGTACAGCATCCTGGTTAAGACGGGCGTCTACCAAGACGGGACCGAACCGGCCTATAAGCCCCGCGTCACCGTCGATACGGTGCTAGATGCCGTAAACCACGGTATCGAGCGCGAGATGCAGCGGAAACGAGAGAGGGCCCAGGCCCAAAAGCCCCGTCTGGTTGACATGCCTACGCTGAGGCTAGAAGGGACAAAGGACTGCGCCGTCTTTAGCCCCACCGAGGAGTGCTCCATCGAGCTAGATGCTTCCGCATCATGACGACCACGACGCTCACGGCAGTATCCTTCTCAGAATCTCCAGGAGAGAAAATCGTATACTTTTATGATACCATCACTGAATATTCACAAGCTGCCCGGCGCAGCATCTTGGGCTCTTAGAGGGTTTTCGTTTTTTAGATATGCCATCGAAGTTCTTGTACAGCCGCCGCTGCAACTTTGTAAGAAGGCGAGAGGATGATCACAACCACGTACGTCTCCGCAGAGGAAGACTGCCCAGTAGAAAACTACACCAGGCGGCGTCAGGGATACTTATTTCTGAATATGCACCAAAATTTGACTTGTACCTAAGTTTCGCTTTTCTACGCTCGGCTCGTGTGCGCTGCTTACGGACTCGATGTCTACCTGTGATGTTTACTAGGTGCTAGAATTTTCTAGAAATAGGCTCGGAAAAGCGATGCGTAACAAGATCGCATAAAGTATTTGGTTCTATTCTTGATGGTACCGATTATACAAGTCGAACTAGCGGCAAGGCACGCTCGGGCGACCACACGTAGACACGGGTTGACCAGATAAAGCTATCGTTACACTGATGACCGAGAGCAGCATCATACAATACGAGTCAATCCCACCCAGCCACCCTATCCTTAAGCACGGGCGTGGTGGCAGGTAGAGGGACCCAGCAGCCTGCTAGCGAGATAGCAGGAGGGGGAGGGTATGTAAGCTGTGCCTCATTGCCATGTCAATATTACTCGATCGCCAACCCACCCCCGTCTGTGCGGCCGGCCGTCGATCCTATCTATCCTTCCCCTATCTGCTTCCCGACTCCGTGCTCGCCACTCGGGGAGAAACTGGTTGCGGATGGCGGGATTGGCAGGTTCCCTCCCTCCCAGCTTTCTAATCTCCTCGTGCTGCCCCGTCCCGTCGACCTCGCCGCGTGAGAAAAAAAAATGACTTCCTAGGTGCTGTCCAGAGGCCAGCCGATAGAGACCGGTAGACGGGCGAAGCGGAAGGGCAGTGGCAAAACAAGGAGGAGGAGGAGGAGGAGGAGGAGGAGGAGGGGTTCCTGAGAATATATGGCCAGGCAGGGCGGTATTCACTGCAAGTTGACGAAGAGGCCGCCGTCGACGAGCAGCTGGGCGCCGGTGACGTAGCCGCTGAGGTAGTCGGAGGCAAGGAAGACGGCGGGGCCGGCGAGGTCGCGGGGGTCGCCGGTGCGGCCGAGGGGGATGCGGCCCTCCATGTAGGCGCGCTTGGCGGGGTCGGCGAGGTCGGCGTCGTTGAGCTGGGTGCGGACGGTGCCGGGGAGGAGGGCGTTGCAGCGGATGGCGTGGGGGCCGAGGGCGACGGCGCAGCTCTGCATGAGCGACAGCACGCCGGCCTTGGTGGGCGTGTAGTGGGCCTGGCGGCCGCCGCCGACGAGCGCGGAGATGGAGCTGACGCCGATGATGGCGCCGCGGCCGCCCCCCTCGGCCGCCGGCGCCGGCGCCTGCGCCGCCATCTGCTGCGCCGCCGCCTGCACCACGTAGAACGCGCCGTCCAGGTTCGTGCGCACGGTCCGCGCCCACAGGTCGCCCCCCAGCGTCAGGAACTCGGCGAACTCGCAGATGCCCGCGTTGCTCACGCACACGTCGAGCCGGCCGAAGCGCGCGACGGCGTGCCGCACGAGCGCCGGCCCCGTCGCCGGGTCGGACACGTCGCCCGCGAGGTGGTCGAGCACGCCGACGTCGCCGGCGGCCGCGGCAGCCTCTGCCAGCGCCCCCGCCTCCCGCTCCAGCGACGCCAGGTGCCCCGCGTCCCGCGCCAGCCCCAGGTGGTTCACCACCACGTTGCAGCCCTGCCGCAGGTACTCGAGCGCGATGGCCCGCCCGATGCCCGTCGTGCCGCCGGTGATGATGGCGGTCTTGCCGCGCAGGAGGCCGGTCGGCGACATGTTTCGGTCTCCTTCTCTCTTCTCTCTCTTTCTCTGTCTGTCTGTCGGTCGGTGCGCGTGCGACGAGTGATCTACCGGCCCTGTCTCGGGGGGGGTAGGAAGAGGGGAGGGAGGGGAGGCAGGTAGAGCTGGCGCCGTCGATTAGCGGAAGAACTTGGGGCTCGAGCGCGATGGACGCCTGGACGGACGGAACGGGCGGATTGGATGGGAGGGGAGGGAAGCGGGTGGAGGGGGGAGGGGAGGGCGTCAGGGTCCCGCTGGCGGGGTGCGCGAGGTAAGCTCGGGATCGTCGTCGGTCGACCAGGCAGGTGGACTCACAGGATGAAGCGAGACGGGATGTCTGGGTGAAGACAAAGGGGAGGGAGGACGAGGAATAAAACTTGCACAGCGGCTGATTCCTACCGTGGCGGTGGTCTTTTTGAGTATTATTGCGGACGATTCCGCATCTCGTCGAACGCTATACCGTCGTCGCATTGATACCTACCCTTACCGCGGCACCGCAGCTTCGGACACATTAATTATTAGCCCTCGCACCAGAGCCGAGAGGAGGGGGGCGGGTCTCGTCGCTATCCCCGTAATATCGATGACCCCCCTAGCTCGCAGGGCCGGGTCCCTCAGCTAACCCCACGATCTCGGGGCAATGGCCAGCGAGCTCTGGCCGGGAACTTGGCAGCTCAACCGATTGTCGACTTATTCCGGGGGCTGTCCGCCGGAGACACGGATGCGAGCAGTGGTGGTGTTATTATTAGACACCGCTGCGAGTACATACCTACGTGCATACCTACCTACATGCGCACATGGTAGGTAGGTACAGACTCTCTCGGGAGAGGGACTGACGAGAACGCCACGCAGCCGATCCCTTTTCTGCGCCAGGCCCCATCCTGGGGACATGGCGCCTGCATCTCTCTCTCTCTCTCTCTCGGCGTCGCGTCTTCGCGTCGCCTCTCTTACGCCGACACAACCTTGCGTTATCTCGGAAGACTAGGAAGACTAGCGGTCGCTAGTGTGGGTGTGTATGCGTGCGAACGCGCGGTCGTTGATGTGTTATTCAGCGACAGCTCCCCGTCGTCGCCGAGGAGGGGGGAGACGGGACGGCCTGGCCACAGACGTCTTCTACGGCAGACAGATACTTTTCACGGGCTGGCGGGGTATATACACAAGCACGGCATCATAGAAGTCCCGCAGGCGGAGCGGGCTGCCTATAAGAGCTGCAGCTATGCGTCGAGGCCAGTGTAAGCACTCCAGACTTGCAGCAGGTTATCGCTCTCGTGACTAGGGCCGGTACGATGCGAAGCCCAGCACGGATGTGGGGAAGTAGGTAGGGAGAAAGGAGCATGGGAGTGCGAGGAGGGGAGGAGGAGTGAGGGTAGAGACTGCGTAGCAACGCCTTACTACGTCGTACTAGGCACCGACGGGGTGGGGAGGGAGCACGACGGCCTCAGTCGCGTCGGGGGATTGGCCACCGATCCGCGCGGGCTTGGGGAGCGAGAGAGGGCGGGGGGGATCGACTGAGATGACGGATCCGGGTTTGCCATGAAACAGGGTGTCCGAGCTGCCACCTACGTCGTATACACGCCTACTACACACAGACACACGCGCATACGCATACGCCTCCCTGGTTTGTGCGGAGCAGAACCGCTCGCCGGGGACGAGAGAGCGACGAGCAAACGAGAGGGCAGCGGGGAGGACGGAGAGGACAAGGGAGGACGAGGACGACAGGGAGGACGGGGAGGACAGGGGACACGGGGGAGCTAGAACGTTCCCATCCGTCGAGCTAACCACCCCACTGGCTAACGGCGCTTCTCGGCCTTGGATGTCGTCTGCTATTCCGAACAGTTCAGGCAAGGTCGCTGTTGGGGATGCCGAGTTCGAACGAATTCCCGTCTTCCACCTGGCTCGCTGCCTACGTATTTATATTCCCGGCTTCTGCGCCTGTCTTTGTCTCTGTCTCTGCCTCTCCGTAACCTCCCCCTCCGCCCCTCTCTCTCTCCTCTGCCGTTTTCACCACCGACTTTTGTAAAAGCTGGGCGCCCAGACATACCCACCATACGCATACTAGTAGGCGTGCTGTGTTCCTGTTCTTCTCGCGCTACGACGACCATCCTGCAAGGCCGAGACCCCTCCTCGCAATGGCCGCGGTGAGACAGTTCCCCACCATCAAGGCCATACGGTCCTACGTAATCGATGGCGTGGGTTCAGGTACGTCTAGCCCCAGTAGCAGCGGCATGATGGGGATTCAGTAAGCGGCCGGGCCGACTAACTAACCTGCGCGTCGTAGGCGGCGATTATCACAACGTCAAGGGCGGTCACTGGTACGTTCCGGACAGCCCGACGGGGCGTCCCGTAGGGCCCAGTGGGGGCTCGAGACGATGCTAACGAGCTGCCGGACCGCGCAGGCTGATCGACACCGACATCTCTACGCCGTGTTCTATCTGGGACCAGTACAAGAAATCGCGGACCAGCTGGGGCATCAACGTCCTCGGGTCGTTCCTCGTCGAGGTCGAGGCCAGCGATGGCACTGTCGGTTTCGCCACGGGCTTCGGCGGTAGGAACATATCTGTCTTATAGCGTCCTACCTTTCGAGGTTCTTCTCACTTACATGCAGCGCATGCTGACGAGTCGCGTTGCTCTTCCCCCCCCCTCTCTCTGTCTAGGCCCTCCCGCGTGCTGGATCGTCCACAAGCACTTCGAACGGTTCCTGATCGGGGCTGACCCTAGAAACACGAACCTGCTATTCGAGCAGATGTACCGGGCTTCCATGTTCTACGGCCGCAAGGGCCTGCCGATCGCCATCATCTCGGTCATCGACCTGGCGCTGTGGGATCTGCTCGGCAAGCTGAGGAACGAGCCGGTGTACAGGCTCATCGGCGGCGCCGCTCGGGAGCGCATCAACTTCTACTGCACCGGGCCGGAGCCGGCGGCGGCCAAGGCGATGGGCTTCTGGGGCGCCAAGGTGCCGCTGCCGTACTGCCCGGCCGACGGCCACGAGGGCCTGCGGAAGAACATTGCGTTCCTCCGCAAGCACCGCGAGAGCGTCGGCCCGGACTTCCCCATCATGGTCGACTGCTACATGAGCCTGAACGTGCCGTACACGATCGAGATCGCCAAGAAGTGCGAGGACCTCGACATCAACTGGTGGGAGGAGTGCTTGACGCCCGACGACACCGACGGCTTCAAGCAGATCAAGCAGGCCCACCCGACGCTCAAGTTCACGACGGGAGAGCACGAGTACTCGCGGTACGGCTTCCGCAAGCTGATCGAGGACCGCACGCTCGACATCATCCAGCCGGACGTGATGTGGCTCGGGGGCCTGACGGAGCTGCTCAAGGTGTCGGCGATGGCGGCCGCGTACGACATCCCCGTGGTGCCGCACGCGAGCGGGCCGTACAGCTACCACTTCGTCATCTCGCAGCCCAACACGCCCTTCCAGGAGTACCTGGCCAACTCGCCCGACGGGAAGAGCGTGCTGCCCGTCTTCGGGGACCTCTTCCTCGACGAGCCCATCCCGACCCGGGGCTACCTGACCGCGGCCGACCTCGACAAGCCCGGCTTCGGCCTGACCATCAACCCGGTCGCGCGGTCCAAGCTGATCCCGTCGCAGTACCTGCTGACGCCCCCGCCGGCCAACGTCCTGCAGACCGCCACAGGGCTGCCCGAGCCGGAAGCCGCCGCGGGCTCGAAGGCGGCGGCGTCGTCGTCGTAAAAACATCTGTCAAGTAATTACCTACCTACGTCCCGATATTCAAACGACGGCTTGAAAGTTTACCCACCCACACCGACTGTTGTCGCTGCTGAGAGCTTCGTACGTGTACGTGCGCGTGCGGAACCTGAGTTCGGGCGGAGGCGTGTACGTAATGTGACCGAAGAGAGTAGCATGATGAAGAGGAGGAAGACGCGGGAGAAAGAGGGCGACATGGCCCCATATACCTACCTACCTACCTACCTACCTACACAGACACACCTGACAGCGGCAGCAGCAGCAGCAGCAGCAGCAGCAGCAGCACAGCTCGGTCGAGGCGCCGGGGCGCCCGGGAATGCTGCCGAGAGATTTGAGGTGGCGGGATCTCGCGCGCATAGCCGACTTTTTTCTGGCCCTGCCGTTGCCGGCCGTCGACATGCTGGATGGGTGGATGGGTGGATGGGGACGCACGGATGGACGGGATCGGCAGAAGCGAGAGACAAGAACAAGGACAGCCTACCCTGCGATATACGCACCATGCATATATGTACAGAGCAGCACAGACAACACATGTACCGACGCAGATGCACATAAATATAGGTATGTGTATAATATATATACCTAGGTCTGTGGTTATACACACGCACACACGCACGCACGAACGCACACATGTAGATGTGTCTATAGTAGATACGCACGCCTCGTAGCCACGCGGGACCGCGTGTGGGAGTAGGTGGGCGCGAGAGGAACACGCGAGAGCAACGAAATGCATATGGTAGGTAGGTGGTATTAGTATGAGTAGACGCCGGGAAGGGCAGATTCGTCCGGTTGGAGGTGCTAAATAATACACCGGCCTCTGCTGGTCACATGTAAGCACCGAAAATGTGCGTGCAATACCTACCTACCTACCTATACAACTACCGGCGAATACATAGGCAAATGTACGGAGTATATGTGCGCACGCTCGGCTCTCTGGACGTGCGTGCGTGTATATCCCTATACTCATACAGCACACACATACAGGCAGATAGATATCTAGACCCGTCTGTGTGTGCGTGCGTGAAGGCGCAGAACCACAAGAACGAGAGCGACGGGATGGTGGATTGGACCCGAGCGCTCGCACGCACCGCACCGGCACACACACACGCCCCTCCTCTTCTTCCTGACTCAGGGGGGAGGGGGGAGGGGGGTGGGAATATCCTCAACCCCAGCAAAACCGAGGCAGGCGAACCAGGCCGGGACGAGAGACCCTGGGTTTGCCGACTTCATTGGTCTCCGCACTCGAGATATATACCCACTCCGCGAACTTCTTCACCCCTGGTGTCCCCCTTCACCTCTCTTCCTCCCCAACTTTTTCCCTCCCTTTTTTTTTCCCCCTTCCCTCTCTCTCTCCCTTTATGGCTCTCTCCACCAAATGCTACCGTAGCTCTCGAGCCAGTCCCCATCGAGGTTCGGTCGACCATCTCCCCCCGTCTCCCACCCCCCCTGTCTTTTCTCCCCCCCGCAAAACCGAAAAAAAAAAAGACGACGACAATTTCCCTCCCTCCCTCTCCCTCTCTCCTCACCACCCCCAGACCCCCCGACGAACAGCCGTGCTGTTGGATTCATCCCGGCAAAGTGACAAGTGACAGGAGAAATACCGGGCGCGGTGCTGGTGGTGCAGCGAGTGTCCTATGTATATCATCGTTATTATTGCCTATTGCCTATTATTTGCCTGCTGGCACACCCTGTCCGATCTGGTTGGTAACTCCGGGGCTATTGTTGTTGGTCATAAGCCCGAGGTCGTGCCTCTTCTCTTCTCTTATCCCTCCTCCCTCTCTTGACTGACTGACTCTCTCTCTCTCTCTCTCTCTCTCTCCTCCGCCCCCTGTCTAGCGAATAACGCGAAGCTCTTGTCTCCGGGTCTTGGCGGATAGCGGTAACCCCGTTTTCTCTGGAGAGAGGAAGCGGAGAGAAGACGGGGGTGTGTGGGTGGCGGTAGGTAGGTAGTAGTAGGTAGACTGATCCGGTAACATATGTCACTCGGCCCTGTTTCTGAGCCTCGTCATCGATCGATCTCTACGTATGTAGGTGCTATCTGACTTATCCACACATAGTTTGTGTCTCCGCTCTCTCCCTCTCTCTCTCTGTCCCTGGCGACAACTTCTCTGGACATAGACACGTAGTATAGCATACATACATACATACATACATACATACATACATACACACATACGTATATCCACAACACACAGACACACATGACCGTCAAGCATGCACAGCACCGTACATGACCACGTCCATCCCATCTCCATACATATATACACGTCCGTGCCGAGACAGATACATACATAGCTAGTCAGGTACTGCCATAGCTCGGAATTCTCCCCCCCCCCATGTTACGAGCCCGCAAGACGGCCCTAGCTAGTTCTGCGTCTGGCTCCACGAGACAAGAACCCACGAGCCTCTTAGTCCGTCTCCTCCTTGTTGCCCATCCTGGCGTAAACTAGCCGTTTTCTCGAATCACATCACCGTCGTATTTTTATTATTGTTGCCCCCTTCTCTCTCCCTCCTTCCCCCCCCTCGAAATCCACATTTTCCCCGGGGGGCCCTAAAAACGCAATAAGGGTTGTCGAAGGCCCAGGCCGAGGGCAAAGCCAGCTAGCCAAAAACCCCTTCCCACATCCATCCATCCATCCGCCCGTCCTCTCTCTCCCCCCCTCTGCTCAACATTACCCCGAACACTCGACGAGGCAGCCTCGCGCGATGCTGCCGAGCTGGAGAGCGCGCCGCCGACCGACTGCCATCGACACCAAGACATGATGCAAGCCGCCGCTCCGTCGCAGAACGGATCGACCGGACCCCAGCCGAGCAACCACGTGTCGCTGCAGAGCAAGCAGGAACCCGACAGCGACGACGGCACCAACCTACTGCAGAGCGGGGACGAGAACGATCAGGAGGAGGATCACGACAGCTCCGGCGCTGTGCGCCCGGGCAAGCGCAAGAGGCCAATCTCTGTCTCGTAAGTCGCTTTGCCGCACTCTCGCTTTCGCTTGCTCGTCCATGTCGCGCCCTTCCTCCTCGTGCTCCGTCGTCCTCGTCCTCGTCCTCGTCCTACCATCATTCATCGCTATGCACTTCTTATCGTCCTACCCGTTTTTCGTCTATCGATCTTGGCTGTCATACCATTTCGTTTCTTGTCGCCATCTGCTGTTCCCCCCTTTCTGTTTTTTTCTTTCTCTTTTCTATTTAATCTTTCTTGCGTTCTCCTTTTTTTCTTGCTTATGTCGCTCGGAAATGTCCCGAATCCGCACTCATCGAGTCCTCGACACCGCCTCTCCGTGTAACCCCCAAGAGTTCCCTTTCCCCCCGTAGTCCCTCCCCCCCTTCTGGCTCCGACATGGGTCACGATATCTACACGACAGCGGAATCTCGGGAGAGCGTCGTTAACACTAAAACGCCGAGTCGAACAGTTGCGAAACATGTAAGCAGAGAAAGGTCTGTAGCGCCCTCCATTCGATGCGCGACCCGAACTAGTCGCGGTCCGTCAGCTAATGCTCTCTTCAAGGTGAAATGCGATCGTGGACAGCCGTCGTGCGGTTGGTGTAGAAGGAACGCGGTCTTCTGCGAGTACCGCGAGCGCAAGAAGCCCGGCCTCCGAGCTGGCTATGGCCGAGAGCTGGAGCAGAGGCTCGACAAGCTCGAGGAGATCCTGAGGTCGCACTCCGAGATCCTCCAGAACGCCTTCTCCAACCATGGCCACGCCCACGCCGCCCCCAGCGTGCGCAACAGCAACCCCAGCCTGCCGAGCGACCATGGCACGCCGCGCGAACCCGTACCGCTGTTCCGGCCCTCCGAGTCCATCCGGACGCCCCAGGCCGAGACCGCGCTGTTCCTGCAGAAGCCCTCGACCTTCCCGACTACGACTCAAAGCATGGACTTCGGTCTGCCGCCGCCGACTCCGTCGATACACTCGATGCACGACGGCTTCCAGCCCCAGATCCCCATGGCCGCCATCTCCCCCCCAAACCAGCTAGGGCCGAGTCTGCAGCCGAGCTCCGCCGTTCAAGAGTACTACGGCCAGTCGCAGTCGCAGCCGCAGCCGCAGTCGCTCCGGTCCCCGGGTGTGAATGTCACCCACGGCCCGGCTCAGATCTCTTCCGATCAGGACTTGCCCCCGTACGACTTGCTCTACGCGTTAGTCGACCTATACTTCAAGCACATCAACACCTGGTGCCCTATCCTCCACAGGAAAACCACACTGGATTCGTTATTCGGACCTTCGACTCTGGATGACACGGACAAGGTGCTGCTGCACGCGATCGTCGCTGCCACTCTGAGATACTCCACAGACCCCCGACTTTCGGAGGAGAAGAGGCGGCATCACCACGACGTCTCGAAGCAGAGGGTCCTGCTCTACGGCATGGAGAACTCGTCGGTCAAGGCGCTGCAGGCCTTGGTCATATTAGCCTTGGACCTGTGCGGGAGTAGCAACGGTCCGCCGGGCTGGAACATCATGGCCCTAATCACACGATCGGTCGTGCAGCTGGGTTTGGCCGTCGAAACCAACTCGCTGTCCGTGTCGCCCAACTACGCGTCGATATATACCCTGCGGGCTATGGTCCTGCCGGAGCCGAGGGACTTCGTCGAGGAGGAGTCGCGGCGGAGGCTCTTCTGGATGATATATCTCCTGGACCGGTACGCGACCATCGCGACCGCGTTCGACTTCGCCCTGAGCGATAAGGAGATTGACAGGACGCTGCCCTGTCGGGACGACCTGTGGATCAAGAACCAGAAGGTGGAGACGAGGTGGTTCTACATGCAGGACCGCCCGCCCGACACCCCGGGCCACGAGGTGAACAAGCCCGAGAACCTGGGCGCTTTCTCGTACTATATCGAGATCCTCGGCATCCTCTCCAAGATCCACGAGTTCCTCAAGCAGCCGGTCGATATCGGCGCGCTGGGCGACGTCGAGCAGTGGCAGATGCGGTACAAGGAGCTCGACAACCTCCTCGCCACGTGGAAGTTCGGCCTGCCGGGCGAGTACGGGAACATGGCCAAGCTGTTCCAGCCGGGCGGCAACAAGACGCTAAATTGCGGGTGGGTGATGCTGCACGCCACTTACCACACGGCCGTGATCCGGCTGCATTCGTCGGCGGCCTATCCGACGACGCGGTCGCCCATCTTCACGCCCTCCTACAGCGCGAGCCAGCGCTGCCTCGGCGCCGTCGAGAACATCGCGGCGCTGGGCGAGTTCGTGGTGCAGAACGGCATGCTGAACAAGCTCGGCCCCCCGTTCGCCTTCACGCTGTGGGTCGCGGCCCGCCTGCTGCTCGTCCACGGCTCGACCGTCGAGCACAAGCTGGCGCCGCAGATCGCCTTCCTCGTCGACACGCTGCGCGACATGGGCCGGTACTGGCCCGTGGCCGGGCGGTACTGCCAGCTGCTGCAGCGGGTGCTCGACGAGCACAGCGACAGCGAGCGCGCCGTGGGCCACACGGGGGAGCGCATCACGCCCTCCTCCGTCAAGATCCTCGCCGACATGAGGCGCACCGCCTTCGACCTCGACTTCCTCATCAGCCGGCAGCCGCGCCACCTGGCCGGGGCGCCGAGCCGCCGGCCGAGCGTGACGCCGGCGCGCACCCCGGCGCCGAACGAGCTCGAGTACCTCGACGTCTTCGACTTCTTCAACGTGCCCCGGCTGCCGTTCGGCCCCGACGCCTCGGCCGCGCCGTCGGCAGGGAACCCGGGTAACGACAGCAACGGCAGCAACAATAACGAGGTGAGCATGGATGGCACGGCGGGAAACAACGACAACAGCGGGACGGCCAGCGCGAATGGCGCCGCCGCGAACGAGTTTAACATCACGAATTTCATGGTCGACGCGAACAGCGACTGGCTCTTTAAGCAGCCCAGTTAGATTAGCCGTGGGGGCAATGGCGAAACGGCACTGTATATCATCATCACACACATTCTCTCTTTCCTGCGATGTCCTAGAAGCAGGCCGGGTTGGCCGATAAACAGTTGGATACCAGCCGGTTCGTGAAAGGGGAGAACAAAAAGCTAAAAAAGGAGCTTCCCGGGGTCCGGGACTGGACTGGACTGGACTGGTGCTAATATCATTGTATATACGATTTTTTGACGATTCCATACGTTGCCCGCGTCCCGAATTGACGATACCCATTCTATACATGTCCCCGGGAGAATGGTCATCAGAGAGCACGAGAGCTTACATATATATGTATGTATGCCTCTGGGGCAGATAGGCCTCTTATCCGAGACCTGACCCCCCGTCGTGGTCGTGGCATGATTCTCGAATGGACGTGACAGGGGGCGCCACATTCTGGTTTTTATCGTCCGGTTCGAATACACGGGGATTTTTACCTGCACTTTCCGCAGGCCAGGTTATCAGCGCCGGGGCCCGATCGCTAGTGAAAACATCCGTACGCTTGTGACTAGTCTGGCCCCTCGAACCACATGACAGCATTTGCGTATCTATTCAGTCCAGGGCTGCTTTGTGGATGAGCGGTTGTGAATAGGGTGATAAGTCGTCAGCCGGAGGGCGAAAGGAAGGGGGGGAGGGGGATAGAAACGGCCCCAGACCCCTAAAATGTCTGGGCATCGTAAAAATGCATGTGTATGCAAGATGTATAGCTGGAGAGAGCTCCCACACCACGGTCCAAGCATCTCTTGACGATGGTCGACACCGAGAGAGAGAGGAAGTGGTCACGTCTTCTTTGCAGATGTCGGCCCCTGAGGAAATCGATATTTCACACGCCAAAGTGCTGGATGGTAGCTAGAGGAAGTGCTGGCGGTCTCTGTCCGCGAGGAAGTTGTCGTTGGCACGGCAGGCGGCGAAGCACCTAGACGGTCGAGGCGATCTCCTGGGAAAATGGGTCAAAATAGCTTCATAATCATAATAAGAGCATACGTTCAGACAGGGAAGAGAGGAAGCCTGCCCGGGCCAGCTCATCGGGAAGAAAGGCCGGGCTGGCGCGTCCGAAAACCAGGTCTGGGATATTGGGGGCACGAGCGAATTGCAAGGTGAATTGCAGTGTATTAAGTAGTGGGAGGGAAATGTACGAAATCGGAGATGGATGAAGGCTGTGCGTTATCATGACGGCGATGCTTAAGTAATACAGGGGCATTTTAAAGGGGTAACCACGGCCGGCGGGAGGATCGAAACGATGCTGCCCGTTTTTGAACTTCGAGCCAGGGAAGTCGCGAAGAGAGGAGCACTTGGGACGGGATGGCGACGGCAGAAGGAAGCTGCGGATAGAGGAGCCGGCATCTGCTTTGTTAACAGACTGGAGAACGCACACAAATACGAATATTCGCTTCGATATATATTATTTCTTGGCTGTTTGGTGCCGGCGTGAAGCATCGTCTCTGGGCCTGCGCACATCACTACCTACCTACCTCAGTACTCGCCTCTACTCCTCGAATTCGTCTTCGTACAGCCGAACGGCGCAATTCCGATGCGCGGCAGAGCTCAAGTACCGAGCCATTGTTGTGGGAAAGTTGTTTCTTCTGCTGCCGTCCACGACCTCTACCCATCCATCCACCCACCCACCGTTGCGGTAGCCCGCGTGCGCCCAGGCGGCCACCCCTCGCGCCGACATCTGGGGTATCCGGTGGGCTTCAGATGGGTAGCACCAGCGTAACCTCGGGTTGGGGCGAACCAGGGTGCGCTGTATCGCTCGCCGAATGGCCGGGTGGAGAGGGAGCCGTGCAGATGCGAGGGAGCAAGACGAAGTAGGACGACGACGAGCACAAACGTACCGCATCGCGGAGCCTACTCCCCGTCTCCCTCGGCCGGCGCCTCTCCGCCTCCAGCATCGCCGAGTGCAAACAGCTCGCGCTTTAGCGCTTATGGTCCCCTCCTCCATTCTCGAAAACAAAGGGCCAAGACCGACGGATGCCTAACTAAGCCGACTAACACCCATCACCTACCCCCTTTTCATCCCTGGGCCATCTCCCACAGAAATGTGGCTCGAGGTTGGCCCTTCTTCCTGGCAAGCGAAGGCGTGATGCTACTGCATACATATACTAAGCATCTCCGTGGGCTAATGTGTGCCTAGCAAGCAAGAACATATTCACACGAGAGCGACACACAACCCACTTCATACCCAGCTGAGGTAGGAATCCTCTGGGGTCACGACATATTCAATACTTAATACTCAACTCACTAATACTCCCACTAATACTCCATTAACTAATACTTCACTTCCCTTACCTCGGCCATCCACGCAGCAAACAATCAAACGCTTTCGTATATATTTCGGCGCCTATCTTGCATTCGGTCGCGGTTCTGCTAGGCTGTAGGTCGTTCGACCTGACTAGGATTTTACTGTATTTCGCGATCAATGTATGGATGGAGTCTTGATCTTTGACGTGTCCATCAGCTTCTCTAACTTCGCTAATTCGGAACCGTTAGGCATGAAGACACGTGGACTCGGCAGCCGCTTTGTGAACGTGGATACCAGTAGGACCTAAATTTCTGCGAGATCTACCGTATCCGCATAATACCACACCGTCCACTTTTAGTCCGGCGTTCTTCATAGCTCGTATAATGGTCATGGGTGTCGGCGGCGACCTCTCTACAGGAGGGGATCAGCCTCTCCGATTGCAAGCCGAGGACGTCGAATTCGAGCGTGCGGTCCAGGGAATGCTGCGTGGTGATTATAAGGATTGGCCCAACGAGGCAGGGGTGAGTTATTGCCGGATCCTATCTTATGAGCCTCGAACCCGCGTCTAACGAGAGAATCCCCAGTTTGAGGGTCTAGATGAGATACGTGGCCCCGTGGAGCTCACCGTCCGGGGTACCATTCCCGCCTGGGCTGCGGGAATACTGTATCGTACCGGTCCCGGACAATACACCATCGCCGACACCCTCAAGGGAACCTTCCATACCACCCATTGGTTTGACGGCTTTGGCCACACGCACAAGTTCAACATAATCGCTGATCCGGACAATGCCGAAGCCCCGGTCAGGGTTGAGTACTCGTCTCGGCGCCAGACCCAGACGCTTATCGACGCCGTAAAGAAGGAGGGACGGAGACCCGATATCTGCTTCGGGCAGCGGAGAGACCCCTGTATCGGTATATTCGGTAAGATCATGAGCGTATGGGAGGGAGCGCTAAGGACCCCGCAAGCCGGCATGAACAACGTATGCGTCACAATACAGGCACCAATTCCCAGCTTATCGGCACAGGCCGGCGAGGCCCTCCAGTCCGGCTACCGCGGAGTAAACAAGACACTATGGCTGGCTACAGATGCACAAACCATGAAGGAATTCGACCAGCACACCTTGGAGCCTATTGGTGTCGCAAGGCAACGCCAACTACATCCGCTTCTTAGCGGTCCGCTGAGCTGCGCCCACGCTCAGCGAGACCCAGACACCGGTGACTTCTTCAACTACAACGCCGAGATGGGACGTATCCCGACATACCGAGTTTTCCGCACGAGCGTATCGACGGGCGAGACCGACATCCTCGCAACCATCCACGAACACGGGGTGAAGCCAGCATACATCCACTCCTTTTTTCTCTCACCTTCATTCGCCATCCTCTGCGTCCCGTCGTCCCACCTGGGGATGATGGGCCTCAAGGTCACTTTGGAACGCAATCTGGCCGACGCGATAGAGCCATTTGACGAATCAAAACTCTGGGTATGGTTCGTCGTTGACCGCCGTGGTAGCCGCGGCGTCGTCGGGAGATTTCACAGTCCTGCCGGCTTCTTCTTCCACAGTATCAACTCCTTCGAGGAGTACGACGACGAAACCGGTGATGTCTGCGTTTTTTGCGACTTTATTTCCTACCCTACTCTTCAGGTGATACGCGCCTTTGAGATGGACGTCCTGCTGCAGAACCACGGGGCGACCGAGAACTTCTGGGGTGACGAGGAGCGCAACCAGAACTGCCAGGCTCGATTGACCCGACTGAAGTTCCCGATACCGAGATCGAATTCTCCGGATAAGCCCGACGTGCTCGCCCCTGAACGGCCGGCGGAGAAGGTTCTCGAGATAAGAGCACCGCGTGCTGGCGAGCTGCCCACCATCAACCCCACCAACTCGACCAAGAAGTATCGCTACGTCTACAGCCTAGCCAACCGCGGCCGTAGCACTCTTTTTGACTCCATAGTCAAGACGGATCTCGTGACGCGAGAGGCTGTATATTGGGAAAACCCCAGGGGTCATACGCCCGGTGAAGCCATCTTCGTTCCACGCCCGAGTTCGCACGTCCGTGGCCAGGGTGGCGAGACGGGCACAGGGATTCCGGATGAGGATGACGGCGTATTGCTGAGCGTTGTCCTAGACGGCATCGGCAAGAAGAGCTATCTGCTGTGCCTCGACGCGCGAACAATGAAGGAGCTAGGACGGGCCGAGTGTGACTTTGCTGTCGCATTCGGATTCCACGGCCTGTATTCTGCGCCCCCTGCTGTGGAACGGGAATCGTGATACGGCAGCATCGGACCCATAGTTTTTCGAGGCACATACTTTCGCCCTCGACGTTCATACTAGCAGCCTCTATGTCTCGACGGAATGCTAGACCCCTAGTGCTGTCGACGGCATCGACTGACTCTCACTCCGTAGCTAGCCACGTTCTAATAGAGTGGCAAAAGTATACCTAGAGAAATCGTCCCCTAGGTCATTCTACTCTGCTTATTTATTTATAATTATACGGCTTCTCACGCTCTCATACTGCCTGTTCCCGCGAGTTCCTGTCGTCACATAGGATATACAAGGAGGAATAGAACAATCTTTGGGTATCAAGACCAAAAGAAATCATCGTAGCGCCCGTATTCTACACCGGTGTGCTCTCGTCGTGGTGGGACACCCCGTCGCTCTGCTGTTCGCTCTTCTTAGGCGGAGCGCCGCCGCCGCCGCCGGCAGCAGTAGCTGCGGCGTCGGCCGCGGCGCGGCGCTCGGCGTACGTGGTCTTGGGCGACCAGGCGGCGCTCCGGCGCGCGCTGGAGACCTCGCTGTACAGCTCGTCGACCTCCTCGAGCGACCAGCCCTTGGTCTCGTAGATGAAGAAGTAGACGAAGGCGATGCACAGGAAGCAGGCGCCGAACCAGACGAAGAAGATGCGCGCCTGCAGGTTCGCGTAGCCCTCGCCGTAGTTGACCAGGTACGGCGTCGCGTACGCTATGGCCCAGTTGAGGAGCCACTATCGCGCGGCAGCGGCAGTTAGTTAGTCAGGAGTTCTGGGCTATGAGACGGACAGGAAGGCGGATAGATAGGTGGATATGGCATAAGCAGGGGTGGAACGGGGGGGGGGGGGGGGTCGCAACTCACGTTTGTGGCGGTGGTCATGCTCAAGCTCTTGGCCCTGGTCTTGAGGGGGTAGATCTCGCCGGTGACGACCCAGGCGAGGGGGCCCCAGGTGCTGGCGAAGAAGAAGATGTAAATGCAGACGAAGGCGATGCCGGCCTTCTGGGCGGCGACGTCGTAGACGATGGCGTTGCCGGACGCGTCCTGGCCGGTGGTGAGGGTGCCGAGCATGGCGACGATGAACTGGCTGACGCACATGCCGACCGCGCCCCAGAGCAGCAGCGGCCGCCGGCCGAACTTGTCCACCGCGTACAGCCCTGGCAGCGTCGACACCACGTTGATGCACGACGTGATCATCTGGATCACGAACGGGTCCTGGATCCCCGAGTTCCGGAAGTACTGCGTCCCGTAGTAGAAGATGAAGTTGATGCCTGCGGTGCGCGGACGGCGCCAGTTGTCAGAAAAGAAGCCTCCTTCTCAAGGAGGGGAAAGAAAGACAGAAAACACTTGGGAACAGGCGCTTCTGTGACCTACCTGTTAGCTGTTGTAATGCCTGCAAGCCCATGCCGGTAAGCTGCCTCTTGAGCATGGGTCCGCGGAAGCAGTCGAGGTAGCCAGCGGTCCCGATGCTCAACTCGTACTCGTGGTTCGCTTGGATCTCTCGCAGCTCGGCCTGGACGGCAGCGTGGTTGTGCTCGATCCTCCGAAGTCTGCCGAGAGAGCGGGCGGCCTTGTCGTACTGCCCCTTCCGGATGAGGTATCGGGGCGTCTCGGGGAGGAACAGCATGCCGCCGATGAGAATGATGGCCCACGCGAATTGGACCGCGATGGGGATGCGGTACGAGCCCGTGTCCTGGCGGTACTGCGTCGCGTAGTCAACGATGGCGGCCAGGAGAAGACCGATCGTGATCGCGAGCTGGTAGGCTCCTACGATCGCGCCTCGGATCCACCGCGGTGCCGTCTCGCTTTGGTATAAGGGAACTATATCACGGTACGTGTCAAAAAAAGCCTTCATCGTCGATCTGCTTCGCCCGGGCGGTCGTGGGAGGGGGGAGAGACATACTTAGCGCAGAGATGAGACCGACGCCGAAGCCGGCAAAAAAGCGACCGGCCAAGAATAGTGGTACGGCCGTGGCGGCAGTCTGGAGGATGACGCCAAGGATGAACACCCACGAGGAGGCGATGAGCGCAAAGCGACGACCGATGGTGTCGGCGAGAAACGGCGAGCTTAGAGCGCCGAAGAACGTGCCCGCGGAGAGTATCGACACGATGGCGGAGGACTCGGACGGCGAGACGTCCAAGTGGCCCTGCGTGTTGATATAGCCGGTCGAGAAGAGAGTCTGCCAGTAGTCCATGGCCAAGATTCCGCTGATGGTGCCGGTATCATAGCTGCGCGTCGGGGAGTCAGCGGCATGCATATCGCCTCATGAAAGGGCTACCCGCCTGGTTGACGTACCCGAACAAGACACCGCCAAAGGCCACAAACAAGCCGATGACGATGGCCGGCCACGCTTTACCGGCCTCGTCGTCGGGCTTCCGCAGGCTAAAACGAGCCATCGTGGAGGTTGTTTCGGCGACAAGAGACCTACGGCTTCGATGCCACCGATGCTTAGTACTAGAAAAGAGAGCTAAATATCTGCTGGGGATTCGAAACGTTTCTCCCCGTGGAAGAACAGAGTTGAAGCAGGAGTAGCAAGAGCAGCAGCAAAGAGGCAAGGAGTGACGAAGTATATATTTATATATATTCTAATGGCAAGAAACTGTCACCCTTGAGGAGCGGATGATGGGGTGAGGGTCAAAGGTAGGCCCGTTACCAAGCGGGACAAAGGGACTGACGACAGGAGACGACAGTATTGGAGCGACCGCCGGACAACCATTCACAACTGCAGGGGAGAGAGCCCGAGGCCCTTGCACGATGGCTTACCACTCGTAAGATATTTCTCGATAGGACTGGGGATACGATTCCTGCGTGGGGAGCGGATGGGCGGAGGGGTGCATCGAGCTGGTGAACCTGGAACTATTGGGCAAAGCTATCCGTCCCATCTAGGAAAGAATTCTGGCAGGTCGCGCATCACGAGGGCCCAGCCAGTGGTGGCCGGTCCGATTATCGCGCAGAAATGGATTTCCAGGTTCTCCTCATAGCCCGGGGCCCCAGAGGATAAATCTGGCTGGAGTAACACGGTCCAGGTCAGCAATGGGACCTGGGGCCCGGCTGTAGCGAGCAGGGGCGGGAGAGAATAGCCGGGGGTAGCGCGAGGTCCCCTCTTGTCAACGCGTAGGAGGTGGCGGCGGGAGCATGTCGGCGTGGAGAGGACGGGGTGGCTGGGGAGATCATCCAGGCCAACGTCGCGTGCGACTCAGTCCGCCGGGTACGAAGGGGTGTACGACGTGCGCTCTGCTCAATTTCGGGAGGCGATAGGAAAGCACATGTTAGTTGACGTTTCAGGAGCTCTCCAGATAGAGAAGACTTCGTCTCGGCGTGCGTATCTGTCACACGCCGACTGCCCGCGGCTCGAATATGGGCGACATGGGTGACGACCCCCGCCCCCCCGCCTAGGAAGTCGAGATATCTGCGCAGCGGTATACAGAAACGTCGATGCTGCCGCCTTACCCCTTGCGTGCATGTACGGAAATACATGTCATGACATCGCGAACGACTGGGATGATCTGGACCGCCAAGGACGGGGCATACGCGGAAGGACATAAGGCTTAGGCATGGCGCCGGCGGTCCATCGCCCCAAGTGAGAGCTGGGTGATGGTCGCGGGATTTCCATCCCACCCCCCCGGCAGCGGCCGCGACAGTTACCGTAGAGGGCTAGAGGGGAGAGGGGTAGGAGGAGGCCGGCCGACAACCACGTTAGCATCCGCCGGCGGTCCGCAAGGATTACAGCTAGGGAGACCCGGCATCGTTGGCATGTGCGCATATACTCACATGGACGGACAGGTGCACTAGGAACGGTTTCGACATCCCACCGGCGAGCCCTCGGGCTTAGGGGAGCGTCCGCTTGACATTAAGCATCGAGACAATAGTAATCTGGCAGACCTTGGAGCGGAGCGGGACTCGGCACTCGAGAGTCGAATATTACGACTGCAAATAGCGACGGCCAGTGCTTGAAGGTATGAGATTCGTCGACGAGACGGGGCACATAATCTGGAAAGCTGCTCGCATGACAGGCCGAGTCGTCGAACATAATAGGGTAATGGTTAGCCAAGACCGAGGCCCGATGGGCCCCGGCATGTATGGACAGCTGTTGTTGGTGCTAATGCAGCGGAGGATGAAAGAAATGGATCATAAATTAGGCCCGGACGACAGTATCGGACCGATATCTCGCGTCTAGGCGGTTCGCGCGGACAGGCTATGCTTACACTAGGCGTGTCAGTGGGTAAATATGGCTGGGTCCAAGCGCCAGAGGAGGGGCGTTGAAGAACAACGATATTCGCTTCGTTTCTTCTTCGTTTTTCTTGTCTAGCCTTGCGCCGTTCCTATGCCACCGAGCCGGGAGGACCTGGAGAGAGTCCTCGGGTCCTACACCAAGGGACGGACGCGCGTTTCGCGGAGCTTACGACGTGCCATGGGGCCTTGCCGGGGTGGGCCGTTGACGGTGTGAGGATGTGGCACTCGGAGGAATAGGCCTAGAGAGACCGAAGCGCGGCCGTGGTGGACGTGGCGGGGGTCAATATGTCGGGACGGTGGGAGACGTGAAGGTGTGAAGATGAATGAAGATGGTGAGATGTGATCAACCCACTGGACTTACCTAGCTTACATATAATGGCCACTTACTGATTGATTTCAGGGTAAGTTATTAGTAGTGGTGCTGGAGGACCGATTAGATTAGGGTACTGTAGGTACCCAAGGTACTCAAGCTAGCGCCGGCAGCTGCTGTGGCAGTGCCCTGGCAGATGCTTAGCCTCATAGGTACCTATCCTTACAGCTAGGTAGGTACCAGGTAGCTATCAACATGCTACGGTAGCAGGAAAATAAAAATAGTACCTACCTAGCTGTCGTGACCGAGCTTGGCTCAACATCTTCCTCTTCGTCGTCGCGGCAGCACTGTTACAGCAGCACGCCAAGCACGATTCCACGCCGGCCCTCGTACCGAATACTATGCAGCCATGACGAAGCCTCCAGCAAACACGGCCCGGGGCCGTGACGAGAACCCATCCGCCCACGCCTCGCCGCCGCCGCCGCCGCCGATCACGACCACGACCACGACCACGACCACCTCCCCTCGACACGGGTCCGCCGCCGTCCGCGGCGCCTCCCTGCTCATCGTCCTGCAGATAGCGTCGCGCGCCGTCACCTTCGTCGCCAACCAGCTGCTCCTGCGCTTCCTCACCGCCCAGCTCCTCGGCATCTCCACCCAGCTCGAGGTCTACTACCTCTCCGTCCTGTTCTTCGCCCGCGAGAGCCTGCGCGTCGCCATCCAGCGGCAGGACAGCCGCCCCCCCGCCGCGCCCGCCAGCGCCCACGAGAAGACGTCGGATCATGCCGCCGCCGCCGCGGCCGCGAGCGCCCGCGATAGCCAATCCGTCGTCAACATCGCGCACCTCTCGCTCCTCCTCGGCCTCGGCGCCGCGCTGGGCTTCGGCTGGGCCTACCTGCGCTACGTCGACGCCGCCACGGCTGCGACCCCGCACCTCGGGGCCGCGCTCCGCATCTACGGGCTCGCCGCCGTCGTCGAGCTGCTCTCGGAGCCGGCCTTCGTCATCCTGCAGTACCGGCTGCGGTTCGGGCCGCGGGCGGCCGCCGAGTCCGTCGCCACATTCGCGCGGTGCCTCGTGACGTTCGGCACCGCCAGCTGGGCGTCGCGGCGGGCCGTGGACCTCGGCGTGCTGCCCTTCGCCTTCGGCCAGCTCGCCTACGGCACCGGCCTCCTCGCCGTCTACGCGTGGTACGGCGCGCAGCTCGCGTCTGCCGAGCGCTTCTCCCTCCTCCCGAAACGAAGCGCCCCGCTACGGCAGCAGCGGCCGCCGAAGGAGAGAGGCGAGGAGCATGAGGAGGAAAATAACCGAGCAGAGGGGCCCGGGCTCGCTCGCGACACCGACTACGCGCTCGGATACTTCTACAAGCCCACCTTGCAGCTCGCGTCAAGCCTGACGGCTCAGTCGTTCGTCAAGCACCTGCTCACCCAGGGCGACACCTTCCTGGTCTCTGTGCTCTCCGACGCCAGGTCCCAGGGCATATACGCGCTGGCCAACAACTACGGGGGCCTGCTCGCGCGCCTGGTCTTCCAGCCCATCGAGGAGAGCAGCCGGAACTACTTCAGCAAGCTGCTGTCCTCGGCCGCCGCCTCGCCCGACCGGCGGGCCGTCGCCCGGGCCCGGGCCGACCTGCAGGCGCTGCTCAGGTTCTACCTGCTGCTCGGCGCGGCCGTGGTCGCCGTTGGGCCCTACGCGGCGCCGCTGCTGGTCCAGGTGGTCGCCGGCGCGCGGTGGTCGGCCAGCGGCGCCGGCGCCGTGCTGGCGCGGTACTGCCTGTACGTCCCGCTGCTGGCCGTCAACGGCGTCGCCGAGGCCTTTGTCGCCTCCGTCGCCACCGACGCCCAGGTCCACCGCCAGAGCCTGTGGATGGGCGCCTTCAGCCTCGCCTTCGGCCTCGCCGGCTTCGTCTCCCTCCGCGTCCTCGGCCTCGGCGCCGCCGGCCTCGTCTACGCCAACGCCATCAACATGCTCTGCCGCATCCTCTGGAGCGCCGCCTTCATCGCCGACTACTTCCGGAGGCACGGCGCCGAGTTCGGCTGGAGCGGCGTCGCGCCCAGCGGCACCGCCGTCCTGGTGCCCGCCACCGCCGCCGTCTGGGCCGTGCTGGCCAGGGCCGGCATCTCCGTCGGGGCCGTCTCGCCGCACGTCTTCAGGGATCTAATCACGGTGGGAAGCGTAGCGGTGCCGTACGCGGCTGTCATGTGAGGGTTTTTTTTCTCTCTCTCTCTATATCTCGGCCCCACAAACGGCCCCTAGCTATCTATATTTACTCGTATTCTAACCCAAAACCAGCGCCTACACCGAACGCAAGTATCTACTAGACGCCTATCGCTCTGTACGTAGTGGCGGCCGAATGATAGGATAATTATCGCAGCGAATACCACAACCCGCTTTGCCGGACCCAGCACTTCTTAGCCCGCACTGCTTAATCATCAAACGTAATCTTTGTGCCTTTCTTCGTCATGTCGACGTCTTTGAAAAAGGCGCCGTACGTGCCATGCGCCTTCTTCTTGACAGTGGTCCCGAACTTCAGAAGGTCCTCCGGCACTGGCTGCCCGGCGGCCTTTAGAATGTTGATCAGCCTATGTAGGCGGAGCGTTAGTGAACTGTCAATGCTATTGTGGTGCCGGACGGGATGCTGCTGAACTCACTCTCCGGAATGGGCCTTGTCGTGCTCGGTGAAGAGCGTGATGGCGTGCCCAGTCTTGCCGGCTCGCCCCGTGCGGCCGATGCGGTGGACGTAGTCTTCGATGGTGAGAGGGAACTGGGCATGGTTAGCTGGCTGCCCACGGCGTGCGTTCAGATAGTAGCAATCTAGTAGGGACACGACCTACAGTAACGTTGATGACTAGCTTCACTTCGGGTATGTCTAAACCCCGCGCCGCAACATCCGTAGCAACTAGGACAGGCGTCTCTCCTTTCTTAAAGGCCTCGAGGCTGCGAGTCCTCTGCTCTTGCTTGAGGTCGCCGTGGATGCCGACTACCTTGATGCCTCGTTGCTGCAGGAACCCCTCGACGCGGGTGGCCTCCTTCTTATAAAGGCAGAAGACGAGGACCCGCTCGTTCTTCGGCTGAGCCTTGAGCAGCTGCAAGAGTCGCGTCTCCTTCCCGCGGGGGTCTACCACCTCGACGCGTTGTTCTATTCTAGCGTTCGCCTGCAGGTCCCCGCTCTCGTTCCCGCCTATCTGGATCTTGACGGGCGACACCATGAAGGTGGACGCGAGGACCTGGACGCTCTGCGGCCACGTGGCGGTGAACATGAGCGTCTGGCGGTCCTCCTTCCTCGGCGTGCAGCCGATGATCCTCTTGATGTCGTCCTCGAAGCCCTTGTCGAGCATGCGGTCGGCCTCGTCGAGCACCAGGAACCGGGCCGCGTCGAGCCGGGCCGCGCCCTCTTCGATGAAGTCCTTCAGCCGGCCCGGCGTCGCGACGACGATGTCGGCGTTCCGCAGCAGCGCCCGCTGTTCGTCCTTGGGCGCGCCGCCGTACACGCACACCGTCTTCAGCCCCACCAGGCCGCCGAGCTGCGCGAGCTGCTCGCTCGTCTGCATCGCGAGCTCGCGGGTCGGCGACACGACCACGGCGCGCACCCGGCTGCCGTTCCGCGCCCGGGGCATGCCGAGCGCCGCGGCGACGAGCGGCAGCCCGAAGGCGATCGTCTTCCCCGAGCCCGTCTCTGCGACGCCGACGATATCGCGGCCCGAGAGGCCGAAGGGCCACGACGCCGCTTGGATGGGCGTCGGCGCCTTGAAGGCGGAAAAGGGTTTCTTGGAGACGAGGGCCGACGGCGGCAGATGGGCGAATTCGGTGATGGGTCGGAGGGGCTTGGCGGAGAGAGGATCGGTGACGGCGATTTGGTGGGTGCTCAGGAAGGCCGCGATGTCAGCTTCGGACACGGCGGATAGGCTGGCCGTCTGCTCGTACGTCGGTGGTGCGCCTGAAGCGGCCGCAGCCTCCTCTGCGCCGGTAGCCTCTACCGAGACACTCCCGTTGGTCTCGCCATCTTCCGTCTTGCGCTTCTTCTTCTTTTTCTTATCCTTCTTCTCCTCTTTCCGGTTGCTATCCGGGCCCTTGTCTTCGCGGGGCGGGCCGTCGCCCTCCTCGCTTATACCGTCATTCCCCTCCTTCTCTCGCCTCCTTTTCTCCTTCTTGTCCCGCTTCTTGTCCTTGCTCCTCTTCGCCCTCACCCCCTCCTCGGGCTCCGGCGCCTCCACCTCGGCGGCGGGTTCTACCGGCGCAGACGACGCCGCGTCGGAGTCTTGGAGCTTGTCCTTGCGGTCCTTCTTGTCTTTCTTTTCCTTCTTGGACTTCTTCCGCGGGACGGCAGCGGCTTCGGCCTTGGCGTCCTCGAGGCGGTGCTTTGGCATTTCTACGGGTTGGCCCGCGGCCAATCGGCGTCCAGAGGGGAGGAGAAGCGGGGAGGATAGCGGGCGCCGCGGGGGTTCGAGGAGATATTAGAATCTAGGCAAATTCTAGGGAAATGCCATGTTGTAGGTAGGTATACACATGAAGACGTAAAGAAAAAAAAAACACGATAGGCCTGGATCCATAATTGATAAGATAGACGTACCCCCCTGTACCTACCGATTGCAAAGGCCGGGGGGTGAGGCTGTGGCTAAGCATCACTTAGGCAAGTATGGCGTCAATGGGCATGATTCGCCTCATCCTCGCAAATACCGCAACACACATACACATACGTATTCAACTCGGCCCGTCAAGTTATATCCGACCGCGTCGGGAAATATCGGCCCAACCCCCTTTTTGGGCCGAAGGGAGAGGGGAAGGACGACGTGGTGGAATGGATGAGGGTTAGATCCGGATGGCATGCATCACCATAGGAGGCACGTAGGCGTAGGTACTAATGGGCGGCACGCGTGAGGGAAGATATGTGTAGGTAGATAGGCATTCGTTCGTGTCCTGCCCATCCCGCCAGCCTGGAGTTGCCAATGCACTTCTCCGACGCTCCCGTGGCATCGTGGCCTGGGGGCGGCGGCGGGCGTCACCACAAAGAGACTATCTCCGCCTCGGTGATTTGGTGAACTTCTTTTTTTTCATTGCCTCACCCGGGAATCAGGTTAGGTACACGAGTGGTATTCTGTCTCATAGCTAAGCGAGGGCTCCGAGAACGCAAGCAGGTTTTTCCCCCCCTGCCGATTTCACCTAGTTAATACCGCAACACCGCCGCGCGCGCAACTCCGATGATAGGTCTCCCCCCCACCCCTTTCTGGTGTCCATCTGGAATCAGCCCCGTACGCGCGAGAACAAGGAAAGAAAACAGCTGCCTACACGTGGTGGCTAGACGGACTCGCCACAAGGTAGTCCGACATCGTGCTTCGCAGCATCGAATGCATCTTCACTCCTCACAACCTGGCGCGCGAATTGATATCGCTAACCAGTAACTTTTTCCTGTCCGTCCGATTTGCCCCTTCCCGTTACCCATGCAGTCAAACAAAGCCCCAATCGTCGCGGGACGATACGTATGTTCGGGATCCCCGGTCGTCGCCTCAGGCGGACGCTGCTACCGCCTCGCCGACGTTAGATAACTTGACCGTGGTGCCGGCCAGGCTCGTCGGCTTGGCGTGAGGGTTCTTGCTGTAGTAGTTGGAGATGGCCGACTTGATGGCGTCCTCGGCCAGCATGGAGCAGTGGACTGAACAGATGTGTATCGTTAGTATATATCTATCACATACGTGTAATTGAGCCACGAGGGACGAGGGGGAGGGGCTTACGTTTTACGGGAGGTAGGCATAATTCTTTGGCAATCTCAGTGTTCTTAATCCGGCCGGCCTCCTCGAGAGTCATCCCCCGCACCAGCTCAGTGAGGTAGCTGGAGCTGGCGATGGCGCTGCCGCAGCCGAAGGTCTTGAACTTGACGTCGGAGATGGTGTTGTCCTTGGGGTCGACGCGGATCTGCAGCTTCATGACGTCGCCGCAGGCCGGCGCGCCGACGAGGCCGGTGCCGACGTCGACGTCCGTCTTGAGCATCGAGCCCACGTTGCGCGGCTTACTGTAGTGGTCGAGCACCTTCTCGTGATACGACCGACGCAGCACGTGGACCGCAGGGCAGAGGGCCTGGCGGCCGGCGAGGCGGGGCGCGCCCGATGCGACGGCGAGACGGGCGGTATTTGCGAGCGTTCGGGAGAACATCTTGGGCAGAGATGAGTGGTGCTACTCTCTTATCAGGACGTTTCGCAGCGAACAGATGAGCTGCACGGATGCTGACACGAGAACGACGACGGTAAGGATGGCGGTAATGCGTGTATGGACGGATGGATGAAAATGGGTCTGTGCGGGTGTGTGTGAGGCTGAGTGGGAGAGGAGGTTTTCAGGTGTTGGTTGGGTCTGAGATGATGAGGTGCGAAATCCCCTAGAAAAAAAGAGAGCGACGAGGCGGGCTTTGGAATACCTCTTTCGGCGCGCGGCGATTTCGGTAGTAACATTATCCTGGGGGGGGGGGTCGTGGCGAATCATGACGCTCCAAATCGGCGATGAAATCATCTGCCTCGGAGATGCTGCACATGCACTGTGCAGCTACACTGCAGAAACGCGTGCATGCACAGTGTGAGATCTTCGGGTATTTCTACGTGCCACCGACTGCCACTACGTGCTGCAGACTACGTAGCGGCAGTTCGCGACTCACTACATCATCGCTATTCCATATATGTAGCCCCGTCAGTTAGCGTTAGTGGCATCGCACTGTGCGAGGGTATGATTGGGTCCGCTCTGGTCTTATCAGATCCCGTTGCGCAGATTGTTTGCAGCGCTTATAAATCCTGCTTAGGGGCAGGCTGCGGACCGCTGGCGGCCTCTGCCAGCTGTCGTCGTTCTGGCTAACCGTGGCTAGCCTCGGCTTGGAGATTACCCAGTAGGTTAGGTACTTGGACACCTGCGTGGAAGGCGCCGGATCTGATCCTAAGGTAGGTACCTACCTACCTATATACTATACCTGCTAGCGATACAAAGAAGCCCCCATCCTTATCGTAGCAGACGTGACGTAGGTACCTGCTCTGGCCTACCTAGGTACTTCTGGTCTACGGTATACTTATGCTGGGTAATCACACCTCAGGTGTACGTTCCTCTAAGCCACTAACGTTAGGTACCTCCTCACGTAACAGGAGTACCCTGAGTTGTAAGATAGAGGTTAGGTGTATGAGCAGGTACCTCTTACCCCCCCCTTTTACTTCCACTCCGAGGTAGATATAGGTACCTACCACCAGGGTTGAAAAAAAAAGTTTAAGTTTTTAAGTTAAGTTTAAGTTTTTTAAGTTAAGTTAAGTTTAAGTTTCGATTTTTAAAACTTAAGTTAAGTTAAGTTTTTATTTTTAAAACTTTTTTCAAGTTAAGTTAAGTTTAGTTAAAACTTAAAAACTTTTTTTTACAACCCTGCCTACCACTGCCTAAAGTGCTGGCATCCAGCCTCTAGGTACCTTCCCTACGTAAGTTCGAAGGTCTTCCTATGATGTTATCGTACCTGATAGGAAGGCGTGTCACTATCTGGCCTGCACTATCTGACCTGTTGCCCCTCCATCCTGTCACAGCCTTGCCCTTCCCCCCCCAGCTGCCTTCTCGAGCAACAGACCAGGGGATGCCTCAGCTTGCCTCTTAGCTTCGCACTTCAGGAACCGCACACCTAACCGACACACCTCTCTTTTGACAACCGCCGGACCGGCTTAAGATCTGATCAACTTGGGTGGGTAGGCTGTTTGACAATCAGCTTGTCCTAGTTTTACTCTGCTCGAAAAATAGAAAAGAAACACCATCGAGCATCGTCATTTCGTTGTCGGCCGCGGAGCTCTTTTCATTCACCAGAGGCAACGGCATCATCGGGCGCAGATTCCCTCGACATTCAACGCCTCCTCTAATCGATAGCTTTTCCCCAGCTTTAGATTACTCTTGTTTCTCTTTGGCTCCTTACCATGGCTTGTCCGCATTTGGAGTCGATTTGTAAGTCCGACTAGACGTCCTTCCCAAAAGAACCGGTCAAGAGAATGTAGCTACGAAGCTGACCGTCTTACCATATTCGGCAGCCCTGAGTCCCCCGACCCCAGCCCAGTCGGTCTATCGAGAAGACTGCACCCAATGTTTCGATTCCATTGTAAGCTCCCGTCCGATCGGGGCCAGCCCCTCCTAACAGGGTGTAGGACGACCCTCAAGGGCTGGATGTCTGCCTCCAGTGCTTCAACGGCGGTTGCGTGGGTCCGAGGGCCCATTCCCAGCTTCACCACGTCGTCCGCAGCCACCCTCTCGTGCTCAACATTCGGCGAACGCGGAAACATGTCGTTAAGGACGAGCCGCCTGCCAAGATGACAAAGCTAGCCATCGCCGCTGAAACCGAGGCCGATCGCTACGACATCACCACCGTCGTCCGATGTCTCGAGTGTTCCACCGACCTCGACAAATCCTCCCCCAAGCTGGCGCCTATTGTCGATGGAATTCTCAAGGCAAACACGTTCTCGCGACAAGAAGAAGTTAAAGCCTGGGAGCAAGAGCTGACATCTTGCGAGCACATCCTCCTCCTGCAGCAGCACGAGGGCCGTAAGATCCAAAGTGGTGATCTAGGCCACTGCTCAAAGTGCGATCTCAAGGAGAACCTGTGGTTATGTCTCGAATGCGGCAACTTGGGCTGCGGCAGGGCTCAATTCGGCGGCGTAGGCGGCAATTCCCACGGGCTGGCGCATGCCACCGAGTCGGCGCATGCCGTTGCCATCAAGCTGGGGTCCATCAGTCCCGAGGGAACGGCGGACGTATACTGCTATCAGTGCGACGAAGAGCGTGTAGACCCGGAATTAGCCACCCATCTGGCACATTGGGGCATCATACTTTCCGACCAGGTCAAGACGGAGAAGAGCTTGACCGAGATGCAGATTGAGCAGAATCTACGATGGGAGTTCTCCATGACTACCGAGGATGGAAAGGAGCTGAAGCCTCTGTTCGGGCCCAGCCTCACCGGGTTGAAGAACCTCGGGAATAGCTGCTACCTCGCGAGCATTCTCCAGTGTCTGTTTGACCTCCCCGCATTCCAGGCGCGATATAATGCTCCTGGCGCAGACCTGCCCATTGTACCCGACCCAGCCCAGGATCTGGAGACGCAACTACGCAAACTGGCCGATGGCCTCTTGTCTGGCCGCTATTCCACCCCGGATTCTCACGTCATTGCCTCGGAGAATACCCCTGAGATGGGGCACCAGAGAGGGCTATCACCTAGCATGTTGAAGCACCTGATCGGCCGGGGCCACGCTGAGTTCTCTACGATGCGCCAGCAAGATGCTTTCGAGTTTCTCCAGCACCTGATCAAACTCATCACTAGATCGCAGAACTCTCCTAATCTTGCCGACCCGACTCAGCCATTCAGATTCGTCCTCGAGCAACGACTGCAATGCCTCAGGTGCAAGAAGGTCCGATATACTACTACTGAGCAGGATAGCATATTTATCGATGTGCCCCTCAAAAAGTTGCCGGCTGTTGAAGGCGAAGGGGACCGCTACGAGCCCGTAGCTTTGAAGCAATGCCTAGACACCTTGACCGGCTCGGAGTTTGTCGAATTAACCTGCCCATCTTGCGGAAGCAAAGACGGGTTCACCAAGCGACTGCTATTCAAAACTTTTCCGACTACCCTCATCGTCAATGCGCGCAAGATGACGATCGAGAATTGGGTCCCTCGCAAGGTTGATGTCCCGGTAATCGTCGGGGATGAGCCCTTCCTCCTTGACGAATATGTCTCCCCGGGCCTTCAGCCATCCGAAGAACCCTTACCGGAAGAGGAGCCGGCGTCCGCTCCGGCCTTCGTGCCCAACCAAAGCGCCCTGGATAACCTTATGGTAATGGGATTCCCTCGCAACCGCTGCGAGAAGGCACTATACGCTACCGGTAATTCGGACGCAGACTCCGCCATGGAATGGTTGTTCGGCCACATGGAGGACCCCGACATTGACGAACCTCTTGTTATCGCACCCTCGACGAAGGGGGCAAGTGCTGCAGAGGTGGATCCTGAAAAGATCGAGATGCTCGGCGCTATGGGTTTTGCCGCACCCCAGGCTCGCAAAGCTCTCAAGGAAACCGGCGGGGATGTTGAGCGTGCAGTGGAGTGGCTGTTCAGCCATCCGGATGACCAAGGTGACTTCGGCGACGAACCCGCACCTACGGCAGAGAAGAAGGTGGCGGTACTCGTTGGCAGGGAAGACTTGCCCGCCAAGTTCCAGCTACAGAGCATCGTATGCCACAAGGGCACCAGCATCCACACAGGGTAAGCTCCGACGATTAATCATCGCCCCTAATCCTATGACGAGGATACGATCCTGACGGGAGAGAGCAGGCATTACGTGGCGTTCACTCGCAAGCAGCTCGATACCAGCGAACCCAAGTGGGTTCTCTTCAACGACGAGAAGGTTGTGGAGGCGGGCGATGTAGAGGAGATGAAGAAGACGGCATATGTCTACTTCTTCAACGGCGTGAATTGATAGAATCGACGGCGGGGATTCGGTGGACAACGGGTTTTCCCGAAAAAGAAAATGGCGTTTTATAGGGTTCAAGGTCGTGTGCAGAGCCCCAGGTCGGGATCTAAACGACAATTGCCGCCAATTGTCCTGGTGATGCTGCTTGTTAGCATGATGTATATGAGAGACAAGGGACGAGGGACGAGGGGAAATCACACGATACAAGGGCGGCTGAGGAATTCAAAATTAAGCATAGACGCAGCTGAGAGCTGCCCGGCGCTGGCGGTTGCATGGGTTAGATGGACCAGATAGCGCCAAAGAGAAAATCCATTTCGTCTCACCGATCCTCGACTTTCTTCTAAGCTACAGTCATTATCCGTCAATCGTATGTGACCGAATTCATCGCAAATCTAGACCATCACCGCTCACGGCTCAGAGCAGGTACGGGCACATGGTAAAGCACAGCGTGCCATAGTAATATCCACCCCCTAGCCCCGGCAGATCCCAGAACGCCAAAGAAAGATACGCTCTTCTGCGCACCCGGTGTATTACCCTCCTATAATACAGCCAAACCCCGCCCGCTCGCTTATTTACCTCTATATGGGTCGTGACATCTCTCTTCTTCTCCCGCGCACGAGAGCGCCCTCAATCGCCCAGACGATAGCTCACCAGCGTGTCGACGCGGTGGTTCGCGGTGCTGAAGCCCCGCAGCTGGACGCGCTCGCCGTTGACGATCTCCTTGGCGTCGCTGTCGCCCCACTCGACGGGGACGTCGCTGTCGGCGTCGGCGTAGACGAGGACGTTGAAGGTGCAGTCGCCGGCCAGCTGGGGGAGGAAGGTGACGGAGGCGGTGATCTGGCGGAACAGCGCCGCGATCTCGGCCTGGATCTCGGCCTCGGTCTTGGCGGCCTCGGGCGCGGGCGCGGCGGCGGTGGCGTCGGTGTTCTCCTGGTTTGCCCCCGCGGCGGCGGTGGCGGACTTGGACTTCTTGGCCTTGGCGCCGCCAAAGATCTGCACGTCGAACTGCCAGCGCTCGACGTGCTCGCCTGTGTCCTTGTCCGTGATCACGATCACCAGCTTGCTGATCTTCCCGTGCTGCATCCATTTGTCCAGCTGCGACATGATCTTCTTGATGTACGCCTTGACCTGGTCGTCGGCCGATACGAGCATGTTCAGGCCATACTTCTTGACACTGCGACCGCGTATGTTAGCCTCCTTCGCGCGCGGGGGGGGGGGGGCGCCGTGCTACGTACGCGGCAAAGTCCTCGGCCGGATACACGCCTCGCTGGAATCTAGCGGCAGCCGTTAGCAGGGGGGTTCCGGTCGGGTACGAATCGCTGGAGACATGGCCGCGTACAATATCGTGTGGATCGAGTATTGGAACTGGAGAGCACGGAGCGATCTGGTTAGCTAAATCCAGCCTGACTCGGAGGATGCTGTGGGCTTGCGAGACGTACGAATTCGGCCACAAGCTTTGCGCTTCCCTTGAGGGACAGCTTGTGGACCTTGGACTTCTCCTTTTCGGGTGCGGGGGGGGCCATCGCGATCGAGTCTTCGCTGTTAACGGAGTTGATTGGATTGGGAAGGGAGCGGAGAGAAAGTGTCCAGATTTGTTTACTTGTGATGCTGGGTTTGGCGGGGTGATGGCTTACCTACAAGGAGCGGGTCGTGGCTTGGATAATAGGTACAATTGATAAGATACCTAGACGATAAGATAGCCGATAAGACATACCAGTTATCTTCTAAATGCATACCTCGGATCTAACGAGAGGACCGCCATCTCAAGTAGGTAGTAGGTACATATCGAAGTAAGCCCTCCATGGGATTTTTTTTTGCACCTGGCCGAGCGCCGGAATAGCTTCATCGTACTGACCTCAAATTTGACAGGGTCGAGAAACAGCAAAAAAACGTATGGATGGGTGCTGGATTGAACTACACAGTGGCACCCTCTGTTCTCATGCGATCATGTCTACGCAGATCTCCTTTTCGCACCTCTTATAGCATCGGCTACGGCCCGCGTTCGACATGGGCTCCCTTTAGCCCCCCACCCCCCCGTCGAGCCGGAGCCACGATAATCTCGCAGCGGTATAACAGCTCGAAAACGGATGCCGCCGAGCTCGAACGCCGGATAGCCGCCATACCCATCTCGCGCTTTCGGAACTTTTGCATTGTGGCGCATATCGATCATGGCAAATCCACCTTGTCCGACCGGCTCCTCGAGCTCACCGGCACTATCTCCTCCTCCAGTTCGAACCGCCAGATTCTCGATACCCTCGAGGTCGAGCGCGAACGCGGCATCACGGTTAAGGCGCAGACCTGCACCATGATATACAAGCACAACGGCGTCGACCACCTGCTGCACCTCGTCGATACTCCTGGGCACGTCGATTTCCGCGCCGAAGTGACGAGATCATACGCGAGCTGCGGGGGGGCATTGCTGCTAGTGGATGCGAGCCAAGGCGTGCAAGCCCAGACAGTCGCCAATTTCTATCTCGCCTTCGCCGAGGGACTCAAAATCATACCCGTCGTCAACAAGATAGACATGACTGCCGCCGACGTGCCGAGGGTCCTCGCGCAGCTCGAGTCCACGTTTGAGCTAGATTCCAGCAAGGCGATCGGAGTGAGCGCAAAAACCGGCTTAAACGTTGCCAAGATATTGCCCGCTGTCGTGGAGAACATACCAGCGCCAGAAGGCGACGAATCGAAACCGCTGAGAATGCTGCTGGTGGATTCCTGGTACGATAGTTTCCGGGGCGTTATCTGCCTAGTCCGGCTTTTCGATGGCACCGTCAGGGCCGGCGACGATGTGGTGAGCTTCGCAACCGGCAACCGGTACACGATCGGCGAAGTCGGGATCCGATACCCCACGCAGGTGCCCCAGACGGTGCTGCGCGCCGGCCAGGTTGGCTACGTCTTCTTCAACCCGGGCATGAAGAAGATCCAGGACGCCAAGATCGGAGACACGTTCACGACCGTCGGCTCCGAAGACGTGGTCGAGCCCTACCCGGGCTTTGAGGAACCTAAGCCAATGGTCTTCGTGGCGGCGTTCCCCACAGATCCGAGCGACTATAGTCGCTTGGCGGACAGCATCGGCCAGCTCGTGCTCAACGACCGTAGTGTCACCCTCTTCAAGGACCACTCGGAGGCTCTCGGTGCTGGTTGGCGGTTGGGCTTCCTCGGCAGTCTCCACTGCTCGGTGTTCCAGGATCGCCTGCGCCAAGAGCACGGCGCGAGCATTATCATCACGGAACCGGCCGTGCAAACTAAGGTCTTGTGGCCCAACGGAACCGAGAGTGTCCTCCAGAGCCCTTCCGACTTTCCCGACCCCGAAGACGGCCGCTCCCGTGGGGCGACGTTCTACGAGCCGTACGTGCTAGCGACCATGACGATCCCGGAGGAGTACCTCGGGCGAGCCATCGAGCTCTGCGAGGCGAACCGCGGCGAGCAGGAGAGCATCGAGTTCTTCCACGGCATGCAGGTGATCCTCAAGTACCGCATCCCCACGGCGCAGCTGGTGGACGACTTGTTCGGCAAGCTCAAGGGCGCGACCAAGGGCTACGCGACGCTGGACTACGAGGACGCGGGCTGGCGCGAGAGCAAGCTGGTGAAGCTGCAGCTGCTCGTCAACAAGGAGCCGGTCGACGCGATCGCGCGCGTGGTGCACATGTCGCAGGCCGAGCGGCTCGGCCGGCAGTGGGTGACCAAGTTCAAGGAGCACGTGCAGCGGCAGATGTTCGAGGTGGTGATCCAGGCGGCGATCGGGAAGCGGGTCATCGCGCGGGAGTCGATCAAGCCCTTCCGCAAGGACGTGCTCGCGAAGCTCCACGCGAGCGACATCAGCAGGCGCAGGAAGCTTCTCGAGAAGCAGAAGGAGGGCCGCAAGAAGCTGAGGGCGGTGGGCAACGTGGTCATCGAACAGGAGGCCTTCCAGAAATTTCTATCCAAGTAGGACGGATCCTACGCACGTCGGCAGACCTGCCTAGATGCCTATGTATTGACATAGCGCACTCGCGCCGATTTTTTGATGTATGGGTGGTGCGGCGACGCCAGACGAAGACGAAGACGATACCTAGGTATATTACACGTCCCTATTATGTAAATACTAGTCTTATATGCATACACAATAACTCCCCAATACCACCTACCTCTTTATCGAGTTGGTGTCAACACCTTAGGTAGGAGGTACCTAATGATCTAGGTACAGTCTTCTCGATGGTGTCCCACTTGCCATATCTAGAGATTCGATGTAGGGCGGACCAATCAGAGAGTGTCAAAAGGAGTCTCTGCTACAGCTATAATTCCCGTACACCGATATCCTCATCCCAGATGTCTGTAGGCTACCTTATGTACATACCCAAGGGTACATGCATGATCTCGACTGTACTAATTCTCCAGTAGGCGCCGAATTCCATTCACCCTCCATTTTCCCGATCCTCGCAACTTTACACCCTCGACGACGCCCTTAAGCTACACATCCGCCTATACTTACTTACGCACTCGCCATCTGCGAACTTCTGCCTTCTGTCTGTTGTTCACAACAAGCCCGACTCCGTGCCAGGGATCGCAAGTCGACACCTACACCAGCCGTCGGTATGCCGAAGCAGAAATTGTTCATCAGCAGGGCAAAAGTGAAGCCCAAGAAGGAGCCCAAGAAGCTCGACACGCCCGACGACTTCCAGGCGGCCGGTGTCGACTTCGAGGATGCGGCCGGGAAATGGAGGGCCGGCGACGCTGCCAAATCTATGCGGTTCTTTCAGAGGGCCGCCGATGTTTATGACCAAGGACTGCGGAAATTCCCTCGAAGTGTCGATCTAGCATACAATAAGTAAGAACGCCGCGGCGCGGCGCCGAGGATGCTCAGCTGATCCGTCTTGTAGAGCTCGGGTGCAGCTGGAGATGGCGACACACCCTATGTTGGTGCCACTTCTACAACGGCCGTTGAAAGACGCATTGGGAGATTCCTTGTCGTCGCACCGCTACGCTCTCGAGCTGGATCCCGCCAATGCTGACACCCTCTTCAACGCTGCCCAAGTCCTCACGGCGATTGCTGAAGTCAAGGTTGCCGACGAAGAGGATGACGAAGCCGACCGCCAGGCCTTGGGGGCCCTGGAAGAGGCTCTTGACCTGCAAGGAAGATGCTTGAGCGTGCAAGAACGGAAACACCAGGAGTTCCTGGAGCAGGAGGAACGCGCTGCGAGAGAGCAAAGTGATCTGGCAAGTAATCAGTCCATGCAAGTAGACGAGCCAGAGGGCAGCCTAGAATCGGCACAGGCGGGCCAAGACGAGAAGTGGTTTAGCATTGTTGAACCGGTGACTTATAGCACGCTCATCGATACCTTACTCGCCCAGCTAGGAACCCTCACCACCCTACACAGCATTCTGAATTCGTCGCCAGGAATCGCTGCAAACGACAGCTTCAAATGGACCGAGGAGCTTTCGACTAGGCTTCTACAAAAGACGCAGATATTCTCACGCCACCAGCCAGACAGGCTACAAGAGATCGCATTGGCGAGGGGAAATCTCGCGTCTATGATGTTGGAGACGGGATTCCGGACCGGCAAGCTCGACGCCGAAACCTACAAAAGGGAAAGAGACGCAGCCTTTGCTGTGGCGGAACTACAGTTGGACGGGTCCACCGAAGGCCTCATCGCCAACGCCCGTTCCCTGATTGCATGCAACTCAGCGCTGGCGGAGGCCGGGGTCGAGACTCAGATGTCGTATTCGATAATTCGATGGAATGTTCTCACCGCGAGCATAGCGAACCTCAAGTCCGCATCCGCTATACGGGGGATCCTCCAGGAAGAGCTGGCAACGACTCATCTCTTGCGCGGCGACGCAAGCTTGTTCCTACATGCTATGGCTCACCCGCCGACATCGCATCCGACCGCTATAAACAGCGCCGCTCAGAACGCCAAGAATGCAGAGGTATACTACCGGAACGCGAGCAAATTGACCTCGGATGAAGAAGAGCGGGAAATATCTGCCTTCAAGTCAGCAGTCGCCCAGTACTTACACCTCTACTCCCAAGGACAAGTGCCAGGCGACTTGAGTAAATTGCTGGCTGCAAGCTCACGGGGCCGAGATTGGGCCGCGAAACAGCTTGAAGATATGGTGGCAGAGAATCTGGTCCCCCAAATCCTATTCTCGTGAGAAGTCAGCGTGGCTAAGGGCGAACACCACGTTACGAGGCGCAGTGCAAGGTAGTTCACGAATCTGGCCACGTATTTGTGTATCCCATCTGACGGGAGCGTGTTTCTATTGCTCGTCGCCGTCGTCCGGCTGTCACTTTCTATGCACATTCGCCTTGCACAGTTGCTCAATGCTGGTGAGCCCCGTGGGCCTGGCTGTCGGTATGACCGTGGCCTTCGTGGCTCATCTCGAGCCAATCTTCGAATCCATCTTCGAAAAGCTCGTCTAGCTTCTCGAGGGCATCCTTAGACTCCATCGCCGCCTCCCAGTCGCTGAACTCCTTGTCGTTCAGCAGACAGGCATCGAAAGCTTTTCGAAGTCGCTCCTCGCCCCCATCTCGCATCTGCTGACCGATAAAGACGATTTCCTGGCGGCGGTCGCCCCATTTGCCCTCGAAGTCGCGGCTGATGGCGTTTCTTGCCTTGGGGTCCGCGGGCCATTCGCTTCCCGGGATCTCGCAGCGCCAGAAGTCTTGGCCCGAAATCGTTAGCATAACGCCCGCCTGAGACCATTTGCCGTACTGTTGTTGTTTATCTCAAGTTAGCATATAATAGCGGAGCAAAACCGGAATTAGGGGCCACCAACCATCCTCGGCCGGGTGGTTAGCCACATGAAGCCCTTTGATCGTAAGAGCGGTCCAAATGTCTTGTCTGCCATCTTAGAGGCTAGCCGTGCTTTGAAGTCCAGCTGGGGCTGCTCATCTTCCATACCGGCGTCCTCCTCGCCGCCCCCTTTGCCGCCATCATCGCCATCGCCATCGCCAGTATTACCTTCCCAATCTCCATCCCCGTCTACTTCTATACCATCACCCTACTCATCCTGATATTCTGTTTGGATGACGACAAACACGGACTTGATGGTATCCCACAGTCTTGTAGGGCGGAAGGGACGACGAGCTCGGTAGATGAATGTGCCTATGCCATACTCCTTCGTCTCCGGAACGATCTCCTCGTTCAGACTCTTTAGCCACCCAGCACTGAGGGCAGATTTTTCATAGGAGAATAGTCTGGTATCCAGGATGTCGGCTAGGTCTAACCGGCACTTGGTAGACGTAATCAACCTAGCGTCTGGATTGAGCTTCTTGATGACTCCCTTTATCCGATGAACCTCATCCACTGAGACTAAGTCGCACTTGTTAACGATGACGACGTCCGCAAACTCGACTTGATCGACCTGAAGGTCGGAGGTATTGCGGTCATCTTCTTTAGGGACATCTGTTTGCCGGTCGACGAGGAAATCGGCCGTGGCGAAGTCCTGCATGAAGTTGACGGCGTCCACCAGCGTAACGCAGGTGTCTAGACGCGCCACCTTAGACAAGCCGCCGGCTTTCAGTATCTCTGCGAGCTTCTTGTTCACCTCCTTGTCGCCTTCGCCGTCCGCCTCGAGTTCAAAGCCCGCAGCGACGTGCATGTCTGCAAATCTGATGCCATCGCTTAGCACGACGGCAGCCTCGGAGCGCCTCTTAAGCGGACCTACTCTTCCGAAAAGGTCTCGGCGACCTGCATTGGCTCACTGACTCCCGAGCTCTCGATGACGAGGTACTGGACCTGCCCCCCCTCGGCCAGCCGGGAAACCTCCTCGAGCATGTCACCCCGCAGCGTGCAGCAGATGCAGCCGTTCTGCATCGCCACGACCTGTTCCTCCTTTCGGGTGACATTGTGTAGAGACAGGAGCGCCGCGTCGATATTAAGGGCGCCCACGTCGTTCACGATGACACCGATGCGGAGGCCGTGGTCGGGCGACGTTAAGATGTTCTCGAGGAGAGTGGTCTTGCCGGAGCCGAGAAAGCCGCTGAGTAGGGTGACGGGGAGCCGCTTCTCGGCCTTCTTGGACGGGTCGACAAGGACCGCGGGTGCCATCTGGTGGTCTTTTCTCTCAGGGCGGGGAGGGTTGTGGTATATAGGTTCTCGCAGGGACTCGCTAGTCTATCGATACTTACACGTCGAGGAGAAGGAAGAAGGAAGGGGGGGAGGGGAAAAAGGAAAAGGGGGGGGCTACTCCCCCTTCAGACATCTGCGATCAGGGCATCTTATACCTACTTTCTGCCACTCCCTCCCTCCTCGCCTCCGGTTTCTCGCTGGGCCCGTCAGACGCGCTTCCCGCAGACTTTTTAATCGGGGCACGGCCATTGGGCCACTGCCCTAGCTCTCCCTCCCCGAACATGCCTTTCGATCTCCGCCAGGGAGAACGCGATGGCGCCATGTCGACACCACACACACCCTGCTGGCCGCGCGCGGCAAGACTGGTAGACCGTCTCCGCAGGCGCTTGTCGAGGAGGTATCGAACGGACCGTACTTGTGCTACTAGAGCAAAGGCGGGGCGGAAGGCGGAGAGAGGTTGTGCGCATGGGGAGGCGAGACGAGACGAGCAACTACGGTCCCTGTACGTACGTACGTACATACGTATCCCTCCCTCGCCGTCCTACTCTCCACCTGTCGTACAGAACGGAGACGTTGAGGCTTACGACGGACGGATATGGAGGCAGATAGATAGAGAGAACCCTGACGGCGATCAACCATGATGGCTCATGGAGGAGGAGGAGGAGGGAGAGGGAGGGACTGTCTTTTGAGTAATCCGCCGCCCTCGATTGGTCGTCACGAGGCAGGAGACCTTGGATGCGACCCGCCAGCCGAGACAAGCAGCAAGCAGCGAGTGAGCTGCTTGCTCGGCTAGTGTATCGAAAGCATCCTGCAACATATAACCAAGAACACACCGACGGAATAAGCAACCCGATTGATTAACCTGGGAAAGAGTTTTATTCTTCGTGTGTACTATGGGTTGGGTTTCTCCATTTTACAGAAATTTTAGAGAGAGTTGCTAGGTACGTCAGGTACTCGAATATTATGCCGGCCTACCTATGGGAATAGGAGCCTATCCAACTCGCCCCCCCCCCCCTTTTCACCAGCTAACATATCCAGTTAGCGGATCCGTGCGTAGTAATACCTGCAGGCTTCCGTACCGTGCGCCCCGGGATCTCAACCGCGACACAGCGCCCGTTGTCTCTCGAGCTAGCCCTAGCCCTACCCCTAGGCCTACGGCAGCGGCACAGTCAGGATATCAAGCCCGGCCCGGAGCTCCGTCTTGGACGGCATAGCGCCGAGCGTCATGAGCTCGGCCGACTGCGCCATGGCCGGGTCGGCGCCCATGCTCGCCATCGCCACGACGGTCTCGCCGCGGCAGTAGTACGCGACGAACTTGGCGGCGCTGGGGTCGCCCTGCAGCACGAGGTCGTCCCACCCGCGGGCGGGGTTGCCGCAGTAGCGCAGCTGGCCGGTCAGCGCGGACCAGAAGACGGGGAGGAAGAAGGCGGGCGCGAGCGCCGGGTTGGCGATGTGGCGGGCGGCGGCGCGGCCCTGGTTCTGCGCCACGTTCCAGTGCTCGATGCGCGCGAGGGCGCCTTCGCCGCCGGGCCCGCGGTACGGGAACGAGGCGATGTCCCCGACGGCGTACACGTCCTCCAGCCCCGCCACGAGGAAGTTCTCGTCCGTCTTCAGCGACCCGTCGGCTTCCAGCCGGACCGCCTTGTTCTCCTTGAGGTACTCCGTCGATGGCGCCACGCCGACCCCCAGGATGACCAGGTCGGCCGCCAGCTGCGTGCCGTCCTTCAGGTAGACCGACCCGACCTTGGACGGGTCCGAGCCTGAGGGCTCGGCCTTGTCGACGGCGGCGGACAGATGGAACTTGATGCCCTTGCCTTCCAGCCCCTTTTGTAGCCCTGCGCCAACGTCCTTGCCCAGCACCCTCTCTAGTGGGACGCTCTCCTGCCCGACGACGGTGACGTCGTTGTCCGCGGCGGTTGCGTTGGCGACCTCCATACCTATAAAGCTGCTCCCGATGATGACGATCTTTTTGCCCTTGCTGCCGATAGCGTCAACGATCCTCTTCGTATCGTGGACCGTCCGTAGCGGGAAGATGTTCTCAAGCACTTTGAAGCCGGGCAGAGGCAGGTTCCGGGGGGAACCGCCGGTAGCCAGAATCAACTTTGAGTATACGTGCCTCTCGTTGTTCTTAGTGATGGCTACTTTGTTGACGAGGTCGATGTCGACGACCTCGTCGTCCACTATCTCGACCGAGCCGGACTTGAACCATTCGTGGTCCCTCAGCTGGATCTTGGTGGGATCTGCGATGAGGGCTTTCGATAGCTTGGGTCGGTCGATGGGCAGGTAGCCTTCTTTCGAGATCATGGTGATGGGCCCGGTGAAGCGCTTTTCTCTGAGCCCTTCGATAGCCCCGATAGCTCCGCTGCCGCCGCCTACGACAACAACCCGATTCTCCAGCGGCCTGCTGCTCGCGCTGCATTTGAAATTCGGCTTCCGTCTCCCCGACTTGATGGCCCCCTCCTCGCCCTCGACGTAGACGGAGCCATCTTTCTCGACAACTTTGAATACTTGCAGAGCGTCTAAGGCGGGCGCGTCTTCGACGTCGCCGGTCTGGACGTTGAAGCAAGCTAGGTAGATGAGCAGGTGAGCACGTAGTGTTTTTTTTTTCTTTAAAAAGAATAAGGAATTCTTAACACAGACCCGGAACTCGAGCTAGAAGGCGGGGGTATGTAAATAGGGTGATAATAGGGAGGGAGACGAACCTCCATGCCACGGACAAGTCAACCGCCCGGCCTTGGTTAGGACGCCCTTGACGAGAGGGGCACCGTAATGGGTGCACTTAGGGCCGGTGGCCTGGATCTTGCCGCCGGCATTGAGCAGAAGCACCTTGGCGCCCTCGATGCCTTCGACCTCGACCTCCTGCTTATCGCCGGGCTGCAGCGATAGCGAGGTTACATCTCTAAGTTTAAATTGAGGCATAGCTCGGTAAGCAGATCGTGACAATGACCTCACCGGGTGAGCGAGGAATGACTGGAGGGGTATGCGGTGCTTGAGAAGGATACGGGTGGCTGTAATGGTAGACGGCAAGAAGAGGGCAGCTGGGGGATTCATGAAGGGGATATAGACAGGGCCAGCCTCCAGGTCGAGAACGAGCGTGGACTGGCTTTTGAAAAGGAGGGGAGGAGGGGTGGCAGAGAAGACGTCGTAATCTCTACTGCCGCAGGACTAGTTATCTACCAAGTCAAAGCGGACGGGTGACGAGGAGACGGCGTGGGCGATGCGGGAATGCACCGGGGAGGGACGGAGGGGTGATCCGAGAGGGCGAGAGAGCGAGAGGGCGAGAGGGGTCAGGTCCCATCCATCCACAGAGGTTGTAGACATGCGTTCCTTACCCCGACGCGGTCGACAGAGCCATGGAACATCCATTAATTGATCTCACCGACACCTCGTGGTCATTGTGCTGGAGGTACCTATCTAACTACCTACCTCCTATACCACCCGCCTTATAGGCACCGTGGAGGTAGGTAGGTGCCTAAATAGGAGGTAGGTCAGGGATGAGGCAGGCTGGTTTATAGGTACGTGCTGTACCTATAGAGGGTGCGCCATGGGAATACTTCTGCCTATACACGTAATACTTCCACGGAATGTGCCGCCGGTACCTGGTATGGCTGCCTCCTGGCCGCGCGCAGTACGTGCTTTCCTACCTCTCTGCCGATGTCGTGATGCCACTTTGAGACGATGGAATGCTCGGCACGAGGGTTGTGGTAATCCGAAGCTCCCCACTGGCTAGGGCCCGTCGTAGCTTCCCACGCTCTGTCCGGCTAGTTATGACATCAACAGTGCAGCCGACCAATCAACTGGCCCCTAATTACCAATCCCCGCCCGCAAGTGCAGATGCAAGTGCGGAAGCAGCAACCACTTACGAGTACGCGCGGGGCAAAAGAGAACCTCGTTCGATCCGTTACGTAGCAGTGTACCCACTACAGGCAACGCACCTACCTAACCAAAGATATGGGACGTAGCTCCGGGCGTAACATCATCTGTCGCCGACATGTCACCGTCTATTATCTTGTCTTTATCATCAGGTACCTAGGTAGACACCTCTATGAGTAGCAAGAGACGTCCACCGACAACCCGGAGCTCGTGCCGTTCGACCTACCCGCGCAATCCGCGACTCCTTTCATAGCCCAAAACACCAGAGTATCCATCCGAATAGGTTGAAGGCGTCGTGCTCAACAACTACCTACGACCGAGACCATTCAAATTCTTACACCTTTGCTGCCCTCATGTCGTAATTTCCGCCTTCGCGACGCCTGGTGCCGCGAGATCAACCGGAGAAGACGGGGAGACGGAGGCTGACGGCATCAGGTATCGGGTCACGACATTTCTCTCTAGTGGAAAACGCCTTTCGTGAACTCTAGCACTTCGTTGCTGCCCTCGACGCCCGCAAAGTCTATGCCGGCGTTTTCGAAGACCGACGTCTGGAACCATTCGGACCCGAGGTCCAATCCTTCGGGCAGAGGGACCTGCGTAGCTCGAGGAGTTACTTTACTACGGCTCGGTCAAGTATGGTGCGGGATTGCTTCGCGGGGCATTACGCACCTGGCTTGGACCAAAAGCTGGAGAAAATGTGCCCAGCTGTGCAGCTAGGGGATAAGATGCTTGGTCTGGCTGTGTCGCATACTGCGCTGGGCCATCGGTAACAGTGAGCAACGCGGCCTGTTCGACCGCATAATCCGCCGCCCTCCCCAGATCGACGAGCACGATGTAGAGTTCCTTGTGGCTCTCTGATCTTGTGTGCTCGAGTAATTTTCGAATACGCCCCATGCCGCTCGTGGCCAGCTCTCGGTCGTTCTGCACCAGCTCATGGAGGGGATAGTATACCACATTAATTAGCAAGACGACGAACGCGGAAAAGTATGCGCAGCCGTTCAACCTGTCGGGGCCATCTTCAGCAATCGAAGCTCTTTACTTGAGAAGAGAGTTACAGGCGGGCCGACTTACCATATATTGTATCCCGTAATAAGTTCGTCGGGCAGCATCTTCAGACAAGCGCGACTAACCTGCACGCAAGCCTCCCAAGCATGTGGCAGCAGCGGCTGGTGGTGCTTCATGGACACGTTTTCTTGGGCGTCGAAATCATGGAACATCGCTCTACTAGAGCGGCTGATCCATCTTATCCACGACGAATCGACGGAATAGAGGCCGTTGGCGTGGATAAGGCACAACATGTAGGTGTGATACAGATAGGTCATATGGATTAAGGGTGCCTTTTCGAGGTTGTCAGCCATTCTGTCCGGCTGTAGCGATTCTGGTATCGTTTGCCGCCACTGAACGAGGAGTCGAGAGAGGAGTAGAAGCTTCTCCTGACGGGCTTCTAAAGACAGCTTTGCCGACCGGTTACTGATAAGCCAGTCGTAGGTTTTCCCTTCCAACGAGGCCAGCTGGACCCTAGCGCGAAGATAATGGAACTGTGAGCGCCCATCGACGCCTTTGAAATAGGCGCCGTCGTCTTCCGGGGCCGCCCCGGGAAGGTCAAGGTCTATGTCTTCGTCCTGCTGAACAGACGGGACTTTTGTCCGGAGGCTGACGTCCTAGTCGCCGTCAGTTATGATATTGATTCGGTAGTAGGCATGGGCTTCTACCTTGTCCAGAGAGTAGCACAGCCAGAATATATTACTCCTGTGCCTCGCCACATCCGGAGCGAAGTTGGATAAGGAGGATTTGGCGTGAAGTTGTAGCCTGTGGGCCAGTCTGACGGCGGTGCCTATCAACATGGACGATGGTTTCTGGTCCGTATCCGCCTGGAAGAGAACTACAGCGTCTCAGGTTAGAGACGTGTGCGTATACCAGGTCGCGGAGCCGGCGCTTCAGCTATGGGAATTATCTCGTAAACACGCCGGCTCGTGGCGGATGTTGGAGAGAGACTCTGAGGGATTGGGAAACGGTTAAGACTGGATATCGGTACTCACTGACTAGACCTAGGAGAACCTGGATCCCGAGGGTGTCTTCCTCTCGCGTGACCAATTCCTCAAGAACGGACCGGGCATTGTCGATACATCGGAGAACCTTCTCGTTGTCGAATGCAACTGTAATGTCGGCGTTTTCTGTCGTGCGGATGCGGTAACCGATGGCGACAACTATATTTATAGCGGCCCAGACGGCCCTCCCCTTCTTAGTCTGTTCTCTCTTGGCATAGAAGTCGTACAGCGCCGCCATGAAAGATCGTTGGTGGAATAGCGGCAAGACCAAGTTAAAATCGCGAAAGTAGATTTCCACGATGGGCAACGCCTCAGCGATCGGCAGAATGTCGTGCACCTCCAGGCGCGGCGAACCCACCGCCCTCGACATCCCCACAGATCTCCACGCTGCGGGCGGGACAACGGGGCTTCTAGCCTGGCTCCCGAGCGGCTGGTCGAACGCATCGACGGCACTAGCGCCGCCAAGTCGGTCCAACTTGGCCTCTATCCGCGCAAGGCGGGCCTCGACGCTGCCATCGCGGAGGGGTGCACCCGCCGAGGATGCGTCGTTGGGAGGAGCCGGAGGAGGAGCCGGAGCAGGAGCCGGAGCCGGAGCCGGAGCGGCTCTCTTTCGTAGACCGGTGGTGACGCACGGAACGCTGTACAGCCGGCAATTTGAGCATGCCGGCTTCAGCATGTCGCATTTTATCTTCTTCCGGAAGCAGGTGTCGCCTCACGCCAACGTTAGCACGGTTCCCCACGCGGACACGCGCGGAATTCTAGTGGCAGACTCACATGCTTTGCGGCGAGAACTGATCTCCATCGCTACGGTCGATGGTCTCGCAGACGCGAGCTTCTACGTCGATGTCGCGACGAGAAAAAGAAGGGACCGGAAGAAAGGAGGTGCCTAGGTACATTAGATGTACCTAAGGTATAGGAGGTATGCTCTCAATTAGTAAGCAGGACTGTGGGAACCTGACAGGGAAAGTAGGTATTACTAACTTACCCTTGGTACCTGCAGCAACGGACGAGCCCCGATTAGTAACCTGATTCGCGCTGCTCTAAAAAGGCGGGCCGTACTTACTACATACACCCCCTTTTACATTCTACACAGTACACCGAGACCACCGAGATGGTCAGCATCGTCAGCACCGCGTCTTTCCGCGTTCTTCCCGACCAGGCTAGGACTATATTCTTAATTTCTCTTTCGAAGGGCTATCGACAGCTATTCTTGTACACCTCATCGGGCTGGAAATGTAGGTAGAACGAATGCTTGATATCTCCCTACTACTACCTACTGCCACGTGGCGGGTACACGCATTCCATACACAGACGCACACGCATGCATATAGGTATAGGAGATCGTATGCACACCCTGCGCCTAGTACGGCGTGCCGTAGGGGTGCGAGCCGGTCTCCGGGGCCGTCAAGTCGGGGTAGCCCCTGAATTCGAGGTTATCGGGGTCTGCGAGCTGGCGGCCGAGATGGGCGGCCATGTCGGTCCGGAAGCTCTGGACGGCAGCGGCGTTGCTGAGGTCGAAGGGCTCGCGGCCGTAGGCCACCTGGCGGATCTGCGTGGCCGACCCGACTAGGTAGGTGAGGAAGTCGTCGAGGACGTCGTCGCGCGGCCGTACCGCCGCGGTCACCCGCCCCGCCAGCAGGTCCGCCGCCAGCCGCGGCTCCTGCGTCGCCGGCCGCCCCAGGCTGATCCCGTCCAGGATGCCGAGCGCCTCGACCATGGCCCCAAGCGTGCGGAACCCCCCGGCCAGGTACTTCTTGGTGCGCGACAGGTGGGGCACGATGTCGCCGACGAACTCGAGGAAGTAGGCTTCGCGCTTCTGCGTCGACTCCTTGGTCAACCCGTAGCCTATGTTCTCGTGGTTGCCGCCGGAGAGCTCGACGTAGTCAAAGCCGAGCTCCTGCAGGGTGCCGCACAGCACGCCGACGTCGGCGGGGCGGATGCCCTTCTCCTGGAACTCGACCGAGTTGAGCTTGACGGCGAGCAGGAAGCCCGGCGCGACGCGGCGCTTGATCTCCTCGGCGATCTCGACCACGATGCGCATGCGGTTCGCGAGGCTGCCGCCGTACTCGTCCGTGCGCCGGTTCGAGTCCTCCGACAGGAACTGCGACAGCAGGTACCCGTGCGCACCGTGCAGCTCGATCCCGTCGAAGCCCGCCTGCTGGAGGTACGAGGCCGCGTGCGCGAACCCGTCGATGACACGCGCGATGTCCTCCTTGGTCGCCTCGCGCGGCTTCGCGTAATCGCCCATGCCCTGGGGTGCTGCGCCGTAAGACATTAGCAGCAGCAAAAAAAAAAAAAAACCCTCAGGGGTCGGCGTTGGTGCGCGGGGTATAGACGGCAGACTTACGAAGCTGGATCGCCGACGCCGATATGGTGTCAGGCCGGATGCGGGCGCTCAGCTGGCGACCCGGGTGCGTTACCTGCGCCACGATCAGGCTTCCGTGCGCCTTCGCCGCCGCCGCCAGCTCCTTGAAGGCCTCGAAGCGCGGCCCGGAGGGGGGGCACTCGGGCGTGATGATGCCGTCGCCGACGGCATCCAGCATGTCGAACTCGATGTCGATATTTCCCGTGGTAATGACGCCCCAGCCGCCCTCTCCCCATCTATTTTGTTTCCCCCCGACCCCAGAGTCAGCGAGACGTACCTTCACGAACGTCGCCAGGCCCGGGCCCGGGTCTCCGGCGGCCACCGCGACTCACCTCCGATACAGCTCGATCATCTCGGGCGTGGGGATCCCGCGCTCCTCGAGGTTCCGCGCGCTCCACGTGGCGAGGTCCTCGGCCATGGCCGCCTTCTTGAGCAGGTTCGGGGCCACCTTGCCCGAGAACTCGAACGTCAGCGGCTGCGCGAGCGGCGCGGCGCCAGCGGGCGACGGCGCGCCCTCGTACCGTCGGGCGGGCATGACGACTGGCTGACTGGCTGCCGGCGAACGCTGGAGGGATGGAGGGTAGTGGATGGAACAGGAGACGGGAACAGAGGGGAGAGCCCGGAGATTATAGGTAGGCAGGTAAGTATGTAGTATCCTCAGCCGCCTCGACGAAACCAAGCGATCTAATCTCTCCTGGATAAGATGCTGAAGCTAGCGTGTATCTGTATGCAGCAGCGGCTCTCCTTCTCCTCTCCCACCAGGTCGACGGCGAGGATACCCACTGCTTTAATACCTACCTCTTCCATCGACGCGCCCTCCGCCCCCCCCCCCCCCCCCCCCCGCCTCCCTCGTACGCCGCATTTGTCAGCGGCGGCGGACCACAACACACGGCGACCAGCGTCGGCCAGATTGGTGGTGCCGTGTATTACTACCGACTGCGTGTTGGTTCGGGTGTGCAGGGAAGAGCGAGGCGGGAGGGTGCTGCGTGAGTAAAGGTTCGCGTTGCCTCTGCCCTGGCCCCCCCTACCCTTACCCTTCCTCTCGGACGCCGTGGAGTGCCGTGGAGTTCCGCGGCGACCCACCCACACGGCGCAATCCGCGGTCGATCTTGTAGCTACCTAGCTAATACGTCCCCCCACGCGATGGGGGATGTGCCTGGGGATCGGCCGGGACGAAAAAGCTGGTACAGCTTGGCTCCGCGGCCCATTGTTACGTATACACGCGCATTTCGCGTTTCACGCGTTTGCGCTCCGTATGCTCGGCACGACGATTAGATGCACCCACTCGAGACATTTCGGTTTCAGGCCCCGCTCGGCAAGGGTACCGGGGGGTCAATTACAGCGGTATATTGCCTTGCTCTCTCTCTCTATGTGATCTCTCTCTAGCTGTGTGCAGCAGCTCTTTTTTTTTTTAGAGAAAATAAAAACAACTAGTTTGAACCTTTCTCATTCGTGCCCCACTAACGCCGTTGTGCAGCGCCGGGGCTGCGTAGATATAAATAGAAGCCATGAAAAATCCATACGCGTCTCCGCTAATGCTGCGTCTTAAGCCGGCGGTAGTATTTTGGGGAGGGGTTGCCTCCGAGGCTGACTATCGAGGAGAAGAAACCAGTGGACTCGAGAGATTCTTCTTCAAGGGGCCAGCGCGGCCGCAGGTGGCGACGGGTTGGACCTTTGGTTCTCTTGGGAAACCCTAGCTAGCTAGCTAGCTCTAGGCGGCGTTTAGTCGATCTCGACGTCTATCTCGAGATCTAGAGAGGCGATGATCTCGTCGTCCACGATGGGGCGATGGATCTGCGGGATGCCCTTCTGGTCCTTGCCCGCCCCGTGGTTCTGCATCTGGAGTTTCTGGATGTGAGGGAGCACCGTCGTTTTCGTAGGGGCGGAGCCCTGCTTCGTTCCGTTCGTCGAGGCCGGAGTCGATGTACCACTCCCGTTGGCGGTGGCAGATTTTTCCCGGGTCCGCCCGTTCGTCTCGTTGACGTCCTGCATGAACTTGGGCTTCGTCCTGAGGCGACGGGACGTGTCCTCCTCGACGTCCTCTCCGCGAGCGAGGCGAGCCTCGATTTGACGCGCCCTGGCCTTCTCCTTCATCTGCGCCCGGCGTACCTGCTCCGCATTGCGTCGACGATTCTCGGCGTTCAGAGCCGCGAGGCGGTCCTGCTGAGAGGGCGTGGAACTCGCAGGCTTGTTCGCCGGCGTCAAGGTCGTCCTAAAAGCCAGCCGCGGCGTCTCTAGAGAGTCCAGTTCGTCCTGCAGTCCCGTCACCTTGGTTTCGTCCCCGCCACGCCTAGCGTCCTCGATCGCCTTGAGCAGTCGGTTTCGCTCCGTGGGCGCGTACTTGCTGCGCAGAGCTCGTTCCCGCTCGATCTTGGCATTAACTTCAGCATCGGTCCAGGAGCGATTTCTGAGGGCATTGATGTCGTCTATCTTGGCGCTGAGGGTAGGTTTCTTGGGGAAGACGACGCCTTCTTCTTGGCAGACTTTCTGATAGCGGGTGTATTCGGTCTGGAGGTGGTCAGTAATGAGCAACACAAGCTGGGCAGAAGCATTTGCTCACCTCGGTGAAGGGAGAGTCAGAGCAACTGATGAACGGCCACTCCCTTTCGGCCTTGCCGTGGGCGACCTGAACATACTGGTCCGTGACGAAAGTTTGACCATTCTGCTTCTCCATAGCGTACGGCTTTCCCTGGGCGAATCCTGACCGAGAGGGAGGGTGGTTAGCGAGAGTCCACCAACCTCTGAGCAGGTTAACACATACCCCGGATAAGTGCCATCCTATAGACACCTACTCCATCGGAGCCCGGGCCGATAGCCACACGGACATAGCATCCGACAATGGCTTGCTCGAAGCCAGGATAAAAGCAGACCTGAGAGAAGCGGCTGCGTCCTAGCCGTATGCGCTCTATGTCGCGCAGGTCGGCAAGCGGAATTTCCTTGACCTCGGGGGTCCGGGACTTGGAGCGCCTCTCCTTGGATGTGCGGGGCCAGTCGGCGTCGCTATCGCCGTCGCGGTCGTGATCCGGGTCGCGCGATGTCGAGTGCAGTTTTCCCTTGTTGCGCTCCCGGTCCTCCTCTCTACGGCGCATGCGGTCACTCTTTTCGGCGCGCGCTCGGCGCAGAGATTCGATGCCGGCGCTGGTCTCGCCCACCTTGGAGCCTCCGACCCGGGTCCGCTGCCGCGAGGTCTTGCGCTGGGTATCATCAAGGTCTGCAGTACCGGCCTTGCGCTTCTTGGCCGACTGACTATCGTCTTCTCTCGTTTTCAAAAGTCGTCGCAGTAACGTGTTCTGTCGCTGGCGATCGACCTCCTCCTGACGTTTGGCTAGTAACTGTTCTCGCTCAAGCTCGGGCATGCCGAGAATCTCGTCTTTCTCCGCTTCGCTTGCATAGATGCCATCGACAGGGTACTTGGTATCATCGCCGCCATCCATCTTGCTGGCGGCGTGGGTGGTCTGGAACACGTCGGATTCCGAGTCGGACTCGTCCATGGGGGCCGAGTTCTGCGAGGCCGGGGAACCTATCGAAGAACTGTTGCGACATTGCGAAAGGCGAGGGTCAGCGCTGCGGGTTGGCGTGGGTTGTGTGGACGGGCTACGCGACGGCGGGGGTTGAGGAAGGTGAAGAGAGAGGGGGGGGGGGAGGGGGAGGGGGAGGGGGAGGGGGCGAGGCCAATTAGATGATAAACAACGCAAAGCAGGGTAGAGGGGGCATCGAGGCCATTGTAGCAGCGGTTTGATAGTAGGATAGTTTGGCGCGCCTCTTTGGACCAAGTCAAAAACATTTAAACACACCAATATGTCAGAGGGATAATAGGGCAAGACGACAAGGAATAGAAAAGAAGAAAAAAACTTACGCCTCGCCCTCTTCCTCGTCTGTGTCATCTTGATCTCTCTTCTGTTTCAACATGGTCGAGGCGTGGGTATCGGGGTCAGGCTCGGGGGAGGCAGAGGCCGAAGGGCTCGTGTTCATGCCCGGGTCTATTTCGTCATCGGAAGACTCATCGCCGCCGACAAGGGCCAAGAGTTCATCGTCTACGTCAGCCATACTGACGGAGTGTGCGAGTGGACAAGGCGGCTTGAGGTGGCAGCTCGAAACTATGGACAGGCAGGACGGCTTGACGGGAGGATTGGCGAGAAGATAAGGGAGGGTCGACGGGTAAGGATAATGGGCAAGCGTCGGCTCGATAACCGCGTCCGGCCAATCGAGTTGATTGTCTTGCTTCCCAGTCGGCTAAAGGGACATAAGGAGAGGATGCGACTTGGATGAGGATACGATGCGTGAGTAAGGGATGGATGGCGGATTCAGGTCCGTTGAGGAGGGAGAGGAATTGTAGAGGAAAAGGTTGAAGGTTGAACGGACGCAGGCAAGTCAGCAAGCCGTCTGCCAGATCCTACAGCCTCGTAGGTAAAAAGTACATGTGGGGCTCAAGGGTGCTGAGTGCTAACCTTAACTTGCCTAGGTACCGTCGATACCTAGGCTTTGTAGACAGAGGTACCTGCCACGTAGCAGTGTACCTAGGTAGTTACCTATCCGGAGTACCTCCCCCTATATGCAGAGTGCGCAGATGTACCCTGCTGTAGATACCTACATGCCGCTACCGTGCACTACCTAACTCTACCTACAGTAAGCTGCGTTTCGCATTGCCTTCTTCGGGTTTCCCTATGGTTACGCACCTGTACATGGTACTTGTTTACTTGCTAGAGGTAGGTTAGTAGGTACCTGACCCAAGCAAGATGCCCCACATCCCTTGCCTTTTGGCCTATGCCCTTCCAAATTCAATTGATGCATTTAATGCTGATATATGCATAGGCTGACAGGAGAGAGGGCACCACTATGTTACCTCCTAAGGTAGGTAGGTTAGGTACCTAAGGCACTATCTCAACCAGCAGAGTGGTAAAAGGTTGGGTAATGTACCTACAGGTACCTGCCTCCTCCTATGAATAGGCCGGCCTATTCCCGATAAGGCGTTGACCTTACGATGATGAATTTCAATAGCTGTCGCGTTTTTGGTGGGCTTCCACAGCTACACACAAAGATAATAGGTATAGGTGCATAGCTCTACCGTCAATTCCTTGATCTATTTGCCTCGAGCACCCTTTCTTTTCTTTCTTCTTCTAGAGGTCGAAACGGTATTCCTCAAGAAATGGCATGGCAGAGGACGTGTTCCAGCGCAATGCGCCAGACTCTGCTGCCGCTGCCGTCCCATTCGCGCGGCTTCCTTACCCCTGCACTGCGACAACCAGGTTGGAGACGACAGTTGAGCACCACTCCCACACCCACTCCCGATGACGATGCGCCCAAACCGCCGAGCCCAGTCTCCCCGGACGGCCCCGCGGCACCGCCCCGTCGCCCGCGCAAGCCCCTGACCCAAGAGCAGCGCGACTTTTTGTCCTCGGCGGTAAGCTCTCTCTCCCTCCCTGCCTCGACGGCTTCGGCGTGCCCGGCCACTAACGAGCCACGGCTACCCTCCTCCCTCCCCCCTTCCAGCTCCGCGTGAACCAAGCGGGCGAGCTAGCCGCGACCCTGATCTACACGGCGCAGACGCCGCCGCTGGTAGCGGCGCACCCGCACCTGCGGCCGCTGATGGCGCACATGTACGCGCAGGAGGAGGGGCACCTGGCGACGTTCAACGCGTTGATGGCGAAGCACCGGGTGCGGCCGACGGCGCTGTACCCGGTGTGGACGGTGCTGGCGGCGGGGCTGGGGTGGACGACGGCGGTGATGGGGCGCGAGGCGGCGATGGCGTGCACGGAGGCGGTCGAGACCGAGATCGGCGGCCACTACAACAACCAGATCCGCGCGCTGCTCGCCATGTTCGACCGCTGGGAGGCCGACGGCTGCGACGCCGGCGACGAGCTGCGCGCCCTCGCCGCCACCCTGCGCCGCATCCGCGACGAGGAGCTCGAGCACCTCGACCACGCCCTCGACAACGACGCCAGGAAGGCCGAGCCCCACTGGCTCCTCACCGGCGCCATCCGCCTCGGCTGCCGCGGCGCCATCTGGGTCAGCGAGAGGGTGTGAGCGGGACGGGCGCGAGGCGGGCAGACGCGTCCGCACATCTGCGCCGCTTCCCCCCACGGTGCCAGGGCTGTTCCCGCCGGGTTTCAAATGTAGTGTTTGAGTCACTAAACCTACCGGCGTCTAGCACTGCGGAGTCTTGCCCGGTGAGGTCGTTGTCTCGTACCCCCGAAGCCTCGGGGTGGCCCCCGAAGTGATGCGTGTCCTTTGGACGAGAGAGCTGGCGCCACGTCACACTTACAATTATAGGCGCATATCGAACGGGACCAGGTAGCCAGAGACTGGATCGTGCTGACGGCATAAGGAGGAAGGATAACGTATGTGCACATGCACGCGCATATATACCTATGTTTGTGTGTACTCGCATGTATGCCTTGTAGGCGTTCACCAGAAGACGTCTAACCATTGATGGGCTCGGGTTTCCTTTCGTGATCTACCTATAGCTCCAACCTTGGGCATGGCCAAGCTAGCTAATGGCAGTCGATGAGACCGATCTGGGATCTGCCACATTCATACCTGCGGTAAGAATCCCCTTCCCGGGAAACTCATTATGGGTAGCCATCACGTAGGTAGTCGGTGACAAGGTAGGCATAACAATAGCCCATGCGTGTAACTACATGTATCAGCAGGATATCATCGGCATCTCGACCTTGTCCAGCCTCGCCGGCAAGAGTCATCGACGTCCACGTCAGACCCAAGCCTGTTCCGGTAGCTGATGCAGCCGGGGCGGGCTGGTGCTCGGTCACTGGCCCTCCCTACGGAGTACACAGTACACCGCCGGACAGCCGGCATCTCGGGCTTCGGAGCGGGCCCAGCGGACCTCCTCAATAGGCAAGTTTCTGCGCTGTCGGCGTTGGGAAGGTATCACGAAGTCGGTATGCCGTATGGCAACTTCCTCGCGCCGGTGTCTATCCACGGGCACGTATACATACATACATATGCCTATATTCATATATATGTGCGTATCCATACATATATGAGGCTAGGCATATACCTATCCTATAGGTAGGTGTGTGGATCCTGGGCACCTTATTGGTCAGCTTCCTGTTGACGGATAACTGCTGCAACGCTCGTCTACTCACACCTATTACAATGCTCACCTATTCACCTGTTAGATAACCCGTTTACTCACCTGTAAAACAAACCTTGTAAAAGCTCCTAATTTCGCAGTTCTAGGACCTAGATCTCCTCTCAATGGATCAGCAGTTCAGGTTCAGCTTTCAACGTTTCGTATCCCCTCAGATGGCTTAGTGACTATGAAGCGACGGAAGCGAGCCTGGCCAAAACGCACAAGTGTATAAATAGCGAGTAGCTTCGACGTGAGCGCAACTCCTCAAGTCTTATTCTATTCCTCATCCGCTCCCCCACACCCATCGCGCACACACATACTCCGTAGCTTCGAGCCAGCCAGCCTTTGTTACCTTTTGCCGGAAACTCCACGGCCACGAGGAGGAGGAGAGAAGACACGAAGCGGACGAGAGCAACCCGACCGACACGCCATGGCGCTGCCTTTCGCGCTGCCCGCGTCGCTGGCGCCCTCGTTCGTAGCGTCGCGCTGCACGGCCGCCGACGTCGACGTCGACGCGCTGTCGGAGGCGTACTACGACAGCTTCCGCACGGACGTGCGCAACACGTTCTGGTGGCCGGCGGCGCGGGCGCCTATGATCGCCTGGATGCGGCAGCGCTTCCGGTGCAACCTAGGCACCCGCGGCGTCCACCAGTTCACGCTGGCCGACGCCGGCACCGGCGATATCGTCGCCTTCGCGCGGTGGAGCGTGCCCGCCGGCCACGCCGGCCTCTTCGGAGAGTGGGCCGGCGCCGAGAGCGAAGGGGAGGCCGGCGTCGACTACCCCGAGGGTTCCCCCCCAGAACCGTGCCGCCGCTTCTTCGACGCCCTACAGCATATGGCCGATAAGCACGGCGCCGATGGGATGCTGAGTGAGTGCGACAGATAGTCGAGAGAGAGAGAGAAAGGACGAGGGAAGGCGGGGGAGGGAGAGTAAGGAACGGACCCTCGCTGCTAACATACGCGTACGCGCAGAGCTCTCGCTGCTGTTCACGGCCCCAAAGTACCACGGCCGCGGCGCCGGGACGGCGCTAGTGCGGCCCGTCCTGGCCCTCGCCGACGCGCACGGTCTCCGGGCATACGTCCAGGCCACGCCGCGGGCCAAGGCGCTGTACGAGAAGCTGGGCTTCCGCGAGGTGGAGCGGGTGAGCTTCAGCCTCGAGGAGCTGGCGGGCAGCGGGCAGACCGGCACCTGCGACTTCTCGGCCATGATCCGGGAGCCCCAGTCGGCCTGATGCTGCGCCTACCTGCCGTGTGCCCCGCCGGGCTGATGGCCTAGGTAGGCGGGAGGTGGTAGATACATCCTAGCTGCTGGCCTCACAATGCCTGGTAAAGTCGGGTTTGTCCTCGGGGCCGGGGAGCGGCCGCCTGGGTAGAGGAGAGAGACATAGTTCGGGAGATACGTTTGGGAGAGGCTATCAGAATAATTGCTAATGTGTATTCCTAGAGTGTTGGAAATATACCAACCAACTGCCTCCCTGCTTTACACTGTTCCCGTAAGAAGACCTGCTTTAGGTAGTAGGCAGGCGGAGAGGCAATATGCCTGTCTACCTGGTCACATAAGGACACCAACCTTTATAAGACTTCCCCTCATCCCTTCTCTCTCCCCACGGTGGTATCGGCATTTTCTCAGCAACTGTAAGTCGTCATTCCTTAAATTGACCCTTAGGCCCAAGCAGCAATACCAGGAAATCAGGACCCAGGTACCCTAACTTTACCGGGACGAAACGGAGTCTCCAGGCGGTGCTCCGCGGCATCGGGAGCTTGAGCGGGACCGCGTAGATGCGGATGGCCCAGGGACAAAAGGGTGCCTGAAAAGAGAAAAACTAGCAGCCCGCGGCGGCTATGTATGCGTAAGGGATGAATGTATATACGGATGTCCGTTAACCTACCATAGAATGCCGAGCGCTATGCTGGCTGGTGGGAGGTAGCAATAGAGAGATCATCAAAACGCCGTGGGGGGCCCCGGTTGCCTCATGACACAACCCAGGAGACCAAGGAAACTACCAGGCGACGGGACTTTTGGCGGGCCGCCCAAGCTTTCTCAGAAGCATAACCACCCGCCCAGTCTACACTGAAGGAAAGTAGGAATGGACGCCGGGAGGGGCAGAAGGAGACGAACGCGAGGCGGCGCCGGGCCGAGGGCATATCGTGAGTCCACACCTACTTACCTACATCGTCTATGACGAAGCCAGTCGGCCCGCCTCGCTACCGAGGCAAGATGGTAGCGGGGATTAAGCGCTAGCTAGCGCCGGAGCACGGGCGGCGCCGGACGGGCCGAGGAGGAATCTGGATTCGAAGAAGAATAGAAGGACAGGAAGGGAGCGTCTATGCCGCCCTAGGCGCGTGTATCCCGCAACACCGGAGGACGTCTACACATCATCTCTTAGTCAACCAGCCAGTGTAGATATCCTAGTTAGCGGTGCGAATCCCCCCTCCCAACAGCCCAAGGCCAGGAGTGGGCCCCCAGCTCGACACTGAGCCGGCTGCCCCGTCCCGTCACAGCTGCTTGTAGCGTGGATCGGTAGACAGGTACCTACGTGCTTGGATTGGCTGCCCGTGCGGTATCCGGCGATACCTGCTCGCGGTACAGGTCTGTCGTAAGTAGGTACGTGGAGCATGGCGGTGTGCTATGAGAAGTGTGCATCTACATCCCCGCGAACCTCCTTACCAACAGGTCTCTCTACACTACCTCACATTCCTGAATATGATGCCGGGTCAGGTAATAAACACGGCAACCAGCTATACGCTATATCAGCCGCCGAGGAGAGGGGGGAGGACGTGACGTCCTTCATATTTAGCCTATTCACTCCACCCCCTCCCCACCCCTTAAACTGTCTCCTCGCTTGCTTCCTTACGACGCCCGGGTGGGAGAGAGAGACGCTGCCGCGCGAGGTGGCGCCCGCTCCCGCGGAGCAGAGCCTGCGTACTGCACCGTTAACCTACAGGCACGACGACGACAGGTGTGCGCTGGCGCGGGCGCTGGCTGGCATGGAGAGGGGGAGTCGGCAGCGGAGGCGGGAAGAGCGTGCTATGTGTGAGACACGGCCCAGCCAGCAGACGAACCCGGACTCCCGCGAGCGAGTTAGGCCTGCCGGGGCTGTTATTGCTGCCACTTTAAGCGGTCGGCTTACGGACCTCTCTCCGCCACAGTCCTCTTGCTGTTCCGTGGGAAAGACTCGACGGGGAAAGTCGAAAAAACATCGCATCGGGTCAAGCTGTCATCTAGCAAACGGGCCAGCCGGTCGGCATCATGATGATGGACAAAGACCGCGGCGGGTGGGGGGGAATAGCGCGCGAGGGTGGGAAGTCGTCCCAAGAGACGACTACTACCGGGTCCACACACACGGGAGAGGGAGAGACTTAATGTTGCTGAGGCGAGTCAGACGGGAGGAATGGGCGGCGCCCCCCAGGAATGATAAATAGCCGCCGCCGCCGCCTGTCTGCGTTAGGCAGTAGATCAGCGCCTTGCCGACTAAGCAGATATTTAGACACGCGAGCTCACTTACACGAAATATCCGCCTGCTGGTTGAAACACCGACGTCTAGACAGTCCGCTCGTGAGAACTGGGGCTGGCATTATCGTCGCCATACTTCCTCCTCGCTCGCGGAACGCACTCCAACATGCCGAATCTCAAGCGACTTTACCTCTGCGTGCTAGCTTGCACTTCCTCTCTCGTATGCGGTAGGTCGACCCTCCTTTTCGATCCCGCTATCCTCCTCTCCTAATGCGATCGCAGGGCTCGCTTTACCCAGCGCCGCGGGCGCGAACCGCGAGCCGGCCCTGCCGCGGGCGGAGGTGGTGGCGCGGAACTTCGCCGACGGCGCGGCGCTGCGCATCATGCCGCTCGGCGCGTCCATCACGTATGGATATGGGTCGAGCGACGGCAACGGGTACCGCGAGGCGCTGCGGGACCGGGTGGCGGCGCGAGGCAACGCCGTCAACATGGTGGGCACGAACCACGCCGGCAACATGCCAGACAACGACAACGAGGGCTGGAAGAGCTATACTGTCGCCATGGTCCACGGCAAGGCCGACGCCTCCGTGCCGGGCATCCGCCCTAACCTCGTCCTTGTCAATGTCGGCACCAACGACTGCCTCCACGGTGAGGACCTGCTCCGCGCTGGCGACCGCGTCGCGAGCCTCCTCAGCGACATTTTCACCCAATCCCCCCGCGCCACCGTCATCCTGTCCACCCTGGTCGCGAACCGTGACCCCCAGGTCGCCGAGCGCGTCACAGACTTCAACGCCCAGCTAAGGACCGTCAGCGACACGCTCCGGAGCGCTGGGCAGCGACTGGTCCTCGTCGACATGCAGGGCCCTGCCGGTCCGACGCTCGACGACCTGAGCAGTGACGGCACGCACCCCAACGACGTCGGGTACCTGAAGATGGCTGATGTCTGGTTCGGAGGCATCGAAGAGGCGGATCGGCAGCACTATCTGTTGACCCCGGAGCCCGTGTAGGGCCTCGAGCCCGACGGCGAAGCTTGAGTACGGATATCAACTAGTTTATTTTAACGACACATGTTAGTACGTGTCGTTTCTGCATGACGAGCAACTAGATCGGGAACTCGAGGCGTTGAAAGAGCAGGGGCCTTGTCACTTTGCCATAGCTAGACGGGCGACATCCGAACGGGACGTTCTTTTCGATTGGGTTGTATTGTCGCGGGGACATCTGTGAATACGGGTTGAATAAACTCCGATATGCAAGGCAGTAATCACTCACCGTGTATGTTGGATGAGTAAGGTCTCTCGGACCGGAATCTAGCTAGTTCAATAAAACCGAACTGAGACAGCTATCGACCAAGTAGCAGGTGTTGAGAATGTCACTTCTGCACACAATCTCTATCGAGACGTGGCCTATTTATGAGTCTATTAATATTAGCATTAGGATTGACTGTTTATAGTATATCAGATGCACAGTAGTAGCTTTCGGTCTCCTCTGCTAAGAGTAATTCGTGGAAGGGTGTTGTTATCTGGAAGGATTGCGGGCACGAAGAGGCCTCGCTTGCCCGAAACTCGGCTTTGGGAGGTTCAGTCCTTTGGTTTCCTCCGTGGCTCTATTCCTCGAGTTGTCCTGGAGTCTCCGGAAACCAAGACTCCCCTGTATTCATTAGGCGTACGGATTCCTTACTCCCACTTGCATATCTGTGGTTATATGATAGACTCGTCCTCTAATATTTTGGTGAGACCCGTACGGCTCTCCATGAAACCGCTTGTTCGCTGTCAAGATTGAATGAGACCTCCATTTATATTGTGGTAATTCTGGGGGCATCAGATATAGGGCTTGGTGGCTTTGGAAAGGCCCAGCAAGGACGGTGCAGGTCGTCTCGGCGTATTTCCAACGTTGGGGTTTTATTCTTTGCCCGGTTTCTGGTGAGAAGGAGCGGGATAGCATTAGAAATAAGTATCGGTAACTTGCTTATCGAGCGAGCCGAGTGCCGATATAAGTCGAGGGGAGCGTGCTAGGCGCATCTCGGCAGAGACAACGAACTAAGTCGTGGACATTGGGGGGTTTATAAAATTACAGGATGCTGTTGTACCGACACTCCTTCGTTTCCCATGTTTCCACCTAAGGAGTTTCTGACGAAGTAAATTTCGAAGCGACGTAATCGGATATTCCCGGTGAAACCTGGGTTTGGGGGTTGAACTCTCCTTTGGAAAATCTGTAGGATTCTTCGCCTGCGAGCCTCTCGGAATCAGACACGACAGTACCGTTTACTGCTGTCACGTTCCGAAAATAGAGCTCGTCGATAGTGCGGTTTCTGAAGCCGAGGGTCCTCCCGTCTTTGGAGCCGCCAAAATGGAAATATTGGCCGGACGAGCCGTAGCCGGAACTAGTCTTTCCATCGCCCGTCCGAGAGAAAGACGCAATGCCATCGCGCAGGGTTTTTAGGTGGGAACTGAGATATGGGTTGCCTGGGATGCCGGCAACATTTTGGAATGCCTCAAGGCCAGTCGGGAACACCGACCTGCCTTGAATTTGAACCTCGAGCCCTTCTATTAGATGCGCGCTTATTGACAAATTGCCCTCTGGCGATGTCGAATACGTCTGGTTGCAGTATAGTGGATACTTATAGAAAGTCTGATAGGTTGTGGTGCGCCAGCGCGCGGTAGGTGAGGTTGCGACATCTGCTCCGCTGATGCTAAAGTTATTGACTTGGGTGAATCCAAAGTTCGACACGAGCGCTTCATTGGAATACTGCAACATTTGCGACCAGCTATACTCACCCTTATAACTCTGTGTGTTGATCGATGATTTGAGATATGTAACCCTCTCGATGGTCATGTTGAAGGCTAGAGACTCGCTGAACCCCGTTTCATTCTGCGTGAGATAGCGGGAAAACAAAATACCCGGCCCGTGATTCTTCATCACCGGGGCAGTACCGGTAGTTATCGACCCAGCTTCATCCAACCACAGGAAGATCTTCCCCGTGACATACCAGCTGTCGTTAACGGTCTCGGTGAATGTAGAAGCAGTGCCATTCTGGATATCCCTTAAACCAACCACCCTGATCGTGAAGGTATGTTCAGCGCCGTCACATAAAACCGGCAACCACGGGGTGATATCGATCTGGTGCTCTTTCAAATCAAAAGCTTGTAGTCCAACGACGGGCCGGTGCAAGCTAGGTACCACACCACCGGTAAATACCACCGGAAATGGCCACTGGACCCCAGCAAGGGCGCCGTCGATAAGAACTTGAACCTCGCGGAAAGGAGATAGGCCTGGTAGCTGCCCCGCAGTCCGGCCAAAAGCAAGGGTGTCATCTTCCGGAACATTGCTCCACCAGAACTCCTCAGACGCTTGGCCGTTCGCAGAGACGGAGAAAACGGCTCGATTCACGTTGCGAGGAAAGCTGATTGTGTTCGACGCGTTATCCGCCGGCAGCGTGAACTGGCTCACCCCATTGGCCTCCCCCCTTCTCGCAGATATGGGAATGATCATATCAGCCGGGGGGGTAGCGTGAGTGCTGACATGAGCAACGAAGAAGGTGGCAGTTAGTGTGACATTGAATGATGCCGTATACTTGTCATCAATTAAGTTCCCCAGGTCGAAAATCAACTTCTGGGGGGATTTCCAGAGGTATAGAAAGTGTGTCATGTCCTTCGAATACGTCCAGCGGATACCGGGAGACGCTGTGGGCTCCGCAGTTGATGTCCTCCAGACTTCGGTATCGCCAAAGTACATCAACGCTAGACGATCAAATTGGCGACCCTCAGAGACGACAGTAAAATTCATAATTACTCGATTAAAATTGCAATTAGGTGGCATGTAATTTCCTATCGACTATTAGACTCAGCCTCTTGTCGGCAGCGAGCAGTCGTTACTTTGCACAACATACCAACGAAAGGTGCGCCGTAACTCTGGCCAAAAACGTGCTCCATCAGCAAGACCGAGCAATACTCGGGCCCCGTGGGCTTGCCGCCAGGTGGCGATCGAGACGACAAGACATCAGGCGTTAGCACGGGCGGCGCAACCTGAAAGCACTCAAGCGCAGTCGGGGTAGAAGAGGCCGCGAGTCGGATGAAGCCAGGAGGCTGAGGGAGACGCCTGAACGGTACCATCGGAAGCCAGAGAAACAGGAGCAAGCTAACCACACCGAACAGCACCATGAGCGGAGAACAACCCCGCTGAGCGGAAGCTGGTAGCTCTCTGCGACGACGCAAGTCGTGGCATGGCGCGGGAGCAGAATCAGCCGTCGACTGCCGAGGTTTTAAATCGTCGGGAGTCATGACGATGAGCATGTGAGCGGGCAGACGTGTTAGGTAAGTAAAAGTCAAAAATAGCCAGGCATGCGTCGCGATGATTATCAGATCATTCCAATCCGGCGGTCGTTGACGCTTGGCGGCCACCGTATGCGCAATCAAGAGCTTCCAAGACCGGTGGTAGTCGTCATAACCAAGAAGGCGAATATCTCTAGCTTATATCGACGCCATTAGAGCAGCATCCAACCACACGTATGCCGGGGATGTGTTGTAATTGTAGAGGGATCCTAGTGCGGTAGGGTAGAGAGGGATGTCGTCGTGGGAAAGTTGAAGGGGGGTTGAAGTCGTCCTAAGGTTGACCTCAGACCTCAGATGGTTACATAAAGTGACGGAAAGTAGCAGGTGCCCGTTGGGCAATTAAACGATATTTAAACGGCAAAGTATAACTAGGTACCTATGTATATATGTATGTGCATGCGGGTATGGTATTGTTTTATCATTAAGGTGGGTACACGAGGTACCTAGGGTAAATTGTACCTATGTGTACATGTAGATATATATGGGTATAAACGGTAGGTATGACAGGGATATGTGCTGTTACGTGTTGGCGTAGGACTGGTATAACGCGTCGCCGTATGCAGATAAGCGCAGTGAGAGGAGAGCTGTTAACGGGAAATATGCCTAAAGGCGGTCGTTGGCTCCGTCGCGTCTCGATTCCGCGCGCCAGGCGAGGCTCGAGCCGCTCCGTGGAGAGAAAAGGAGTCCTCCTCGCCCTCCCTTTTCCTTCTGTTCTTCGGTCCCATCTTTTGTTTCTACGGTTCTAGGCCGGCATTTCCCTGTAATCCCAGTATCTCGCCCTCGCAGCTGCGGCTATCTGGTCGCCGACGAACCGGTGCTGGAAAAAGTTGAATACGGCGAACTCGGTCGGCGACATGACGTACGAGTTCGGCATCGATGCTATCCGGCCCCAGATCTGGCCGATCGCCCTCTCGAGCGTGAGCTTGACCTCGGGGAAGCCGTAGGCCTCGTTGCTGTCTCGGGCGATCTCCAGCATCTGCATCACGTAGTCCTCGCTGTCGAGCACGCCGAACGACTGCGGTTTCGATAGGTGGAGAGCCGGCGCCGGATACGCTACGGAGAAGTTGGCTTTCGGCGGGCTCAGTTGCGGTGATGTCGTCATGTGGGCGTTGCTGACCTGGCGAGGCGCCTGTGTGACGGAATAGACAAAGACCATCTTGGTCGACGTCGCGTTGAGAGAGACGAGCGGAAAAATGACAGGTGGATCGTCGTCGGCTGTATAAGGAGACGTGTCGAGTGCGGACGCGTTATATAGCAAATCTCTTCACAAGAGTTCCCTATGCTCGCACAAGGGTTAAGGATGCGGTGAACCAGCAGGTTATATATGTATATAATGTTCCTACACAGGAAATGATCTGGGACTGGCCATCGTCGTCCCTATTTATATCAGTCACGACATTCTTCGGCTTATCATTCGGCATCTCGAACTAGTCTCCTGATCTAGGTTGGCGTTAGGCTCCTTCAGCTCCGACGTCGAGAGGGTTACCAGATACCTACCCGACAGCATTATGTCCATACGAAACATGAACTCCGATAATCCCCGACGACGAAGAGGCTAGCTAATGTAAAAATAGCTTTAGAGCGTCCGATACACTAGCGTGCTGATTCGCCTGTTTACATTAGTTTGATGGCGCTGGTTCACGCCCGCCCCTTATAGCGCGTGCTCGAACTGCCTCTTACCTGTTTCTGCAGAACCGCGCCCTACTCCTTGGAGCCAGAGATAATAGCCACAGACCCCGCGTTATTATCCTGTCTCTACTGAATGCTCCGTTCACCTATACACTCGTGGTATCTATCCGCCAAGTGTGTGTCGAGCGGTTCCTCCACGTTCTTCTGTCTGGTCTATCGTATGAAAGAAAGGCGCCATCACCAGCGTGGGTACGCGCACTCCCGGGCCCTCCGTGATGGCCGAGGTCATCATTGACCTCATAAGAGCAGACGTTAAGGGTCCTCTGTCAGTCATAGCGACATGCGGAGCGGCAGGTAAGAGTCGGGTAAGATTGGCACCCTCGTCACCATCGATCAAGGTAGGCGTGGGTGCCCTGCTTCTGTGTCGGGGGACGGCATGTTTACTCGGCATCGGCCCTTTCTACCGTGTATTCTCTTGCTTCTACCCGCCGTCGCCGTCTCGCTGCTATTCAGTAAGAACAACGAATCGGTGTCCTAGCAGGCCTATGCCGATTTCCCGGTACAGATGACCTCCCAGTCCCGTCGCCGTGGTCCCTGTCGAAACGTGTCAGTCTCGCCCCCCCGCGTGCACCGCCATCCGGCCGCATGCGCAGTGAAAGGAGTCCGGTACTGTACAGGCGCGAGTCAGTTCCCAGATTTGCAGATACCCAGCGATGCTTCCGCGGAGATATAGCGCATTTTTCGGTAGCTCTCTCTCTGCAATCCGGTCTGGCCCCAAGCCAAGGAAGCAATATGTGCCTAGACCTGCTTCCCGATGAGAATTCTAGCTGCGCGTTAGTATGATTAGTCGACTACTCGGGATTTGAGTGAGCATCTACTTCGGAGATTGGTTTAATAGGCACTTCAGCTGGCGGTGGGAGGAGTGAAGGAACATGCCGAAAGCACGCCTCCCTATCTGCCACGATAGTCCGGCGGCTAAGCAGAGCGGACTAGGACGGGGCCAAAGTCAGATTCAGCCGTTCCGGCCGCCAACCTCGACACATAGGTGTCCTCTCCGAGATGGCCGGTACCTGATATAAGCATCTGCCTGCCTCCTCTCGAAGCACCCACTTAAAGCAGAGTACACGGCCACCTCCTAATGGCACGAGAAGAAGAAGTGATCGGAAAAGGGAGATGGGACGGTTGAACTTTGTTCGCTCCAAGATGTTATTTCGAAGTGGGGAGAGATGGAAGTTTCCGTATATACACTATGATACCGAGGGTTGAGGAGGAGGAGGAGGAGGAGGAGGTGAATTCATCGGTGGCTGCCTTGACGCGAGCGCCGAAACGCAGGCATATATGACGATTGCCCTCTCTCGGCGACTCAGAGACACGAAGGGCCGGCCGCGAGACACGTCACGCACGATCCTTGCTAGGTTTCGTGACAATTCAACATGAGCGTAGGTCTTCGCCACGGCCGAATCAGTCGCAACTTTGTTTATATGCCCACCGGCCACTTACTTCTGCTATGAGGCAGACTGTCCGTGTGATATACCGAAAACGACGGGCTTACGTCCTCGGAGCGATAGCTAAGAGCTGTTAAACTTCAACCGCCCCTTTTTTGAATTTCTGATTTTAGGGAAACTTCACCGAGCTGTTAGTTAAAACCCTTCTGTGAAGACCTGCTGCTACTGCATGAGCGCGATTAATGGAGGCGAGGAGTTCGTGGGCTTAGGTAGGAGGTGGCCGTGGATTTATTACCATTATTATCGCCCATTTCAATCCATTCTCCGAACAACTAACACGTCCCCCCCAGACGGCTATTGCCCGTCATCTGTTCCCCACTACCATTCGTCATTTACGTCCGGCCCGGCTGGGTAAGCTGTGTAGGCCCGGAAAGGGGCTGGACGCACGCCGAGTTGATGAGTAGCTTCTGTCTATGTGGAGTTCGTCTAACCGTCTTTTTTCTAACTGGCCGTATACCCCTTTACTATGTGATCGTACAATGCCGCGTCTAGGTGCCCCCGTCGATTATCATTACCAGAGCTTTTCTCTCCGATGGATGGTATCAACCCACAGGCGATATCCCCGGTAATACACGTCCTTATCACCGCTTCCCTGGCCGCTTTCCAATGTTCCAGCCCCAGGATCTCAAAGTCTTAACTACCCTGGGCGTAATCGCAGCAGTTAGGGGGACTCGGACGAAGATGAAGCTTTTATGGATGGCATAGGCGAGGGCCAGCTGCGTCCCGAGACCTAGGAAACGAGACGAGACGTGAGTATGATTTGGCCAGAAGGAGGACGGAACTCTGGGCGGAACGTACTAGCCTCGGACTTGTGTCTCCTCTCGGCCTCTTCGACGCCCCAGCCAGCCACCTCGACCTGCTCGCTGATGTTCTCATTTCCAAAGCGTTCCTTCTCGGCGCTCTTCAGGGTGTCGCGGTAATCTTGCCACCTGTTTCGCACGGACTCTGGTATCGCCTTCTTCACGTTGGAAATGACGAAATGCTCGATTTCACCTAGCATCGGTCAGCGCTCCTCCGCCTTCTCCTCCGCCGCTGTCAACACTGACCAATCCTTTCTGTCCCGACGGCGCGGACCAGTAAAAAGCAGAACGGGAAATCCAGGACGGTTAGGCCCAAGTAGACACCCAGAGCTGCCCAGCCGTACTCCCTAGACAACTTTTTCAACCTCGCCGAGAATCCCTGCGGTTCCGGGGGCGTAGCACCCTTGGGAGGCGGGGTTGCACTTCGCAGCCGGGGGTTCCTGTGGAATGATCGTCGAGACGTTCGGAGCCACGGCTTGATTTGTCTGGGGGGGGCATTCGTTATCGCCGGTCTCGGCGCCGCGCATCGAGGAGCGTTCGGGACGGGCCGTGATATGTACGACCGCGATTTCGAGACGAAGGTTCGCCCCGACGCCACGCCCCCGGTATGAGGCACGGTCCGACGAAGCGTAGAAGCTCGCAAAGCAATCCTCGGTTGGAGAATGCGCAAAAGCGGTGGTATCATCTTATGTTCGTCGCGGTATTTGTACAGCTCGTAGGCGTTGAAGCTTGAGGGTGCGCTCACGGACTGTCGGTCGAGAGGTGTCGGATGTCAGCGACAAGCGAAAAAAAAGGCCGCTCGTGCCGTCCAGGCGGCCCGCAGCATGCGCCGCACGGAGCAGTGCAGCTTGCAGATCGTAGGATGGTGGAAATGTACGCCGTTCCTTTCCTTCTCGTGACAACGACTAGCTGCTAGGCAGGGCGCGAGAAGGTGGCATCACAGGATTTCGCACGGGAAGGGTCGTGTCGAATTGGGTAGCGAGAGGGCGAAAGGAGGGAAATTTCCAGGGCTTCGGAGTTGGTCGAAGATGTAGGATGATGTAACTTGACGATGGCCGATGTTGAGTACGCAGCGGTAATCAGGAAGTAACCGTGGGGTCCCAGTCTCGCTAGTTGTCCAATGAGGATGCGCTGATAGCGTGGCCCAGAGGAGGTAGCCAGAGGGCGGGTTATCGGAATCAGGTACCCATGTAACCCGGTCCAGCTTGTCCTCGTTTACGGTAATAAAAGGCATCTATTATTACCATTCTCACCGTCGCCTACCTAGGTACCTAGGTAAGCTCTTCTCTTGATAGAGGTAGGTAGCAGCATGCGACGAACGAAACACAGTATGCAGGGCACCTAGGTAGGTAGGTATTCGCATTCCGCCGTGTCGGACCCAAAGATATACCTACGTGTATATACCTAGGTGCCTGCCGTGGAGGCATTTGCTCGTAGCTATCTGTCCAGCACTAATAGCAATAATTTAGTAAACTACCCACCTGAACGATGCTCGAACAATACCAACGGTTTAGCGGTACCACTGCCTCGTCTGCCCACTACAGGGCCAGAACTCCACCTCTTTCCTCTCTCTCCCCTCTCTCCTCTCTCACGCTGCGGGCGGCAAACAGAGGCAGACGCGAACCCAATCGCGAGGCACGGTTTCCTGGCCAAGGGGCGCCTGGTGTTGCGTGTCGCAAGCAGGTAAAGACTTGGCGACCCGACTCGCTGTGCTCGGGATAACGTGCTACATACATGCCGTAGGGTAGGCCGGCGCAGTTGTTTGGAGACCTACACAGCCAATGCTCATACAATACAGCTGCAGGGGTGTAGGCCGGTTCACGGTTGCCGGGTCAAGCTTTTTTTTCTTCCTTTCTTCTTGACAGGCCAATCTATAGATGAGGGGAGGGTCAGCGATCGCCCAGACGTATGGAGTTGAATGTGTACTCAGTATCTCGCCAACAACATGGGGAGGGCTTTACTGCCCGGCCAACCACGGAGCACGCAGGGGTGCTACACCAGGAATTTATGTGTGCCCGGAGCAGGTTTCTTGGCAATTGAAAACTGCACGATCGGCCTTTCGCAGCCTACCCACCAGCACCCTGGCTACGGTGCCTATGAGACGTCTACGGGTCGCTACGCGAGATTTTCTAGATCTTCCACGCGATGAGATTCTTTCTTATTAGCAGAGGTAGGCAGGTAGGCATCGCTAGGTTGGGACGCACACGGGCGGGCCACTGCTCTTTGTACACGATCCAGCTGGGTCGGCACCGCGCATAATAGGCCGCATTCGTATCCCTGGAGGAGGGGGATATAACAATACCTACCATCTTTGACGCCAGCCCACGCACCTACACATAAGCAAGGCACTTAGGTAATTCGAGAGGTCCCCGCGTAGACGGAAACATCTGCGGATAGCAAATCCTCGTAGCGTGAAAAGCCTAAAAAGCCAGCTAAAGGAAAGGCTCGCAACCTTCAGATCGCCAGACTGCGACGGCGCAGAGCTTCCCCGGGAATACCTCCAAAACCCATCGAGTGACTTCTAGAAAGCCAAGAACAGCGAAGGAGGCCCCATGAGGTCATAGTTTGCAGAGCAGACGGCAAGGTACGTACTGGTCCGCAACTGCCGATCACCGGGTCATCGATGTCGACAGCAACCCCGTCAACATCGCCCACCTGCATCATTGGGTCGGCCCTGGCACTCCATCGACACACACCACACACCCTCTCTCCATTGACCCCATCCCGTCCCCATTCTCTGCCCGCCTTAGCGAGATCGTCCGTACCCAGATCAATAACCTACCCCCCCCTTCTACGCCCGCCGCCACTGTTCCCTATCCTCGTCGCGACAAAACAAATCAAAAGGCACCCATCCGGCAGAGTATTAATCCCTTTCGCACCCTCCCTCCACCTGCTCCGCTCCTGAATCGCATCACATCCCGATTGTGCCTTGACGATTCCATGCTGATATATTCTCCGAGCGGACGAAGACAGAATCAACAAGCATTACGCCCTTGTCCAACCCGACCCAACCGCCGATTGGCATCGAGTCCACGTCTGCGTCGGGACGCTTGCTGACTCGACTTGCGCCGAAGAAAGCGCTCGCATATCGTCACCACGTTGACGAGCTCCACCCGGCCTGCTCCGCTGCGACACCAGCATATTCATCCGCCCCCTTCGTCGCAAACCTTCTACCTATCCGTTGCTTTTACCACCACCAACGCTTGCGCGATTGCGATCCTCTCCGTAACCTGATCGACACGAAGCCTCCGCAGAGCCACCGCCGACATGGAGATGGTCAAGTCTATCCTGCGCCTCGTGCAGCTCCTGTTCGTCTTGCTCACCACCGCCCTCGTGGGCAATGTCATCGCGAACAACGTCAACAGCGCCGGCTCGGCCGCGTCCGCCGTCAACTTCGTCATGTTCGTCTGCGCCCTGTCCTGGATCGCCGTCCTCTACGGCATCGTGACGCACTTTTTCAGCTCCCTGGCCATCCCGATCGCTTCGCTCGCCCTCGACGGCGCCGTCACCTTGTTCACTTTCGTCGCCGCTGTCGTGCTCTCCGCGAAGCTCCAGGCCGTCAACTGCGCGAACCTAGTACGTCAATGTCTTCGAGTGCTTGCTCGTATCCCCGCTGCTAACCGCTCAACCTTCCTTTTCAGGGCCGAAAACCCAGCGACTACATCGTATTTGGCTCGGACAACGACGAGAAGCGCTGCCGCGAGATCCAGGCCAGCGCCGTGTTCTTGTGGTTCCTCTTCGCCACCTTCACGGCTAGCCTCTTCTTCACCGTGAGGGAGTTCCGCCGAGCCGGCGGGTCGGTTTCGCGTCCGAGCATGTCCCAGATCGGCGTGTAAGCCAGAGATCGGATCACCAACGACGGTAATCCGTCCTAACATGGTGTGGGATGTGATGCGGCTTGAAGAGAGGTTGTTACTAGGCGCGCCAGTGTTGGATGCGTACCGTGGGGCGGCGAGCAATAACTCTTTGAGAACTGAATAAGTGTATAATTGATGTCGACGCCGGGCGAACCGGGCCTCTTGAAGGAAGTTATGATTGACGCTGGGGCACATGGCCCCCTTTCCATTGACTGGGAGGAGTCGAGAGCAAAATAGAGCTTCTGTCGAGTTTTTATTCTGCGGCACTGCGTTCAGGACATAGGATACGGGACTACGAGTGCTGTGTAGGAGTTACTCGAGTTGCTTAGTGCTGATTAATGAAGTATGTAGATAATCCAAGTTCTGCTGATGAAACACCATCGCCGGCTCTCAGACCCATCGTGTCCGATGTCTAACTCGGTGCGTTTTGCGTAAACTTCGGTAGGTAGGAGAGGCTTCTCCGTCCGACGTGGTGTTCAGCACGGGATAGGACGCCGTCAGGGAGGCAATATTAGGTATTCTCCCAGGCCCCCCAGCGTCCGGTATCAGGCAGAGGACTAGGTATAAGCCGCCCCAGAGAGGTGAATTTCTATCGCAACATTCAGAGATACACATCGGCATTCCTAATGTAGGTCGCGATATACGCAAGTTACCTATGCCTACGTATGCCTGAGAGATCTATACTGATCTGACTTATAAGCCCCAAAGGTATCCTACCAAACCTACCTAGACCTACCTAACCTAGACCTACCTGCCTAGGTAGGTACCTCCAAATTATCAGGGTAGCCATTTGCTTAGGTACCTTTGTTAGTGGCGGGTACGAGGCAAGTACCGATGTATTAGGGCATGTTTTAAATAGGTACCTCCTACACATTTTACGATACCGGTTAGTATATTTCCTAATCCCAAGACAGAAACAACTACATCTACAACGCCGAATCGATGCCACACGATCGTCCAGCGCTTCTATTTCTGATTATACATTGAGCTGGTCCTCTCCTCTCTCCGCTACCGCCTCCCGGGGTCCAGGGAAATCATCGTCCACTACATCGTCCGCCTCCAGCCTCTCCAGCACCCTCTCGACCTCCTCGTCCCATCTGCTCAATCCGACGATCACCCACTCCAGGAAGCCGACCAGGTATAGGGCGACGCACTGCCCGATCCACAGGCCCCGCAGGCCCCATCCATGGAAGGCGAGGTAGATGCCCGCCGGCAGCGCCCCGCCGTAGTAGCTGACCAGGTTCACGAGCGCGCCGACCCACTGCCGTCCCATGCCTCGCAGCGCCCCGCCGCAGCTCCCGTTTAGCCCGTCCGCGATCTGGAACAGCGCCACGAACGGCATGACCTCCGCCACGAGCTCGACCACGCGCTCGTCGTCGTTGAAGATCCGTCCGAACACGTCCTTGGCACCCATCAGGACCCCCAGGATGGCGGCGCCCATGATCGTCGACAGCACGGCCGCGCAGTGGGCCGCCCGCGCGGCCTCTCGCGGCCTCCGCGCCCCGAGCAGGTTGCCTAGGCGGGCGGAGGCGGCGACGCCGAGCCCGAAAGGCACTGTATTGATGACCTGATCGGCGGTCATGATGACGGACTGCGCCGCGAGCGCGACGGTACCGAGCTGGCCAGCGGCCAAGGCCACAATCTCGAAGGCCCACCACTCGGTGCCGACGTGGACGACGCCCAGAACCGCGAGGCGTGCGAATGGCCCGAGGTTAGATAGGGCACGGCGTGGTGAGAGGCCGCCCCAGCACTCGTGGCCGCGGACAAATGCCGAATACGCAACTAGCAGCAGGAACGAGACCCAGTAGGAGATGCCGGTCGCGAGCGGGGCCCCGTACAAGCCGAGGCCGAACGGGTAGACGAAGAGGTAGTTGAGCAGGGCATTGAGCGGCGACGTGATAAGGAGCACATACGTCCCTGGCCGGTAGATCGCTTGGGCTTGCAGGTACTTCTTCATCGACTCGAACCATACGTAGCCCAGCCCGCCGGGGATTAGTATGCGGAGGAACTTGCTGCCCTCGACGCAGATGAACTCCTCTTGACCGAGAATGCGGAATAGGGGCTCAGAGAACCCCCACAGCACGGCCACGGCGGCGTAAAGCAGCGACAGAACCGCGATCCCCCTCTGCAGCAGGATCCCCAGGTCCTGCTTATTCTGTGAGCCGGTGAAACTCGCCGATGCGAGGGTGTCCAGCGCTGTCGTGCCGCCTATTGCGACGAGCCAGCCGGAGGCCATGGCGAACACTAATTGTACGGAGGGTCATAAATCAGCTACTACGATTTATCATATGCAGCTCGAACCCGAGTTTCCTTTCTCCTCAGACCCCGGTCGCCCGTACACTTCAGGACGACACGTAATTCGCGGAGCGGAAATGCAACAATACGAGCGATGAAAAAAATCTACTAACTGTAGCAGAAAGCAGCAGTGGCTAGCGCCTCTGGGGAGATGCGGCCGACTATCAGGACAGAGACGGTCTGCAGGCTGTTCTGAAGCATGTAGGCCAGTATCACCGGGATTGAGGCCCTTGCCAGGAGCCATATTTCGGACAGCCATTCCCGATACAGGGGATTTATCCACCACGCGCTCGCCGGGGACGACAACGGCTTGGGGAGAAGCGCAGTTCTTTCGTTGTCATCCCTCGCGGGCGGATCTGAAGGCCATGTTGCCGGCATTATCGTCGGCGATATCTCGTTCTCCATCTCGAGGTGGTCCAGATAGCCGGCGGTTTGAGATAGCGCCGTGGAAAAGACCAACACCCCAGGAAGCTAGACGTAAGTTGGAATCAAGGTACGGATCGCCAATTATGGTCACTCCACCGATCACCGCCGCAACGCAGAGGGCACCGCGTAAACATTTACGGGACGTCCTCGCAGAAAGGGATGGACGTGTGGTGAAGGGGGTACGCCCCAAAGCACGTCAATGTAAGGCAACAGGGGAGGTCTCTTCGTATCTCTCTCTTTATAGTCCCTCCGGATTATGTCTTCGTCGGCGGTGGGTGCTACGTGTTCCTACATATCAATCCGTAGATCTAACCTGCCTCCATTGGGTACCAACGCGGGTCGACTCCCAAGTCCAGTCTCGCACGTAAGTACTACTACGTTGATGCCAGGCTCGCAGGATACTGTCCCCTCTAGATATCCCGCACAACATCGCCCGGGGGGGGAGGTGGAGGTGAGGAGGAGAATCAGAGTGGCTGCTCCCTCATTGGGTACGGTATACTGGCGGTGGGTACAAGAGGCGCAACAAAGCCCAGATAATCAACGGGAGCATGCATCTTCCGGCTCTCACTCGGCAGGCCATTCGTCGTCTCCCCGTGCCCTGTCGTGTTGTGCAGCATGGCCACTACCCGCTCGCCACCGTCTCGGTATCGGTTCCATACGATTCGGAGCCGACCCGCCCCTCTCACCGTTCTGGCTCTCTCGCTATCGGATCGCGTTGAGGGGGGCGCCATACGTGCAGCCTCGCCGGGGGAGGATATGGGACGACTTGGCCCTCCGATTTGGTAATTCCCCTTTCCCCCCTCGCCGTAGGCGTGAGCGCTGCAAGGGGAGGGGGGAGAGGAGAGACAGGTCCCGTCAGCGCTGGGCCGCCATAGGGCACCGGCTTACGGGATTTCTATCAGAGACGAATTAGCGGCTGGGTAATGCAGGCGATGGGTGAGTTGGCGCTGCATCGCGATATTAAGAGATCGTCTACCGAGTGGCGGCGGTGTGCGCTTTGCTATGACAAGATGGATTTGCCAATACTTACTGGTGCGAGACTCGATGCTTGCTCTGAGTGGTTTTCATTCCGGCTCCGTACTGTGGGGGAGAGGGGGCAGAATACCAGGGCATGTTGTCCCGCGGTTCGGGGGCTGCGAGGCCGAAAACGTCCCCCAATCTTTCACGCCCCCAAGCATCGTCGTAAAGTCATCGCGCGTTGCTTGCCAACATTCCCTCCACGGCCTGACTGCCTGCCTGTCTATCAGTTTACTCCCATACAGGTATTCTCCGTAACGTGGGTGCCAACCCGACACGTACTGAGCTTCATCCTTGTGCCCGACTTGGGACGGACTACGGACCAATCGAAGTGGCATTGGAAATTCTTGACTTTCCCGCCCAGTTTCAATTCGACATTCCGTCCAAGCCTTCTTAAGTAACTCGGTAGTCCACATGCCAGTGTTGCGCCCCCGCGAGCGGCGACCGGATGAGCGAGAGAATGGATCTCGTCGCCCTTCGCGTTCTGGCGGCTTCGATCGAGGTCTCATCTGTGCTCTAGTATAGGTACCTACCCACCTACCTGATTCTGTCTTGCTACCGCCGGCTCTCTCCCGACTACCGATAAAACTTAGGCATTCCGTCTGCACCTCATCGGGCGCGTAGGGTCGAGGTTCCGCGCAGTATTATCATAGGGCGCCATTGGCTAGAAAAGGACCAGATTGTGCACCAGAATCAGCACGATGTGTCCCTTTAAGCGCCGGGTGCCCTCGCCAGGGACTAGTCACGCTGCAAAGACACAACAACACGAGCAAGGGGGCCGGACCGATAAAGAAGTCAAAGACCGCCATGTGAAACCCCCCAGCGGGTATAGTTACCTAACTGGAAGATCCGAGAGAAGAAGATAAAGTTGATTAGGGAGACGGGGGAGAGTGAGTTGAAATGTTATACTAGGAGATGCTGTCGTCTAGCCTCACTGACACGCGACGGATAGGTACACTCTCGTCTATTATGCATACGGCAACGGTGCAATTGGCGAGCATATCACCTCTTCCCCCCCAGCCAAGGGTCGTGGCCTGTTTCGAAAAACAACCGCCCGGGAATGGGGCACGCCGCTGATTGCTGGGCCAAGTCAAGACTGACTGCATCGCTCTATAGGCGCCTAACAAAGTCCCCCCTTGCTCAATGACTGGATGCGCGGCGTTTAGGTATCTGGGGATTCTTTCTCGCGAAGCCGTGCTTAAGTGATAAGATACCAACGGTCCTCCCCTTCGTCGAACAGGTAAACTATTCAGATACGTTTATGTAGGGGTTGTCCGTCACTTATTCACAGCCAACCCCCAAACTACCTACTCAATATCCCCCTTCCGTCAGGGACCATGGGGAGGTATTATTGGTCTAATTCGTGGGACTCTCCGCGGTAGACCAGACCGGCTCTCTCCTCGAAAGCATTGCTTATACCTTTCTACCCACATACCGACTTACCTACTGCTCTCTTCGCAGGCCAGTCTCATCTGGCCTGCGATAAAGGGAAAATTATACGCGCAAATACGCTGCCCATGCCCACATCAGAAGCGAACAAGAGGGGCCTGAAGAGAGAGAAATGGCGGCTCCGCGAGTCCCTCGGGAGGTATGGCACTCTCGTCATAACCGGCGGCGCCATTGTCTCGGCCCTCGTCTTAGGCTTCCTCAGCTTGCTGTGGGTTGGCCAGGGTCCCGGGAGTGGCGAGAATGCGTCTGCTGTGTGGCGGTTCATCGCCATGAGGGGGTGGTTCGTCGAGGCTGCTACCCTCTGTACGATGGTCATCCAGGTGTGCGCGAGCGCTCAGGCCCTGATATGCACCAGTCTCGCGGCGGCGACGCTCCTCGAGACCACCGGCGTGCCCCTCTCCCAGGTCGCCGAGTTCTCTACGATGCGGGGCGCGAATGACGGCCCGTGGCGGTTCGTCTATCTCACGTTCCGCTCAATTCGCAATTTTTTCTCCGTGCAGTCGCTCCTGATGCTCGTCCTCCTCCTCGGGACAACGGCGACGCACTTTTCCTCCACCATCCTCGTCACCGATCTGGAGGTCTCCTCCATAACCACCGATCCGACCCAGATGCTGCTAAACGTGTCCCTGTCCGACGACATAGAGACGGGCCGACCCTCTAGATCCCAGTGGCTCCTGAAGCCGACAGATTATGCCGTCTTCGGCGAGATCCCCTCGGGCATTAACGTGGAACCGACTACTGGCGGCTTCAGCGATACAGGAAACGTCAGGAGGTTATTCCCGCCCCTTGGCCACGAAAACAGAACTAAAATTCGTCACTACAGTGGTAGCGCATATGGAATCAACTCGAGGGTGGCCTGCACACCTCCAGTTATAGGCGGGAGATTCCACTACACCAGGTCGAATGTCAGGGGGCTACCCTTCCTACTGAGCATGGTGGGACAGATCTCATACAAGGCCACCTTCGAACGCGCTGGCCTCGCTGAACCGTTGCTCTGCAGCGATGGAAAATGTCTGCCCACCCAGTTCAACTGTACTCTGCCTACTGCCGGGATTCCCGGAGGGCAGGGGATTTACATGTGTCTCCCGGATATATCAAACGTCATCGATGAGAACGTTGCCTTTTTGAGCGACGGCCGAGACAGACCGATTACTCCCCACTCAATGGTCTTCCTCGTGACGCGGAACAACGGGTCATTCGACGAATGGTCCTTCGCGAAAAACACGAGCAGGATTCCAGACAACCCGAGCCGCGTTGGTGAATGGGCCAGGTGGAGACTCGGAAACAAAATCGTATTCGAAGCGTCCATATGTTTCTCCGAGCTCCTATGGGAGATGTCGCAGGTAGATATGTCCACTTCTCACGACGCGGTCGAGCCGACGATTTACTACGACCCAAAGGCCCAGTTCGCAGATTCTTCTGCTGTCCGTGCTCTGCTAGGGGCGAACGCTGGACCGACGGACGCGGCGGACCGGTCCCTCCTCAGAATAAATGCCGTCGGCAACACAACGACGGATTCGAGGCTACTTCACTACCTAGACGGCGCGATTAACTCTGGGGTATTTGGAAGTCAGGAACCTCGATTGGGCACGACGATTAACGGAGGCGGAACGAGCTTCGGACTGTCGACCATCAACCCCTTTGTGGACTACGTGGCCGTCTTCGAGGACGTGCTGGTGGAGACCAACCGCCCGGCGGTCGCCATACAGTCGATAATGACGATGATGGCGATGTCACTACACTACGCCAACCTGGCGCTGCTGGACGTCGCGGAGGAGGTGAGCATTACGACATCGGCACCCATCAACGTCCCGGTGCGGTGGACCGGGCTTGCCGTAGTGGCGGGGGTCGTGACCGTGGACACCCTGTGCGTTGTCGCGATCACGACCATGTTCCTGCTGCGGACCCGGTACTCGAAGCAGGGCCACTTCTGGCACGCCGTATCCCAGCTCATCTCGGAGCGGACGATCGGCGTTCTGCAGGCGAGCCCCGAGGCCAGGGACGAGCACGCGGTGGAGCGGGCGCAGGTGGGCGACCCGGTGATGGTCGTGGCGCGGTGTAAGAGGACGGGGAGAGTGCAGGTTATTCGGAAGGACGATATCGAGGACGGGAATGAAACATGATACCCCTTTTGTTTACGGTTACGTTTGGACACATTCAGGATTCCTTTTAGAATATACATGTGTTTCTATCAATTGCCATAGCGTTATCTTGTAAACCCCTGAAAAGGCCCACGTCTTCTCTGGGTTTTCAGACCCCTACTCGCCACCCTTCCCTGCTCTCGTAAACCAAACTGGTAGTAGGGTCTATACCTTCTTGGCGATTCTGGCCTCAGCACCTGACTGTGGACATACCCATCGTCGTAGTACCACACGGGGTGCAACCTCTCCTAGACGTCGTGGTGCTCATGCTGACCCCTTACGCAAGAGAGAGGCCCCCCCGTCGCCGCAAATTCCGTGCATCAAGGTCGCGCCATCTGAGCGAATAACGTGAGGTGCCCTTCCCGACGAAGTCGTATCCAGCTTCCGGGCCCACGGTAGCGCGACGGGGCGAGGACCAGAAGGATCACTAAGTACCCCAAAACCACGCCGGATATACGACCGGCTAAATACGATGCCATCCACGAGTGGGCGGGAAAACCCGACACCAGCTCGGGCGAGTTATCTAAGAGAATGCCGAGCACCCTCTTCCTCCGCCGGTGCCGTAGCATATAAAGAGGGGACCACACCAAGCAGTGAGGGGAAATATCTACATTATAGATGGGCATGAGCTGAGAAGCCCAGTAGTTCCCCACCCCTTGTTACCCGGAATCAATCCGGGCACCGCTGCTCGGACAGGCCCGCCAGCAATCGTGACGGCGCCATGAGGCTCCCCTCCGCGGCCTCCTCCCTGGCGCTCGCGCTCGCCGCAGCGGCGTGGGCGCAGCCCGAAAACTCGACCTACCTCAACCCGGTGCTGCCGGGGTGGCACTCGGACCCGTCGTGCACGCAGGTCGACGGCACCTTCTTCTGCGTGACGTCGACGTTCATCGCCTTCCCGGGGCTGCCCGTGTACGCGTCGCGGGACCTGATCAACTGGAAGCTGGCGAGCCACGCGTGGAACCGGGAGGCGCAGCTGCCGGGGGTGAGCTGGGCGACGGCGGGGCAGCAGGAGGGCATGTTCGCGGCGACGCTGCGGCACCGGGGCGGGCGGTTCTACGTGATCGGCGAGTACCTGGGGGCGCCGGGGGGCAGCCGGGGCGTCGTGTTCAGCGCGGCGGACGCGTTCGACGACGCGGCGTGGGGCGACCCGGTGACGTTCGCGGCGGAGCGCATCGACCCGGACCTGTTCTGGGACGACGACGGGCGCGCGTACGTCGCGACCCAGGGCATCCTGCTGCAGGAGATCGACCTGGCCTCCGGCGCGCTCAGCCAGCCCCCGCTCAGCATCTGGAACGGCACCGGCGGCGTCTGGCCCGAGGGCCCCCACCTCTACCGCAAGGACGGCTGGTACTACCTGCTCATCGCCGAGGGCGGCACCGAGACCAACCACGCCGTCACCATCGCGCGCGCCCGCGCCGTCACGGGCCCCTACGAGGCGTACGAGCGCAACCCCGTCCTGACCAACCGCGGCACCGACGAGTACTTCCAGACGGTCGGCCACGCCGACCTGTTCCAGGACGCCGCCGGCAACTGGTGGGGCATGTGCCTGGCGACGCGCTCGGGGCCGGCGTGGGCCGTGTACCCGATGGGGCGGGAGGCGGTGCTCTTCCCCGTGACGTGGGCGGCGGGGGCGTGGCCGGTGCTGGAGCCGGTGCGCGGGCGCATGCGCGGGTGGCCGCTGCCGGCGCCGACGCGCGAGCTGCCCGGCGACGGGCCCTTCAACAGCGACCCGGACGCGTACGACTTCGCGGAGCGCGGCGCCGCGCTGCCGCGCAACCTGGTGCACTGGCGGGTGCCGCGGGCGGGGGCCTTCGCCGTGGCGCCCGACGGCCGCGCGGGGCTGCGCGTGGTCCCGAGCCGCGCGAACCTGACGGGCTCCGGCGGCGGCGGCGGCGCGACGGCCGCCGAGCTCAGCGGCCGCCGCGGGCTCGCCTTCGCCGGCCGGCGCCAGACGCACTCGCTCTTCGCCTTCAGCGTCGACCTGGCGTTCGCGCCGCGCCGCGCCGGCCACGAGGCCGGCGTCGCCGTCTTCCTCACGCAGCGCAGCCACCTCGACCTGGGGGTCGTGCGGCGCGCCGACGGGCGCCTGTGGCTGCGCTTCCGCGCCGAGGGCGCCGGCGCCGTGCCGGCGCCGCGCGCGGTCCCGCTGCCGCCCGCCTGGGGCCCCGGCCCCGTGCGCCTGCGCGTCGACGCGCCCAACGCCACGCACTACCGGCTGTCGGCGGGGCCGGCGCGAGACGGCGACGGCGCGGGCCCGCCCCTGCTGCTGGCCGAGCCGCCCGCCGCCCTGGTCAGCGGCGGCAGCGGCTCCTTCGTCGGCAGCCTCGTCGGCGTCTACGCGACCTGCAACGGCGACGGCGCCGGCGACGACTGCCCGCCCGGCGGCGTCGCGCGCTTCACCCGCTGGCGCTACGTCGGCAAGGGCCAGCACGTCTCTGAGACGGAGATCGTGCGGTAGAGGTTGGGTGGGGGAGGAGGACAAGGAACGGAAGAAAAGAATTGTGATTGTGTTGACAGGCGATTTACGGGAACAGATGGGGGAGGATAATGAGGTCGACGTTAGACTGCTTCTACGGGTCTGCGCGTGGGGAACATCTCCCCAGGCTCTGGGAGGCGTAGTACGTGTAGGTATATATGTGTATTTAATCTAGCCTCCCTTGTCACCGTTCAGAGAGTTGATCATGGACGAACGCACCAGTTGGTGGTTGGACATTTACATCCGGATTATGGCAGCAGTGACTCGCTGCCCGACAACCTGGGCGATTTTCATTGCGATCGTGTCCGCCAAGTTCCCCCGTGTCTATCTAGAAGAGCGTCCACCACTCGTCGCCGACATCACCGCTGTCCTGTAGCCGTTGCGCAAACAAAGTCACCATTCCCCGAACAGCCGTGAAGAGGAAAGGGTAACGAGGAAAAGAAAGATAGGCTGTCTTGGAAAAATGACCTAGCGAAGCTATCCTGCCTCGTGGCACCGTAGCTTGATATCGTATTTCTGTGGTTTCTGCCGGGAATCCTCTCCGCGAAACTCCCCCCCCTCCCTCCGATTCTCGTCGACTCTTTTTTTCCCCTGCGGACCATGGATCGCGGCAATTATATAGCGCGAAGGGGTCGAAAGCAATATGATACAAGAAATAAAGCATGCCAGTTAACTCCGACACTCCCAGTGCATTGCATTATACCCCCTTGAGGGCCCGTTAAAACACGACACCGGATTCCAAATGCGTTCCGTTTTGCCCATGCATAGCCTCAAACGCCTGGGCTTGCCTCTTTGTCGATCCAAGCTTGGGCGAGCTTGACGCGGCCCTGGCCGCCGCCGTCTCGTCGAATTGCTGGTTGACAGCTTCCTCGGCGAATTTTCGCGTTTCCTTGGCCCATTGGTCTAGGCGATGCTTCTCGATATGCTTGAGGAGGTTGCCGTCTTCCCATCTCATCGCCTCCAGCACCTTTTCGCGGTAGCTCTTCTCCATTTTCTCGAATCGTCGATCGAGGGTTTCGGTGAATACCCCGGCGGCCTCTGACGGTAGGAGTCGTCGGTGATTATTCTCGTCGCCGCCATTTTTCTCTGTCTTGCATTAGCAATTGTGTCGTTTTCGAACGAGGTAGCTGTGTGGCACTTACGGTCCGCATATAATGTGCAGTGAAACTGGAAAAGATCTGTCTGGCCCAGGACTTCGACGATGTCGTTGTCGTTCTTGAGGGTGGTGTTGTTGACTTGCGCCCAATCTTCTCGGAGGAAGCATCTTCGCCATATGAGTCGCTCGGCCTGTACGCGCTCGGCGCCGTGGAGGCCGTTATACGCCACTCGAATGGCCGAAAAAAACTGATCGGGCATGTGCTCCCTTGTCTCCGGCGGCAGGGTAATCAGAGTTAGGAGGTCGATTAACGTGAGCGGGTCCAGGGCCTCATGATCCACGAGTCGCCGCAAGGCATCGTCGAATATCTGCGAGAGTATTTTGTACTTCTTCGGGATTGTGAGGGCAAACCTTTCTTGTATGAGGCTCAACTCCTCTCCCTCGAGCGCCAGGCTGATGGCAGGACGGATTTGCGTGTTGTAGAGGTCATCCTGAATGCCGATAATGGCAAGCTCCCTGTCGATCGCGCTTACTTGGGCGTCTTCGGTCGTCTCGTTGATGTTCAGATTCTGGAGGCTCGTAGACATCTTGCTGGAAGGCCGAGACGACTCGGCCATCCTAGCCAGCTTACCGAGACTCAGCTCGATCTTCTTGTTCCAGACCTGCTGCTCGCGAGCCAGACCAAGGTCGAGGAGTGTGTTGGCAGCATGGTCGATGTCTGATTCGCCGATGATGTCGTTGATCCACGAGACCTTGGCTAGTTCCGGCTTCGTTCGGAGATACGTCGTCTTGTACTTCTTGTCACCGTCGTACTCGAGGAGAGCATCAACCCCGTAAGTTGTGAATAAATACTCGTAGAACGGGAAAGCAAAGTCTTCCCCATACGTCCTGAAGTACTCCTTGACCAGATCCTCCTTCGCCGTCATCTTCGACTCTAGCTTCTCGGCTTGCCCCGCAGAAAGGCCAGGCGACAGTACTTGGGTCCGAAGCACGTCGATCTCGCGGGTCAGAATCTGTGCGAGAGCGGGCAGCGACTCGTGGCTCTCGGCAATGCTTATACCTGCTTCCCAGTTCTCTGTCTGAGCCAGGAGGACGACCTTGTCGTGGCGATCTTGCTCGTAGATTGCCCCGTACTTCTGTCCATCGGCCGACTTTTTAGGATCATCGCTTGCGAGATACGACCGGGATAACTCTTGGATCACGGTGAGATAAACCTCGGTCATCTGGGGGAGAAGCTCTCTAGTATTCTGAATCAAGACGTCCTGCGCTTCGGTCTCCGTCGGCCAGTGCTGCTTAACCCACTCCGTAGAGAGTTCTACTTGTCTCTTCACATTGTTCGCGATAAACGGATGGCAGGTCCAGGGGGTCGGGAGCCCAGCGTAATTAGCAGCCAGGATTCCGTGTTCGAGGTGCTCTCCTTCTAGACCGTACAGTTTGAGATTCTTCGTCCGGAAGACGAAAGCATCTCGTATCGCGCTGTTGTAGATTTCCGCTGCTTCGTAAATTAGTCGCGTGAGGGATTTCTCGTCTAAGTTGGCCTTGGAGTTGTGTTTGATAACTTCGTAGGCCCAGGCGATAAATATCTCCATGCGGTCGACGTCGCGAATAAACCAATGGCGCAGCTCGTCGACTTCACCCTTCGCGGCATTCGGTTCCGACTTCTCCTCGGACCGGATATACTCGACGATTTCGGCGACAATGCTCTTCTTAGATGCTGCCGGCCGGAGCTGGGTGAAGTCCTCGTGCTTATGCCAGATGACGTTAGCAACGTGCATCTTCTCCGCATTCCAGAGAAGTTGCCACTTGGTGACGCGATCTAGGTTGACTCTCAGGCTCTTAATTTGGGTCATGATCTTCTCCAAATATCGCACGCGCTCTTTGATGTTGGTATCGACCCGCGCAGCGAGGGACGTACAGTGCTGACCGGCAGAAGTCAGAATCTCCTGGCTCAACTCCAGAGCAGCCACACCGTATTCTCTGTCTGTGAAGTGCAGACCGTGCTGAATATCGAACACGAGGGGATTGTCCTCCTTGACGCCGAAGAACACAGCTTGCTCAAGCTTGGTTTTGGCCGTGACCTCGGGCGGCTTCTCACTTGCAAATCGCTCCACATCCGCCATAGCAATACGCAGGGTGCCCACACCTCGAACCAAGAGTATAGCCGCGGGATTCTTCGGTCTGATACGAGGAGCTCTTCCTTCGCCGGACCCGAAACCAAGTACTTGAGGTTCTTCGATACCGGAACCGACGATCTCAAGCGTGGGGTCCACGCGTAAGTCGACAACATCCTCAAATGAAGCAGGCAGGAGGTGGTTGTCCTCGAGAATCTGGGAGTCGGGCGAGTCGGGCGGCTGGGCGATCGAAGCTACTACTGCAGCGTGGTCGAACACGACGAAGGCTATGATATTAGGTCTCGGGAGATACAGTCGGGGTTTGGTAAGAGCATGCGGATCTGGTGGGGTGGAATAGGCGGATATAGGTCGAATCATGCCGACGAACAGAGGATCGCGTGTGGTCCCGGCGGACAAGGCCACTTCGACAAGCGTATAACGCCACGTCTGCCGATTAGACAACGAGACGAGGAGCAGGAGATGCTGCTGGTCATCTTCGAGTTCTAGCTCGGGTCGAAGCTGGCTTAAATCACTGTGCTTCGGCTCGAGGGACCGGGGGACGAAACTGAAGTCGAGTATCCTGAACGATTCGGCAGGCAGCTTGGCAGTTACTTGATCTACCTGTTGGACGGCGCTAAGGATGGCGTTTCGAGCATCCAACTCGACAAGAAGGTCGTGGTGGCCTCCGCGATGTACTCTCCACGAATGTAGTCGGCCTTTGGAAGTAGCAGCAACAACGGTACATTCGCCCTGCCTGGACGATCGTTCTGAACGTATGGCGGAAATGTCTCCTTGGAGAGCGGTTTGAGACAATGCATGCCGGAGGCTACCAAAGAACCCGTTACTAGCGGGGCCGAGGTTGGTACGCAAGAAGTGTGTCGATATTTTGGGGCGGCCGTGGACATCTCGTACACTTAAATAAGCCATTCGCCCGGTGCTGAAAGCCAGCAGGAAGCCCGCGGCTGATTCGGCGTGGACAATCTGGATGACGGCTTCTCCGGAGAACATGCCCGTGACGGAATCCTCAACACCAGTCTGCTGCTGTCGTAGAAAGTCGAGCGTCGTCGCGCTCGATATCGATTCCCAGTACGTAATTTTACCGCTGGTAGGCATTACCACCACCAAACCTGGTTCGGACGAGGATGCAGAGGGTGGAACAAGCGCGCCTAGAGGGAGGGGGTCGGTCGCATGTTTCGACGGATATGGCAGCGTGAAGGTGAAGGATTCGGGAGACTGGGTAGGGGCGGCATACGGCCAGACAATGGCATGGGTGTGGGATAGGCTTAAGGCGTAGCCGGTATGGCTGTCGGTGGAACCGTGCTGGCTACCTAGAGGCGTGAATTAGCGAGAAACGCGCGAGGCCGGTATAGAGAGAGAGAGAGAGAAAGAAGGGGAGGCAGAGAGACGAAGGGGACATACTAGCAGCATCCAATTTTAATCGGTCTGGCAGAGCAGGGAGCTTCCTGACATCGAACGCGATATTGGTTGACTAGACGGGCGGGCGACGCGGTTAGTGTCACGACTCGAAGCTCAAGACTGCCGACTCGGCGCTCGATCATCTCGGGTGCTTACCAAAAGCGTGCTCCCGTCTCCCTTGGCAAAGCGGTCACCGACGCGAGCCTTTTTCGACCGGAAACTAAGCTCCTGCTTGGATATAGGGGGTTCCTCGACGCCATCCTGCTTCAGCTCCACCATCGCAGGCCTTGTTGACTTCACCTCGTACGTCTCCGGGCCAGCATCGGCATTAGCGAAGGTCTGGTCGCTCAACGGTATCCTCTGGCGCTTCGCTTTGGGCTGCTGGACGGAGTTGTCGGTGCTCACGGGACGCTGGCGTCGCCGGCCACGGGTAGCGGTCGGGATGGGAGACACATTCTCGGCGCCGCGGCCGACGGAAGGAGAGAACATGTTTGGTAGCGAATTTCCGGTGGCGCAGATGGCAGCCGGCCAGGGGAAGAGGGGGGCGAGATCAGAGGCAAAACGAAGGATGCAACGGCGTAGAGAAAAGGGCGGCGGCTAGCGATGATGAGGAATGGTGTTTACCGATGCGCCGATTGATGGAGAAAAGCCGTGCTCATGGTCGAGGGCGTGGCGTGGCGAGCGCAGATGGAGTAGGGGGTTTGCGGTGGAGATGACGGACGAGAAGGGGGGAGAAGGTGTGAGAAGGTGAAGAGAGAATGCAGATGGAGATTGACGGGTGAAGGCATTCGCCGGGAGAGAAAATGACGAGGCCTGCTTGAGATGTCTGGCCGAGATTGGTTGGGCCCTACCTGGCTTGGCTGGGTAGCAGATGGGAAGGGGGAGGAAAAAAAAGTGAATCATAATAAAAGGAAGCAGGAGAAGAAAAATAACAGAGCGTAATACTCCCACTGGAGACCGTCGCCAACTGATGGGTGGGTGGGGCGCCGGCTGGAAGGGGTTAGAAGCTGTACGTAAGCATGTCGCAACCCGAGCTTCGACGCGGTTAGGGAGGTACTTGGGACGGCAGCGGCTCTGGCGGACAACGTTCAGGCCAAACAGAGGTACCGCTGCTAATATCGTAGACTACCGCCTCCTCGCGATGCGCTCACCAGGATGTACCTCGCAGCCATACCTGCTACCCAGTGTACATCGCAAAGCACCGGGGTCCGGCGGCTGACGGTGGAGGCTTACAGCCCGTTTTTAGAAAGGCCGGGACCCTTGCCGGGTCGAAGCCCCAGGTTCCTTGCACTTGGAGATGGAAGATGCTGTACCTACAAGGTAGCAGTGCTTACGCATAGAGGTAGGCGGTATGAGGTACCTAAGGGCCTAACTTATACAATGCATAATGCCATAATACGCCTATAATCAGGTACCCATACAACGCCTAGGTTAGGTACTGACTTACCTAACTATCTTAGGTACCTGCCTAGGTACCTAAGGTAGGTATGTGTGCGTCCGTTGTTCCCTACCGTACACCAACCTTAGGCAGGTACCTAGTTACACCTATCTACCTCTCAGTCGCCTCCGAACCCTCTGCCGCCAACGACAAAGCCTAGGTAGGCAGGCCAGTCTCCTCAGTGCCTCATCAACCGCACCCACAGGCAATTCCTCAACCCCGAGGCGCCACCTAGCTACCTACCTATAGGTGCCTGCCTACCTACCTCTACCTACCTGAGGCCCCTCCATACCTCTGTGGTCAGGCTGCACATCATCACAACTACCCAGGTCCACAGGCATAGGTATATATATATAAACGCATACATGTCTGTCTACTTATCCTCCCTCCTCTTCCGGTATAGATACATGCGTCAGCCATCGGGCGCTTTTGGTGAACGGTCTAGTTGGGGTTGACGAGCCTTGCCGAGATGAGACGCGGCATCTATTCGGTCGCCATCACGGACCCGCTGGTGAAGTACCAGTCCCTCCTCGCCACGGGCCTCTGCAGCCCCGACGCCGCCCAGCACCGGCTGGCGATCCACCTGCAGAAGGTCTACCACCGCCTCAAGGACTACTCGCCGTCGGGCGAGTACCGCGAGAGGCTGCGCGCCCTGGCGAGCGCCCTGGACCGCGCCGGGAAAGAGGGCCGCGACACGTCGCACACCCTTGCCTCCGAGCGGCACCCGATCCGGCGCAACCCGCTCCTCGCCCGGTTCTTCGCCCAGAGCGGCGCCGCCGACACCCTCGCCCTCGTGCGCGTCCTCACCAGCCACGAGGAGGCCATCCGCATCGACTCGCCCCAGGGGCTGTTCCTGTCGGGCGAGGTGGGCACGGGCAAGTCCATGCTCCTCGACCTGCTCGCCGACGGCCTGCCCACGAGCCGGAAGCGGCGCTGGCACTTCAGCACCTTCATGCTACACACGCTGTCGCAGCTGGAGCGCTACCGCAAGTCCCACCGCCGCCTCGACCGCGACGACCAGGAGTACTCCCTGCTGTGGCTGGCCAAGGACATGGTCGAGAAGTCGCCGATCCTCTTCCTCGACGAGTTCCAGCTGCCCGACAAGGCCGCCGCCAAGATCATGAGCAACCTGTTCATCGCCTTCTTCCAGCTCGGCGGCGTCCTCGTCGCCTCGTCGAATCGCATGCCCGACGAGCTAGAAAAGGCCGCCGGCGTCGAATACGCCTCCTCGGCCGCCGCCGGCGTCGTGAGCCGAGTGCTGGGGATCGGCCGATCTCGCCGAAAGGGGGAGCTCTTCGGCGCCACGAGCGATTTCGCCTCTTTCCTCGATGTCCTCAAGGCGAGGTGCGAGTTTTGGCAGATGGAGGGGGCCAAAGACTGGAGGCGCCACGAGGCTAGCGCATCGCCAGCTCAACGTACAAGGGCGCGTGCAGACAGTTTGAGGTCTAATGACTCGATAGGAATGCATGCGACGGGGCGCATTTCCGATACAGAGGTTGAAGAAAGTACTGAACCCGATATTACCCCGACATATTATTTCCTAGTTGGGGTGGCGGATGAATCCTCGTGGGCCTCGGCACTGGATGGCGTGGTCGGATCTTCTACGGGAGAAGAGCCCGCTTGGGAGTCCTCGACGCTCGTTGTCTACGGCCGGGCGATCACGATCCCGCGGCACCGCGGCGGCACGGTGAGCTGGCACTTCGACGACCTGGTGTCCTCGTTCGGGCCGGCCGACTACATCACGATGGCGTCGACCTTCCACACCTTCGTCATCGACGGCATCCCGACGCTGACGGTCCTGAAGAAGAACGAGGCCCGGCGGCTCATCACGCTGCTCGACGCCCTGTACGAGGCGCGCTGCAAGCTGGTGGTCCGCGCGGCCGCCGGGCCCGACGACCTCTTCTTCCCGGAGGCGCGCCCCCGCGCGCCCTCGGGCCCGCCGTCCGCGGCGGCGGCTCCCCCCGACAGCGCCGACGCCGAGACCAACGCCGACGCCGACGCGATCCACTCCGAGACCGTCGCCGAGGCGTACCAGGACACGGTGTCGCCCTTCCGGCCCAACGTCTCGTCGTACGGGGGCGCGCACAACGCCGACTACGACCCGGACCAGGACTCGGGGGGGCGGGCGCGCGCCGAGCCCGCCGCCGCCGCCGTCGACTTCAGCGACACGGGCGCCTTCACCGGCGAGGACGAGCGCTTCGCGTACAAGCGCGCCGCGAGCCGCCTGTGGGAGCTGTGCGGCGCGCGGTGGCACGCGCGCACCGGCGACTGGTGGCGGCCGCTGCCGCGGGAGGCGCGGCACTGGGAGGGCGGCGCGGTCGCGCGGCCGGTGCCGTGGACGGCGCCGCACGCCGCGCTAGGCGGCGACGTCACTATGGGGCCGTCCGTCGAGCTCGACGAGCTGGCCGGCCTGCAGCGGTACCGCCTCAGGTATCTGAGGAGGACGATGCTAGAAGAGCAGGACACGCCGGAGTGCAAGAAGGGAGAGAAGGGTTGACGGGATGGCGAGAGAGGGGGGACGGACGTTGTACAGATGCGGACGCGTGCGATGTGTGTTATCGTGCGTAGACTCCCATTGTCTATCTATGTAGGATAATGTGAAGAATATGGCGGGGACCAAGGGCGTCCGCCCTCGGCTGCGCAAACAAACGCCTAAACCTCCGTAGACTCCGCGCTCTATTCATGCTAGCCCAGCCCAACCCAGCCTGCAACGCCGTCGAAAAATGCACGCTCCATGGCGCCAACCTGACCAGCTAGCCGCACCTGTCCACGGCCCCTGTCCCCTCGCGAACCAAAGCTTCATCTCACCTCTCCCCGTCCCCGAACCCCCCCCAATAGGTGGTAAGTAGGGAGGTAGGTAGACAGACTAGCCTCACAAGCTCGTCACGCCCGGCGCCCAGCTCTCGCCGATGCGGCGCATCTCGTCGGCGAATTTGCGGCTCGTGATGCGCTTGCCGGGGGCGGACGCGGCGGCGGCAGGGGTCGACACCAGCGGCGCGTGCTCGTCGGGGTCGTAGAAGGGGTTCTGCAGGAGCCGCACGTACGCGGTCTGCATGGCGCGGAAGACGACGCGGAGCTCGGTCTCGCGGAGGCCTGCACCGGCGCGCGCCGCGACAGGGGGGGCGCCGGCCGCAGGAGCCGCAGCGCCGCCCGCGCTGCTGCCGCCGCCGGTGCTGCCGGTGGTGGCGGTGGCAGCGCCGAGGGCGAGGCCTCCGCCCGACGCGGCCGAGGCGAGGACGCGCCCGCGCATGTCGACGACGGCGATGAACTTGACGCCGGTGTTGGTCTCGAAGCCGTAGGCGGCGAGGCGCTCGTCGACGGCGTGCAGGAGCCCGAAGTCGCCGGACACGAACGGCGCGCTGGCGCCCGGGGCCTGCGGGTGCTGGTGCTGGTGCGGCGCGGCCTGCGGGTGGCCGCGCCGCGACCGCGCCTCGAAGATGTCGAGCGCGCTGCTGAGCAGCAGCGAGAACTGCAACGGCGTGCGTACGGGCGGGCGGGCGCCGACGGCGGCGTCGTGGCACGGGAAGATGGTGATGTGGAGCGGGTTGTTCTGCCGAGAGGGGGGGAAGGGTTATCTGCCTGTTAGCTACGGTTCCGTATGCCTGCTTCGTAGGGGGGTGCGGGTGTGTGTGTATGGCTATGCGTGCGGTGATGGGTTCTGTCGGGTGCTTTGGGATGGCGAGGAGTGAGAAAGGGGGGCGTGTCGCGTACATTTCGGCCTATGACGCCCAGGCAGGCTATCGAAGGTATCGCGGTCGCCATCGCTGCATGTGTCGTTACTGTTGCGCGTTCCTCGTCCTCGGTAGACAAACTCGGTCAGTAGGCAGTGCGGTTGGATACGTTGGCGGCCGGCTGGTTGGGTTAGAGGAAGTGGATGGATAGATGGACGGGCGGAAGGTGGGAAGTCGGGGCGGTTTTGAAGCTCCCTACTTATCGATAAGTCGCAGTTAAGCAGGTAGGTAACCTGGTTAGGGGGTCTCTGCCCCACTTCCGTCGCCAGATATAGGGGGGTTCACTGGAGTTCAGGGGTGACAACTACATAACCCGTGCTTCAGGCTCAGGAACACGATGCTCACGAGGATGACATCTACGAGGGCAATAGGTGTTTGTACATTGCGGCGTTGTGATAGAGAACGTCCGCTGCTTGCGTAGCATTCTAATAGAGAACCCTTCTGCTTCTGTAGCGATCGCTCGCCCCGGCTGCGTCCCCTTGATCTACCGGCGTGGCTAAGTAGGCCGCGTATAGGTCATTATAGAGGCTCTATGGCGCCTCTTTTATCGTTTTATAGGTGGCTGCATGATACGGTGGTCCCCGGTATTAAACGGCGCCGCCGCCGTTCCGTGCCGTGTCCGGTGCCAGCAGCGCTGGCATGTCGCACAGGGAGAGACCTAGAGCATTATGCCTCCACCTCCTCTTCCTCGTGCAGGTTCTCAGTCTGCTCCAGGCCCTTCAAGACGTCCTCGATGTCGACCGGGTCCGTGATAGCCCAGACCCCGCCGCCTTTGACCGAGTCGGTCCCGCGCATACCCACCTCCTTGCCTACGAGATTCCTGCCAACCTTCCCGGGGCCGACGCCGATCCACCGCCTCACTTTCTCCTCCTGGTCTAGGTATCTGATGCTCTCCCACCACCTGACCGTCTCGAGGCACTGCCGCGCCAGGAGGTCCTTGACCTCGGCGGCGCTTTCGAACGGCCGGGCACTCACGTTGCTTACGCATGGCAATCGGCCGGGAAAGGTGATGACGTCCTCGTTCTCGCGGCCCTTCACTCTGCTCTTTCTCGAGACCAACTCCCGCATCACGTCGACCGCCGGCCGCATGATCGGGCTGTGAAACGGGCTGTCACTATTCAATCGGACCGCTCTAGGATCGTGGCCGAGGAACTGCTGGATGTGCGCCACCAGCTCCTTGATCCTCTGGATGCTGCCACTCAGCACGATCTGGTTCTTGCTGTTCACGTTGGCTATGAGCACTTGGTCAATCGGCTTCATGGACTCGGCGCTCTCGCTCCTCGCCCCCGCACTACGGTATCCTACGAAGTCGTCTATCGCCTCGATGAGGGATTTGAGATACTCCGGCTCCGTCACGACGGCGACCATACCGTATTCGCCTCCGTACTTCTCCTTAGCCTTCTGAGTAGCCTCGGCCATGGCCTCCGCACGGCGGCGTACCATGTACAAGGCGTCCTCGAACTCTAGCACTCCCGCCGCTACCAGGGCCGCGAATTCGCCTAACGAATGGCCAAGCGATACGTCTACCCGCGTGGACAAGTCGAAGCCGAAATCGCGCTCGAGGATGCGTAGGATGAGGATCGAGGTAGCCATAATTGCCGGCTGGGCATTCGGAGTCGCCGTCAAGAGCCGGCTCGGGCCGTCTTGTATTACATCGGAGAGCTTATAGCCCATGTAGCTGTCGATCTCGTCGATAACGGCCGTCGCCGTGCGCGGAAAGGCTTCGAGCCATGGTGTTAACATGCCGACTTTCTGCACCCCTTGGCCTGCCGCCGCGACGAACCGTTAGCAGGAGCGCTCAACAACGTGAGGACAACGTGCACACGGCCACCACTGACCTGGAAAGAAGATGGCAGTCCGCGGCCGGCTCTTTTTTGTCGAGACGGAGCGTCGATGTGCAGTTCGATAAGCCGGACATGGCGCCGAAGCCGGAAGACTAGTAGAAGCAAGCTTGCGGCGCACGACACCAGCGGCGTAAGCCGGCCGGCGCAACGGGGGGATAAGGATGCTCATCACCGTAGGCCAGGTGTGCTTGCGCTGCGGGGGCCAGTTCTTGCGGTCATTGAAATTGCCTGGCAGGAAGACGACGTGTCGGAACAAATAGCAGAATGGGAAAGCTGGTGGCGTCGACGGAATCCCGTCAAAGAAAACTCGGTTCAAAGGATTACAAGCCCCGTCCGAGAGCTGCTCGGCCCAGGTACCTGGGGAGTGGGAGGTAGACAAGCTTCGGTGGCTGTTGGTTCGCGGGGGCTACCTCGGTCCCTTCTGGGGTAGGTACATCAAACACCTGCCCCAACGTTTCCCACTGTCCTCCTCGTTGAACGAGGTCAGACGAGGTACCTAACCCTGCTAGACTCAGTACCTAAGGTACCTCCTACCTATAGATTAGGTATCTGTAGGTACCTAGTAAACAGGCAACCCTAGGCGACCTCCCCATAGTCTTGCCCCGGACCTTGTGATCCTCGGTAGGTACCGGCTACATGCATACACACTCTGGATATATACATCCATATACCTATAGGTACGAGTTGCCTCGCGCGGGACACCGTCTACAGTCCGGCTGTCGGCTCAGATATCAGCCATACCGGAAACACTACATCAAGTCTATTATTATCCGAATGGTCGGAGCGTGAGGGTGAGCCCCCGTCGTCGTCGTCGCCGCGTCACGCCGAAACTGGCACGATTGCCACACGAACAGACGCCCCATCTCAACCCATCCGTCTACATGCACATGTTGACATCCCAACGGAGCCGCTCCAGAAACGGCAACAACGCACGCTACCCGGCGCTTACCTAGGCCACTTAGTGGTGCCTTGTTAGCATCGTATCTCCACGCCCCCTTTGCTAACGGTGAGGTATTTGACCCCCTTATACGGCTTCAGCCCTTCGCCGAGGCCGCGACTCTTCCTCGGGTCGATCAAAATGCTCTCGACTTTGATCCCGCTTGGCAGCCATCCCTTGACTGAGAAGCTAACGGACGCGGAGCTCGGCATGAGAATGTTATTTTGCGCCGCCTTCGTTGCGTCCCGCTCGCCTTGCGTCGCTGCTTCGCTCTTTTCCGGCTTCTCGTCCGCACTGGTCTGATACGGCTCGTCGTAGGTGTAATCTTTGCCGAAGCCGAAGCCGGTCAAATCCGCCTCTTCCTGACTCTCTGCCAAGGGGCCTTGAACTGTGCAGCGGAGGCCGAAATGCGATGTCCCGGCCGAGAGCTCCTTACTCGGTATATACCACTCTAGCATCCTAGTCCCCGGGTTGAAGCTGGCATCTCCCTTACTCGGCCGCACATCCGAGAGGTTCCTAACTTCAGGAGGCAGCGGGACCGAAACGACGAGGTCTTGTAGTGCTGGCGCCGAGGGGGTCCCCGAATTCCCACCGAAGCTTCTCCCGCCTAGGCCTCCGCCTCTCGACGAAGACCCGGATTGCGAAGAGGTGGCGGGCCCAAAGTTCTTATTAATACTGAGCCGGACTTCGAAGTCGGAGCCGGTCGCCCCTAGACCCGTTTTGACGTCAATATTCACGGGAAGCCTCAGGCTGTTCGAGCCCAGTGTTCCACTCTTCCCATTTGTAAAGGGGAGTAGGTCGACCTCATAGCCCGCAAGGATGAAGCGGCCATCCGGAGGTATGAAGCTGAGTTCTCCTGGGTTCTCCTTCCACTTATTCAGGCGCACGCAGGGATGGAAGACAGGTAACTCCATGACGCTTTTTAAATTGTGTTTTCCTGAGGGGCTGGTGAGAGTTAGCAATATGTCGGGGACCCCAGACACCTTGGATGTGAAGGCAATGGTGCCGTTTGCAAATGCGGATATCGGCCTGCCGGATGGTGCCAGTGTAACCGACAGAGTCTCTACGATGTCGGCATAGAGTTCGTTGGACGTGTGTCGCACATTTGCCCGCCTCCAAGGCAAGGCCGGGGTATTTTGAGCAATAAGGGGCGGTGCATTGGAGCCTCCGAGCGGCTTTCCCGGCAGATTAATACTGCCCAGGAGCTTCCCCAGGAAGCCCTCAACCTCGACTACGTCCCGCAGAGCATTCGGTTCCGTCGTACTAACCGTGCCAGCGTCGCACATTTCCGTAAGCAGCTGAGCAACAACATCGTAGTTCGCTTCGATCTTGTGGGCTAGGACGGGGGCGCCAAGGAACTCCTCGAGGGCGTCAACAACACGATGGAGGAACTCGAGAACAAGAAGCGGTTCTATCTCGGAAGAGGAGGTGGCTAGATAAAGCAGATCGGCATGGATAATGCTAAATACGAGTGTCGGTGGGTTGGTATTCGGTAGATAGATGAGGTTCGGTCTCGGCGCGGGATGCTCGAGGTACAACGGGAGAAGGCGGGCGGCGGAGGGCGGGCGAGAGGTGAAGGTATGGGAGAGGATCGCGCGGCTATAGGCATCCATCGTGTAAGTCTCATCACGGAGGGTCAGATGGGTAGCAGCGTCAGGGTGTAGACTGACTGGTGCTCATCGTAGATGTGCAGCGCCTCGATTACGCCGTTCATGGTGGCCGGCTCGCAACGGGCATCGTCGGGGGGACAGCAAGGGCAGGGGAGATGACGAGGAGAGACAAGAGGTTTCTCAGTACGATTTGAGAGGTTGAAATCCACCTATTCAGCTGCTCAATACCAGGAATACAGATACCCACCTACCTGAGTAGGGGCCTACGCGTTGAGAATGGGGCGTGAAATCGCACCTACAAATAACGTGGTAGCACTAGAAGGTCGGCAACGGAGGTGCCGATGAGAGGGGCAGTTTACTTGTGGGGCAGTAAGGTAAATGGAGCGGGTCGTTATCGATAAGCCTGATATCCTTGAACCTGGCTGGTTATCTTGGAGATTTTTTGCTAACTGGGGGTTTTTTTTTTTTTTCATTTGCTACGCCATCCTACTGCTCGTCGTAAATCGACTCGTCTTCTCCTCTCTGTTTGGCTACTTGCCTTCTCTCCCCCCTCCAGCTGTTCCTCTCGCCTCTACCCCTCCAAGTTCCACCGCGTCAAGCATCGAGCGATGGCAGGGCCTGCCAGCACCACGTCCTCCATGACCACGACCTCGCATACACTAACACACGCCCCGGCCATGGGATTTCTAGCCGCCTTCTCCGACGCCTCCAAACCCTCCAGTGCGGTCGACATGCTGGCCCTCTTTGAAGCGATCAAGTCAAACAATCGGCATGCCTTCTTGCAGCCCACTTCGTCGATCCCGAATGCGTCGCTCCAGCTAGCTAAGGCGACTTTGGACGCATACGCCGGCCAGGTCTGCGACGAGCAGCAGCAGCGCCGAAGAGAAGAAAGCAAGAAGCGAAAGCGTGCTGACTATGGGTTGGGGAAACCCGATATCTTAAAGGTCCGAAAGCTGCATGTCGACGGGTTTGAGAGCGGTCAGGTCTGGCAACAGGCGCGACGAATCATCGCCGGTGCGCTGCAAGATTCGACAGATGCCCTCGAGGAATTAGAAGACCGAGGTGAGGTCAGAGCAAACGGCGTCAAAGCAGACGGGCATACCGACGCCCTCGGATTCAGCCGGGATGTCTCTGAAGTCGATTCGGCAGGTGACGACTCGGCAGCAGAACTCGAGGATATTTCTGAAGAGGATATCGAAGACGATGGCGAAGGCGAATTTCCGGACGAAGATGATGCGGAAGGCAGTGGTGAAATCTCGGAGGACGAAATGGGAGAACACCTTGAGGACCTTGAGGATGAAAACGGCGAGATCGGCGATGAAGATGGACTTGAAGATGGGCTTGAAGATGGGCTTGAAGAGGCTCCGCAGGAATTAATCGAAGACCCGAACGGACTCAACGATGGCTTTTTCTCCATCGACGACTTCAACAAGCAAACTCAGTATTTCGAGGACGCGGATGCTAGAGGCGACCCAGATATCGACCACGCAAGCGATGATGATGAGGTTGACTGGCACGCCGACCCGCTCTCTGCAAGAGCATCCACAAAAAAACCTCCGAAAAAGAAGTCTAGAGATGCTGAAGATGATATGCCTCCTGATCTGGAAGGTGAAGGCGAAGACGACGAAGGAGGTCCCACGTTCGGTGATATGGATCTAGACGCACCCGAGGGAGAGAGTGAAGACGATGATGAAGGGGGGATGGATGGCACGGGAGTCGACGCCGATTTCAACGCCAACGAGATCTACTACAAAGATTTTTTTGCGCCTCCACGACGAAAGGGAGCTAAAGACGGCAAAAACAGGAAATTTAACGGATATCAGCCGGCACAACCAGACGACACTGACGTCGAGCGTGCGATGGCTGACGTTCGCCGGGACCTATTCGAAGATGAATCAGAGCGAGACGACTCAGAAGACGCGCTTTCCGACGTTTCGGCAGGCCATCCAAAGTCTAGAAAGTCGACGCATGAGAGGCGGCAGGCCAAATTAGCGGAGGAGATACGGAAACTTGAAGCGGCGAATGTGGCTAAGAGAGAATGGGTGATGTCGGGCGAAGCGAAAGCTACCGACCGGCCGATAAACTCGCTACTAGAGGAAGATCTCGATTTCGAGCACGTGGGGAAACCTGTACCCGTCATTACCGCGGAAGTGAGCGAGAGCATCGAGGATATGATCAAACGACGTATCCTGGCTCGGGAGTTCGACGAGGTCATCCGGAGGCGCCCCGATTCCTCAGAGTTCTCAGCCAACGCTCGGCGAGGGCTAGTCGAGCTCGACGACACTAAGGCGAAGCAATCACTCGCCGAGATCTACGAGGAAGAGCACGTGAAGAATGCGAACCCAGACTCGTACGTGAGCAAGGCTAGCGAGAAGCTCCAAAAGGAAGAGAAAGAGGTTGAGCAGTTGTGGAAAGAGGTCAGCGCAAAACTCGACGCTCTGACTAGCTGGCACTACAAGCCGAAGCCCGCCGCGCCTAGTTTGACCATCGTATCCGACGTAGCGGTGATAAGCATGGAAGACGCGCAACCGACAACCGCGCAGGGCGTCAACGGCGGCGATCACATCCTAGCTCCCCAGGAGATCTACAAAGCCGGCAAGAACACGGCTGAAAAGGGTGAAGTGGTTGCTAAGAGCGGGCAGCCGGTTTCGAGACAAGAGATGAGCCAGGAGGACAAAGTGAGGAGACGCAGGAGAGAAAGGGAGAGGACGCGGAAGGCCGGCGGCCTCGCCGGTCAGAAGCCGCAAAACACCAAGGCGCAAGCCCAGAAGCAGACACTGGGCGACCTTAAGCGGGGTGGTGTGCGGGTAATCAACAAGAAGGGCGAAATTGTCGACATGGAAGGGAGGAAGGCTAAGGAAGCGAAGGTAGCGTCTAGCAGTAGTTTCAAGCTTTGATGTGATACAATCATCAGGATGGGAAGGGCTATCACCGAGAGACGGACTAGATAGGAGATCAGAAAAAATAAACTGATCCCTGACACAGTCAGTGACCTACTTAGTAGTTACCACGGTGCCCTTATTTCTAGGTGTATATGGCTGGCCCTCTCGGCTGGCCAGGGGCGAACTAACGTTAGGGGAGATCCCGAATATACCTCGACGTTATTTCTTCCAACTCTTGATAGGTAAGTAGATAGTTGAGGCGTATAAGCCACCTGGACAAATATGTCCTTACGACCTCCCAATCCTAGGGGTATCATACAGCTAACGTGTACAGGTTCAACTACCTACCATACAGGGAGGGGGGGGTCTATTGACACTATGTCAGCAACCCTTTCTATAACTGGACATAGTGTCTGCCTCGTGATAAGAAGGAGTTAAACTCTAGGCTAACATTATTACCATTTCCCGACATAGTTACCATTCGGACATAATGTCCTTATTTTAAAAAAGATATATTCTATAGGATTACCCGGTTACCTCTATGTTACTAAGTACGTACCTTTGTACCTTTATATCTTTTACGTCTGTTACCTACCTCCTCCTAACCTTCTACCTACCTACCTACCTACCTCTTCCATAGGTTCGAAGATAGGTTCGAAGATAGATAGATAGATTCCACGTACGTAAACTAGCTCCTATAGGTTCGTAAATAGGTTCGTAGATAGGTTCATAGATAGGTTCGAAGATAGGTTCGTAGATAGGTTCGAAGATAGATAGATTCTACGTACGAACTAGCTCTCATAGGTTCGAAGATAGGTTTGAAGATAGATAGATAGATTCTACGCGCGAACTAGCTCCTATAGGTTCGAAGATAGATAGATTCCATACGCCTGAACTAGCTCCTATAGGTTCGTAGATAGGTTCGTAGATAGATAGATAGATTTCACGCGCGAACTAGCCCCTATAAGTTCGAAGATAGATAGATTCCACGCACGCGAACTAGCTCCCATAGGTTCGAAGATAGGTTCGAAGATAGATAGATTTCACGCGCCCGAACTAGCTCCCATAGGTTCGTAGATAGGTTCGCAGATAGGTTCGAAGATAGGTTCGTAGATAGATAGATAGATTCTATATACGCGAACTAGCTCCCATAGATTCCACGTACGCCAACTGGCTCCTATAGGTTCGAAGATAGATAGATTCCATATGCCTAAATTAGCTTCCATAGGTTCGAAGATAGGTTCGAAGATAAATAGATTTCACGTGCCCGAACTAGCTCCCATAGGTTCGTAGATAGGTTCATAGATAGGTTCGAAGATAGGTTCGTAGATAGGTTCGTAGATAGGTTCGCAGATAGGTTCGTAGATAGGTTCGCAGATAGGTTCGAAGATGGGTAGTAGATCATGGTGTTTATAGAAAAAAGATGAAGACAACAGGTCTAGGTAGGTAGGTCTAGGTAGGTAGGTAGGTAGGTAGGTAGGTAGGTAGGTAGGTACCTATGGAATATATAGACATTATATCCGTCTGGACATTGTCATATTGTAGTGGTGCGGTGGATCTAGGCCACGTAGCCTTTTCGATGTGTATTTATATGGGTCGCGCACTCATATTTTCATCAGCCAGACTTAGACCTGTAGATATCACGACCTACAGCCATTCACTCGTTTCTTGCCATGCCTTTCTAGCTATCCTCGTCTTTGCCTTTCCAGTCCCCTTTCCCAGCTGCCGTTTCAGCTGGCCGATCAACCGATTACAGCTGTTTACAGCTGTGATCTTAGTTGATCGGCACTGGGCCAGTTGTTGGCAGTTGGGTAGCCCTTTTCGTGCCTCCGTCAGCGTGCCCACGCTGCTCCTGTTCAATATCCGTCTAGACATTAGTTCCTACGTAGTTATAAAAACCATCCTGAAATTATAAGAAGGAAAGGTAATAAGGTCGGTACCGCGACCCTTGCTATAATTCTTTTAGCTCTTTCGAAAGAATAGATAACCCTTACTAGATTTAGTTACCGTATCCGTACCCCGACTCTATTGCTAACATACTATCCGTAGACCCCCCCCTCCCGGTATGGTATATACATACATACGCACGTATTGTTTTTTTTTTAAAAAAAAAGAAAAGAAAAGAAAAACGAGACAGACAGAGAGGAACTCACATATAGATATTTATAGAAGATGATATACATAGTCATATATAATTATGTATATGTATACCCGTTCGTGCAGACTCTCCTGGAACTCGGGATATATGTGCGCACAGACCACCAGGTAGCTACACGAAAAAGGCCAAAAACCATCGGCGAAGGCCGAGGGGACCGAAGACCCTTTGCTATCGGATATTATCTCAACATCTCGGCCCCGTCATAATTTCCCACACCACAGCTTCCCCTTCTAGGCGTACCGTATCTACGTCGTACCGTTGCTTGATATGGGAGGGGATAAGGTACCGTCGATCGGAATCCTCGACAAGCCCGAGGACCTCAAGGAGCTCCTCAAGCAGGATCGGGGCGAGGATTGCCTGCCGTGCCGAATCGTAGGTCAGTCGGCGCGAAGCCCAGCTACAATGTATCCCACGTCGGACCCAGGCTAACATGATCGATCGGGGGGGCAGGAGGCGGCGCTTTTCTCGGCCTAGCGGCGTACAGCTACTTCTCCGGCCAACGGCAGCTCGAACTGCAGAGGGCGAAGATCCTGGCGAGCAAGTCCATGCTCGGCATGCGCAGCCGCAAAGTCGGCATTGCGGCCACCTCGCTCGGGCTGGCCTGGCTGGGCATCTGGAGGTTGTTCTTGTAGCCGTCTCGACACCACGTAGGCCGAGAGAGAACCCCGCTTCCGTTCGATGGGAGCCTGCGGCGAGGAGGACGGGCGCCGCGATTCGCGACGGCTTCTGACCCCGCGCAGGGGGCTTCACGGCTTGCCGGATAGGTCGCGCCATGGGGACAGCTCAGCTATATCAGCGTCGGAGACGAATTTGGAGGGGACGATCAGACTAGTTGGGCAATGAGCGTCGCTAGCCGAACCACGCCAACCAAACCACGCAAGGCGAGAGCGACCCCTCTTCGTCGAGGGGGAGGGGGAGGGGGGGGAGATGGATATCCCGAGAGACGTTGGTTCGAAGGCTACCATCTGGGAGATCCATCCCACACTGTACTCCTACCTGCTATTACTACAACTCGGAAGGGGTGTGGGCTTTCACGATTGGACGTGTGCAAATACACCACGTACGCATACATAGAACGCGGAAGGGCGTTCTAAATCAACGCCGTATCTAAGGAACCCCGGTAGCGGACTCCAAAAGGGTTTGCGATATATCAGTTCCATCACATCGGGATCGCATTCGTCGTACTTCTGTTGGGCGTACATATGTGTGTGTGTGTGTGTTCGTGTCCCCCCCTCTCCCTCCTCCCTGCCGTGCCGCACGTATGTATAACACCTGTCGTGTGAATCCGGACCTGGACTACGTAGGAGAATGATCGACCAAGTTAGGCAGCTCGACGTGGCGCGACTCGTAGCGATGAGCCGTTTTAAGCGAAGCCGAAGTCTTACTGTGCACATTCTTGTGGCTGATTCGGCTGCGACAAGGTGGCTTTTGGCCCTGCGCCGTCCGCTGGCAAGTCCTGCAGCGGAAAAGGGTGCGAAGAGAGCCAGTCCACGATAGGGTCGGACCCTGAAAACGTGTCGTCAGGACAGGTCATGCGCGGGAAATTACCCGGCATCGGGCGTCCTGCCGTCAAGCCGGAGCAAACACAACGAAGAAGAAGCATGAGAAAGAAAACAAAGGAAATGAGTGCGAAGAAGAGAAGAAATAAGATGCGTAGATGCCGCTATAGGTGCTAATACGAGCCCGTAAACTAGGGTGTATCTCCTATTTTAGATTCCGAGGTTATAAGCGTAGGCAAGTTAGGTTCGTGATCAACAACAACAACAGCTGGCCGATACATACCCTTAACTATAATATATACATGCATTACTAGGTATGTTGCCCTCCCTATAAGACGGATGGGGTTATCTATAAGCAAAGAGGTACCCAAGGTAGCATGGTATACAGATATGGGTACGCATGTACGAAGTAGTAGGATGTGCGCATGGGGTTGGAGATACCGGGTGTGGCCGAATGTGACCAGATCTCTCGAATAGGAACTTGGGAGGAAGCCCTGGAGAAAGAAGAAGGGAGGGAGAGCAAGGAGAGGTAAACAATCGCGCGCGCACCCTTCGCTTCGTGTCAGTTCGTGACCCCCTCTATCTACTGCGGTACGACTTTTGTATCAAGTTCTCCATGTCCCACTTTCCGACAGTTCAGTTCTGGGATCTGCCCTCCGGTATAGCTTGGGCAGGGTGTGAGAGCGTGCCGGTGAGGTAAGGTAGGGGGTTGTAGCTTGGCCCCTTTTCCTCAACCACCCAATTCTAGCACGATTCCACATCCGGCACGCGGCATGCCCCCAGGAGAGGAAAAAGGGGGGGGGGAGGAAAAAGAGAGGACAGCCGCTTGGCGACGACGCTCATAGGGTGCCGAGGAGGAGACGGCCCACAAACGTTCATGCAAAGCCGTGCAGGTCGCCGGCCAACCTGACCCCAAGGGCTAATAATAATAATGATAAGTGTCAACAAGAGAAAGAAAAAAAATGAGGAAAATAAAAAAGGGTCGAGAAGGAGAGAAGGAAAAAAAAAAAAACAGGTGTTCGAGGTCAAGGACGCAGACAGGGGACAGCACGCAGCCACGCAAGCACCTTAGCAGTAAGTAGGCAGGTACCGCGCAACCGCGTCCAATGAGATGATACGCGTGGTGTTGCTGACGATGGTGACGGAGGTGATGCCGAAAAAACAGCTGCATGTCTGATATTGCTGCGAGGCTTACCTGATTTATTTTACGAGATCCCGGCGGCCCTGCCTGCAACCCCTTCACACGTCACGAGGCAAGACGGGGTAAGACAGAGGGCTTCGCACGGGGGGGCTTAGAGGAATGGAGAACCTCGAGACGAGCTCTGCGATGTTTCCTCCTGTTTGAAGCGAGCAGGTTGCCACTGCGTATGTGTGTACGTAGGTAGAGAAAGCGTAGAGAGTTGCGTACTGCACCTATGTAACGATAGCTGCGTGTAAACTCAGGATCGGATTGATACAGATAGCGGATCCAGGCCTACACACGTAATAACTGTCTTGCCCTTGGCGAGCCACGACGGACGAAGGGACAAGTTACAGACATAAAAACACAGACAGTGGTGCCGGGTTCAGCCCAAGTTTGAGAAATGGAGGCGGGTCACGTAGGATTTGACCGACATACCTTTATCAAATTATAAAATAAACTACTCATAAATCAGAGAGGTACAGAAGCAGAAGGCAGAGAGGGGGAGGGAGTGTGTGCGCATTCACCCGGCAACCATCTCGTGACGCTGTCTGTATGTATACCTACGTAGACGTGCCTAGATGGGAGGTACCTAAAAGGCAGGCATCGTGGCGGTTTACTTGTGTGGAGGCCGCATCAGAAGAACTGAGGAACCGCGTTTACACAACCCCCATGTCCCGTGCTAGGTACCTCTACACCTATATTACGACGTATTATAAGTGCGTCGGTGAGATAGAAGATCTAGAGGGAGTTCGATGCACGTTGGCGCATGCACATGTGTAAGCAGTGCAGCGTGAGCAGAAACCAGGACCTGCAAGACAACAATGACAACGACAGCAGCATGTACGCTAGGTACCTAGTCCTAACGTCGACCGCAGATCTCTCTCATTATCAGAGGAGAAGATGCGAGCTCCGGACCGGTGATGCTAACGGTTTGATGTGCGACGGTCGGCTCTGATTCGCCTGCTCCCTCCCTCCCCGCTCTCTCACACCCTCTCATAACCAGCCAGCCCGGCAACGGCTCGCTCGCCAGGTCCACAGGTGCAACGGTCAGAGTCTCAACGGTTCCGGCGAGAGGAGGTCTAGGTATGGAGAAGGGGGATGAGGAGAAGGAGGAACAGGAAAAAAAAGGAGAGAGAGAAAGAGAGGAGGACGGGAGCCAAATAAGGATCGAGACTGAACTTAGCGGGAATTGCTGCACCAGCTGCATTAGCATGAGGCTGGCTAGAAGGCAGAGCACATAAGATCCGACGCCGTCATCCCACCGCATCGAGGTGTACACACATTCACTTGGGCGTAGATCAGTTGAAGGGGTTTGCCGGGTCGGCTGCCCGGGTGCGCGTATCTGGACAATACTAGAGCATCTGCTGTTGATACCTGCCATCTCGCTGACCGACATCATCGGTACCCGCGCACACGCATGTGAAGAAGACATACATACCACTACGTAGTATGGACGCGGTGGATTGGGAGGTAAGGTCAGGATGATAAAACGGGGTGTACTCATACGCACTGACGACGACAGCGGCGAGGATGGAGACGGACGTGCCTAGCGGTGCAGAGGAGAGAGAGAGTCGTCTAGACAGAGCCAGTGCTAGCTAGCCACCTACCTACCTCTAGCAGGCGGTGGAAGTTTATAGGGGGTCGTAGGCGCATTGATCGTATTACATTAGGTACTTAGGTACGTAGGCAACATAACACCTCCTCTATGAGTATATCCCTAATAATTCTGTCCGACCACGGCTTTCCTATCTGTATCTATCGATAGGTTAGTATTTAATTCTACGTGTAGGTATATAGATATATACCTGGATATTTCGACAACGTCGGAGGCGGTTTTACAGACCTATGGTGGCTTGTAGGTATCTGACAAGAGAGTCATGGCTTGTGTGCGAATTGAAACTCGTTTCAAGAGGGGGATAGTAGGAGAAGGAGGAGGAGGAGGTGGAGGTACCTGCACCACACTAATTCAGCGTGCGCTCTCGCATGGGCCGCCTCCCGGAAATACCTTAGGTACCTCCTCTTATGTAGGTACATGTGGTGGATGCATCTTGGCCACATCTGCACCTTGCCTATCCAGGTATACTGGATCTACCTGGCCTGAAAGTGCATGCCTGGTAGGTCAAGCCTAGCTTGCTAAAACAGCTAGATTAGGTACCTGGCATCAGACCTCTACCTTAGGTTAGGTACCTAAGAGGTAGGCAGATACCTAGGTACAAGGCTCGATGCCACCTATCCCTCAGGTGGATCCCTTGGGTACCTCCTCCACGGCTGCCTACGAGGGAGGTACATTAGATACCTAGGTACCTACCTCCTAGACAGGCACAGGCACTCAGGCATCGTGAACAAGGGCCATCTGCCTTCACAACAGGTAGGTAATACCCGATGGGCAGGATGTATGTACGCACGTACAGCTGGGGAGGAGGCCGTAGGTGAGGTACATCCCAGCTACTAGGAGGTACATCTGCCACGGGCTCACAATTGGCTGGCCGTTGCGGTCTGGCCTAACCCTGTCGTCTTCCCTTCTTTTCGCTAGCCCGCAAAGAGAGATACAAAGACACACACACACACAGAGAGAGAGAGAGAGAGAGAGAGCGGTCCTGTGGGCCGGTGGGGACCCATTTCGGCCTCTTATTTTCCTTTTCCTGGATGAAAACAAATCAACCAGCCCTTTTCGTGATCCTCCTCCCATTTGCCAGCAGCCAGCAGCCACTGTCGGTCAACAACCACACCCATATCCACCACCGCCGCCATCACCACGCACACCAACACACCCACACACACTCACGCACCACAACCGCTAGTTATACCATTATACCACTAAGCTGCCTCTCCACTACTTTCTTCCCACTTTGTACCTTTTCCCTCCCTTCTTTTTTTCTTCCTTCATTTTTTTTTAATTGCCCTCGTTATCCACGGCAGTCTCTGCCGTTCCCTTCTCCGCCTATCCATCTCTTCTCGGAATGCGGTAGCCGTGTCGCCTCGCTCAGCTCCTTAGCCGGACTGAGATTGGACGCGAGCCTCGAGTCCTTCCGAGGGGGAGAGACAACTTCGAAAATTGAAACCCCGTGCCCGCTTTCGCCTTCGTGTTTGGGCAGGGGGACCGACGAAGACCCGTCCCATCTGTCGCCCTCGGCTGCCCTGATCTCATCCGTTTTCGCCCTGCCACTCCGACCTACGCATACCCACCAGATACCTCCCTATGATTAGGGACCACAAGGCTCCTGCTGGCCCGAGACCAGCTGCGCAATCCCCGACTCGATCGTGCGTCCCTCCACTCATCCTTGCCTCCCCCGAACCGCTGTCTGGTCGTGAGAGGCCGTGCCGCTGCCTCCTCCCCGTCGGATCGCTGCTAACTCCACCTGTCTTCGCAGGACCAAGGAGAACCTCAACCCGAGAAGCCGGCCCAACAACGAACCAATGCTTCATGCCTCCTCCTCGAACAACCACTCGCTATTCTCCTTTGGTCGGAATGGGGCCCCGAGCGACCTAGGCGATAGCACCACGAGCTCCTTCGAATTCCTGCCCTCCGTCAGCTTCGATGATCTCCAGAGCAGTCTCGAATCCGCCTCTACCGAGTTCAAGCTCACCCAGTTTCCTCTGCCATCCGGCCACGGGAGCATCCTCGACGAGAAGCCCTCGGACATCATCATGTCTGGTCAGCTGCCCGGTATTACCCAGAATGGCGCCACCATCCGTGCGGTCGGTCAACCGAACGCCACCACGAGCGTGAGCGCGAGCGCGGGCACGGGCACCGCGACTAGACCAGGGAGGTCTGGCTCCATCCTGAGGAGGCCGAGCACGTCTTCGAATCGCCAGGTTAGCAACGGCTCTGTCGTGTCTGCCTCCTCCAACATCATCGACGCGCCGACCGCGCCTGCTGCGACGAGGACCCGCCGCCACCAGAGCCATTATCCCCCGGTTTCCAGCACCAACATTGGCAAGCCGCCGAGGAGGTCGATTGGCTCGGGTGTCATCGACGCCGACTACGGCAACCGGCCAGGACAGAAGCGACGGCCAAGCCTGATATCGAACGCCTCCGACAGGACCGCAACCGAGTCTATCCGGGCCTCGATGGAGATCATGGCAGGGGCGTCGAGCGAGAATGCAGGGGGCTTCGTGAGCTCCCGGGCCACCAAGGCTCGTTCGACACAGTCCGCACCTAGGACATCAGCAAACCTATCTAATACTATTAGCACCGGTGCCAGCACCAGCAATACCGTCGCCCCCGATCAGAACCGTGTTTCGACCGCGTTTCCCCGGTCGCCGAGGGCGAACAAGGGCTCTACGCCTAATTCGGCGAGGAGGATGTCTGTCATGCCTGGTACCCACGGCTCTCACGCCACCGGGCTCGGTGCCAGAACCATCTCGCCAACAGACGCGCAGCGGATGAAGCGTCTCTCGATACACCCGTCCCAAACGCAACCGCAGAATACAGAGCCCCCCACAGCGCCCGCAGATGCTCGCCCTCAGTCGCGGTCGCCCTCCATGATCCCTCGGAAAACATCGACACCGTCGTCTCTGAGAACGACCCCGGAGGTCACCACCCGGAAGTCTTATAGCTCGGGGTTGTCGGTCGGCTCGACAAACAGTCTAAACACCCACCGGACTTCGACCGGCTCGATACAGAGAGCAACGACACAGGCCGGCGCATCCTCGAGACTACCCGCCCCTAAAACTGTCGCTTTACACAATCCACCCCCCGGGGACGAAGACGAAGACGTGCCTCCCGTTCCGGCAATCCCGAAAGCCTACGAGTCGCCCAAAGATTCACCGGCGGAGTTATCATTCCTCGAAAAGCGAAAGTCGACTTATACGTTCGATTCAAGCAGCATCCACAGCAACTCGACGGGGACACCATCGGGCACGCCATCCCTTGAGCCGACGAAGAAGGACCAACGCAAGTCGACGGTCCGGAAGCACGCGCCGCGGAAGACCCTCGCGGGCACCGCATCCGATATCGAGCAGAAGCTTCACGGAAGCCAATCCAAGAGAAATCTACAGCCGCTACGGCTCCCGCCGCTCACTCTCGGCCCGTTAAGTATCCCTACTACGGTCAAGATCGAGGCCCTGCGGGACCACGGAGACGACGGAAAGTTGAGCCCGCCGCTGTCGCGGTCGATTGCGAAGACGCCTACTACGCCTATGACTGCTTCGAAGGGTTCGTTCTTCTCGCGGGTCCGTACCGATAGAGATGCCGAGAAGTCAATGCCTCGGAGCAGCAGCTCTATCCACCACGGCCGGTTGGAAAGCCCGGGCGGAGGAAACGCCACAAGCTCGTCCGAGTCACCGCTCGGCTCCCTATCCAGGAAGCAACCTCACAAAGCCAATATCTCTCCTTTCCTCTCCTCGTCCCTTCCGAAAAACCACGATATCCTGGGCATCCAGACGCCCAAGGCTAAGACCGCCGAAGATGTCCATCGTACCATCGCTGTCGACACGGCTATCGAAGCGAGGCCTCATCAGAAACCATCCGGCCCACGCGCGCAGAAACCGACGAAGTCGTCTCACAAATCTCCCACGCCCCGGGCCAGCCCCGAGGAGCCCCCGACGCCGTCTTCGATGAGCAACCTGAGAAGGAAGCTCAGCCTATCTTGGAAGCGAAGCGCCTCGAAGAGCAGCCACCACGCGCCTGCCGCGTCGTTTGATAAGGCTGCTGAGAAACACACGCGGCAAGACGGCATGCCGCCCCCCCGGATACCGATCTCGGCATCCACGAATCTGAATGCGACGAAGGCGTCCAGCCCGAGCCACAGCACTAAACCTGTAGGGACATATCTCGAGTCGAGGCGCAGGAAGAGCTCCGCGTCTAGCTTGACGACCATGTTCGCGGACAAGAGCCGCGTTGATGCCTGGACGAGCTCAAAGAAGGAGATTGGCAACAACTCGATGGTCGAAACTTCTTCGCAACCCCCCCGAACCTCGTCCATGCAAAAGATCCTGCGCCCGCGGCCGTCGACTGCCTCGATTAAGCGTCAGGACTCGTTCACCGCCGAGTTCGACAAGGATGATGTGGTGGCTGAGGACGAGATGAAGAGACTAGCCATGAGGAGGAAGGAAACTGAGATGGCGGCCCGGACATTGGATGCTCTCCGTAAGAGGGCTACGCCTAAGGAGCGCGTCGGACCCCACGAGGCCATCCGGATAGCGATCCTGAATATCTACGAAAAGGGCGAGATTGTTGATTACAACGACGTCTACTTCTGCGGAACACAGAACGCACACAAGGTCGTGGGCGACCTAAGCTCGAGCCTGCCAAACTTTGGATACGACGACGAGCGCGGCGACTACTCGATCATCCCCGGCGACCATCTCGCGTACCGCTACGAGATCGTCGACGTGCTCGGAAAAGGCAGCTTCGGCCAGGTGGTGAGGTGTATCGATCACAAGACCGGCGTGCTTGTCGCCGTCAAAATCATCCGAAACAAGAAGAGATTCCACCAGCAGGCCCTTGTCGAAGTCAACATTTTGCAAAAGCTTCGCGAATGGGTAAGTCTACGATCGTCACTTTTCGCTCCCGGAGATTTGGCTAACGGAGAAATTCCCCCAGGACCCCCATAACAGGCACAGCATGGTCAACTTCACTCACAGCTTCTATTTCCGAGGGCACCTCTGCATCTCGACGGAGCTGCTCGACATGAACCTCTACGAATTCATCAAATCCAACGCGTTCCGCGGGTTCTCGATCAAGCTCATCAGACGATTCACTAAGCAGATGCTTAGCTCTCTCACCGTGCTGAAACAGCACAAGGTGATTCATTGCGATCTAAAACCAGAAAACATCCTCCTGCGGCATCCCATGCACTCGGAGATCAAGGTGATCGATTTCGGCTCGAGCTGTTTCGAAAACGAGAAGGTGTATACTTACATCCAGTCGCGCTTCTACCGGTCTCCCGAGGTCATTTTGGGAATGACCTACGGGCTACCGATCGACATGTGGAGTTTGGGTTGCATTCTTGCTGAATTGTACACAGGCGTTCCTATATTCCCCGGAGAGAACGAGCAGGAGCAGCTAGCTTGTATCATGGAGGTGTTCGGGCCACCCGAGAAGCATCTTATCGAGAAGAGCACGAGGAAGAAGATCTTCTTCGATTCCCTGGGCAAGCCGCGCTTGTCGGTGTCGTCCAAGGGTAGGAGACGACGACCGTCCTCCAAGACGCTCCAGCAGGCGCTCAAATGCGACGACGAGCCATTCCTCGATTTCATCGCCCGCTGCCTGCGATGGGATCCGGACCGCCGCCTCAAGCCGGAGGAGGCAATCCGTCACGAGTTCATCACGGGCCAGAAAACCTCGGTCCCCGTGGCTAGGCCGCGCGAGTCTTCGCCGGTCAAGCGTCACAATACCATCTCGACGCCGCGACCGCTACCCGACCCGCCGGGGGCGAGCAAGGCTGGCCCGAGCCTGCGCCCTCGGGACACGACCACCAGCAGTCCTCTCAAGCCGGCCCCCGGGTCGAGACGGACCTCGGCCTTCACCAGCACCACGGCCACCACGGGCGCAAAAAGGACCAGCGGGGGCACGAACGCAACAGTGCCGTCGGCGGCGGTAGGAAACAGCAACCTTCCCCGCGTCGCCGGCCGAACGGCTAGCGGCCGACAGGATCTGGCGTCGGTGGGAGCTAACGTTGCTATGAGTCGACGAGCCTGAACGAATTGAAGCATCCCTGGCGGCGTATGGTACGACGGGTTTTAGGGAAAAGGGGAGAGGAGGAGGGAGGGACTTACTACTATTAGCATTGAGTCATTTAAGCATGTGTTACGAGATCCATTGGGCATTCATTTCCATTTTCCGGTCGCATAACCCAGCGCGGGCAAGCTGAACTGTGGGTTTTATAGATTTGATTCCGGAAGTCGGTGCGATATCTGCGGGAGGAGGAAGGGGAGCGTAGGGGAGGGAGGGGGAGGACTGCGCAACCTGGACAGCGGGTGTCGTCGATCCTATCTATGTCATCCCTTGCCGACCCCTGTCCCTTGTTCGTCCGCTCTCTCCCTCTTATCTCGATCTGCCTCTTGGCATCGTCCCCCGTTATATACAACAACATCCACGCTGTAGGAGGCTCAGCCGGCTCTCGACAACCTACCTATACGCATAATGACGATCACACGCACCGCACCGCACCGCACCGCACCGCACCGCACGCATACCATCCACACATACTCTACACACATACATCCATACACATAAAACCGGCCATGTTCTCTCAGAGTCCGAGGGGAGGGGGGTCCTGTTCCCGACATGGTATCCGTTCGGCGGGGGGGGGAAAGGTCGTCTTTGTCATCGTCGTCGGCGGCGTTATCAACCTCTCCCGGGAGGCACTATCTGTTTCTTCGGGTGTATGTACTATACTATTTTATAATGACGAGGTGGGGGAGAGGGGCACACTCCCTCGGAGAGAGAGAGAGCCTCCCCGCGCAGAATTGAGGACGATGACCCTCGCGAAGTCTTTTCTCTTTTTTTTTTGGAAATTGTCCTGCTGCTCTACGAGAGCGTCCCTTCCGCTCCCTTCTCCGACCGGGGCCTGGCGGGTTGTCCTGTTCCGTATACGGAATGGATCTGCCTCCCCTTCCCCTCAGGGCCGTCTGCCGTCCCTTGTCGACGCCTCGTGTCCTTTTCTCCTCCTTCTGCCTTATTGCCGGTGAGGAGGTGCACAGGTCACTAGAGGGAGGAGGGGGGGGGGGGCGGCAGACGGTGTCGGGATAGCGGGGCTGTGCGGGAGAGCGAGACAAGGACAGCGCGGGGGGGGAGCGGAGAAGGGAGAAGGGAAAGAAAGAAAGACCGGCCGAGGTTTTGCAGGCGAGGGACGACGGAACGGACCGAGAGGGGAAGGACAAGCGCGCAGCGGGCGCAAGTCGGCGCGAAGACGGGCGCGGGGGAGCACTGCGTACCGACCGATGCGGACACCCGCGCCTGCTCTCGCCCCGGTCTGGTCTCTCTAGCCCAGTCCGGCGCAGCGCGGTCTCGCGCACGCAGTGCACGGGGCGGTCGTAGATAGGTGGGAGACGTCTGCACAGACAGGCGGCGAGGACGGCTGTCTTTCCCGTCCTCGGCCCTCTACGCGTCCGTACACCCCGACCGTCCTCGGGCTTAGGCAAGCGCCATGAGCCGGGGCGGGCCGCGAGGCGTGTGCTGCTGCTGCTGCGGAAAAGGGGGGGGGGGGGCAGACGGCGGGATGCGCGGCAGGCGGGCAGGCAGGCAGGCGAGCGTGTAGAGGGCCGGCCGGGCGTAGAGCGGGTGGCGGGTGGCGGGTGCGTGGAGGTGGTCGGGGGGTAAGAGAGGGAGCGGTGGATGGTAGATAGGACTCGCGGGGGGGGGGAGCGTGAGGAGGCTAGATGGGGGAGAGAGGAAGAGAGAGGGGGGGGAGAGGGAGAGAGAGGAGAGGAGAGGGAGGGAGGTCAGGCTCTACCTCCGTGCGCCTTGCTCGTCGCAGGTATAATCCGCTTTATACAGTGTGTATGCACACACGCGCCCGTAACGCACGCGATTCTCGCTATCACCTGGTTTGATCTCGATCTACATGTGCAGACAGCGCCGTGCTCTTCCCCCCCTTTTCTCGGACACAGGCTGTTGCTGGCTGTTTGGCATGGCCTCGCTGTTCTTCTCTTCTATCCTGGCCCACTCCCCTTTCTGCCGCTCTCCGCTTATCTCCGGTACCGCCATCTCCTCCCTCCTCCGGTTATCTTCACCCATCCCCATTGCCGCCTCGTTGCCCTCGTTTGCCCGCTCACTCACGTACGTGTAGACCTCTTCGCCCGGAACTTCACCCCCAAGACCACCCCCTTTCGCCTTGCCGCCATAGTCTGCCTGGCCACGGGGGCTCCGGCTAGCTGCTGTATCGCGCAGCGAACGCCTGCCCCCCCGAGTGCGATAGTGGCAGTGTGGGCTGGCTTGAGTAGGGGGGTATGTACAACGGAGCCGGGCGAGCCACGACACGGCAAGAGGTCGCGTGTGCAACAGAAGAAGAGAGAGAGAGTATCAAGATAGCGTGGATGTAGGCGCGCGATGCTGCGTAACATGCAGCCCTATCCAGTGGAATCTATGCACGCGACACGACGTATGCGGATACCTACACAGCGTCGCCGTGCATACGCATAGCATAGCATGCCCCCGCCCCCCCCCCCCCCCGCGGCCAGCGAGCTACGCGATGCCGACGGACGTCCACGCCGACCGACCGACACGCGCGTTCCAGCGACGGGGACGACCGAGCGGGAAAGGGGAGAAAAGGGGGGGGGCCGGGCAGGGCAGACAGGTCGGTGGACAGGCAGACCCGTCGCCGCAGCAACACATACCTACCCACGCCCTGCCTGGACACCGGGACGTACGCTCTCCCGCATCGCCTCACCACGCCCCAAAAAGGGGGGGATGTTCCAAGCCGCGGCCGCGAGTTCGCCAAAGACGGCACCTCGCGCCGCGAGCGGTCGGTCGGCGCATCGGGGCAGACGCGCTCACGTGAGCGCGCGGGCGATGCGCAGCGAGCTGCCGAGGGCTGGTTACACGTCAGAGAGCGAGGGGGGGGGGGGGGGCGGGGGGAAGAAGAAGGGGAAAAAAAAAAAACAGGTATAGGGTGCGACGTAGCGGCATAGGCGCACACGCGCGAGGCGAGACGTGGCGCGAGGAGGCGAGCGGTCGGGCCGGCCGGCGCAGTCTGCATTTCTCTCTCTCTCTCTGTCATTGTGAGCGTGTGTGTGGAGCCGTCTACGTAGAGGGGGGGGACAATTCCCAGGGGGGAGAGCGAGGCCGACAGGCCGGCCGCGGAGCGGCCCGTGAAGGTGCGAAATAGGCCGCCCAGGGCAGCGCAGGCGATTCCGGGTCCGGATGGAGGCCGCGGACGCCTCGGCGAGAAGGGAGGGAGGGAGAGAGGCGTGAGCGTCGGAGAAGCCGGTGGTAGGTTGGGTAGGGTGGGCGGGGTAGAGGGAGAGCGAGAGGAGAGGAGGGGGTGTATAGAATGGAGGTTGTGGAAAGGAGAGGTCTGGGATAGGGAGGGAGGTAGTAGGGGTTAATGCGATGGATGGGATGTTACCCCGGTTACGTCCGGCGTGCTGCCGCGATATACACATGCGTAGGTGACTGCATTCTCGGTATCTATAGGTGCATATACCCAATATGTATATATACATATGTATATACCTATACGTCCTATGCTACCTACCGAGGTGCATCTGACTGCATAGGCGTATAATATGCAGACACCCGAGAAGGCGTATCTCTATCGCCCTTCTTCTTCTTCCGAGCTTCCCTACCCCAACCTACCCTGACCCAACTACCTACTCCCTCCCTCCCTCCTAATCCGAGGCACCTCGCAACGATAGGTAGCACCTCTCCCCTCTGTCATGTCAGCGCCAGCAGCAGGCGAGAGGGTTAACCATCCGCCCGGCGAAGTCCAGCGCGAGTCATCCCGTCTGCCGTGCCACGACACCACCGCGCGTCGCCCCCAATGGCGTCGTAGCGGGCTCCCACCACCCTCGGTCTCTTATTTTTCTTCTTCTTCTTCTCCCCTCCCCCCTTTTCCCCTCGCCTCACCTCCCCCTCCCCCTTACCTCCGCCGCCTTACTGTACCTTACCTTACCTTACCTTGCCGATACAGGTAGATTCTATTTTACCCGGAATACCTGCCCTCCAGTCTCCCCCCCCTGAACCCGTGCTACCTCATACCTGCATCGTCGTCTTACTCCCTTCTTCCCCCCCCCCCCCGGTCTCGCTTCTTTTTTCTGCTTCTTACCCTTCAGCCCTACGCCCACGCATCTGTCGTGCCTACTCGTAACCCTCCTTGTCCTCCCCCCTTCCCCCCAATCTCTCTGTTTGTCTGTGTCTGTGCCTCTCTCACTCCTCCTCTCCGTCTCCCTCTCACTCCTCCGCCTACGCCCCCAACTATCTCCCCTTCTTCTCCCCCGTCCTACCTCGGCCTCGGCCTCGCGTCCGTTTCAGTCAGCCCGCGACGGCATCTTTCGGCGCACAGCCATAGCGAACCTGGTCGCGCCTGGTTATTTGCGCGGATACGTATAAATAGCATGTGCTCGTAGAATGCCCGCATGCGTTAGAAAATTCCGCCTCGGTTCGTCGTCTATACAGAGCTGTATGTTTGGTGGCGAACCGGCCCCAGCCCTGCTTGACTTACATATATCACACCCCGAGGCGAAGGCGAGTCCGAGTTGGTGTTACCGTTGCCACCTTGTACTCTGCCCCGTACTTGTCATATCCGTATGTGTTTGGTAGATCTTATCTCGATCACTCCCAGGTCTCAGCCCTAGGCTTATTTTTCCCGCGCTGCTTGTTCTCGATGGAGTTCCCCATCACTCCATCTCACACCCCCCTTTTCGGAGAATGAAAAATACATGAATATAAAAGAAATATATACTTTTAACCCCCCTCTCCCAGTTCAGCCTTACGGATATGGGATGATGGACGTGTCTCGGTGCTACCTGGTCATAGATTAGGCAGGTTTCACTGCGCACTCACGCGCATATACGCTTGCGCTGCATACCTCCGTGCTTCTTCGTCCGTGCTCGCTTCACTCTTCCTCCTCTCTTCTTCGGCCTCGTTCATCTCTCCACCCCTTCCTCGCCCCGCGCCGCTTCAGTAGCCGAATGCCCGTCATCTATTACCGGCCCACTCGCCGATGATGTGCCGGCTTACGTGAATATACGCGGCTTCTGTGCCTGTCTACGCTCGGAAAATTCTCTCCGCATATCGCGTTGCGAGCGCTCGGGATGCGTGGCGGTGCGAGCCCGTAGAACGACGGACGATCCGGGACCGGGACGTCATTTCTCCACCGGCCTTTCTCGTGTCGGCCAGCGCCTGCCACTTAGCAACTGCGCTGACGACTGAGCAGGAAGCAAAGCCCGAGATACCACAAGACGGGCGTATCTGACCGGCCGACCTCATCGCCTAGGCGGCGTCGCGTGTAAGGACTCGGATGCGGCCAGGTCACAATCTTCTTTTGTCGGGTGGATGCACCATCTCGGGCCGTGGATAGCGACGTGAGCGAGGCGAGCGATGCGACTGGCGTTACGCATGTACGAGATCCCTCTGGCTACGTCTAGCCCCTCCTTAAGAGTAGTCTTCGCGTTTTGGGAAGAAAAAAAAAAGCTGCGACGACGTGGTGTCGCTCCCACCCAGCCTACTATGTCCAACAGACAGCCACCGATGATGGCTCCCACCAAGAATCCCGGGTGGCCCTCGTTTCTGGTTACCCATTTTAGCAGGGGCGGATGAAGGGGAGGGGAAGACGAGGGAACTCATAAACCCGATTGGGGAGGGGGCCAGAACGCTGCCTTAGCCGTCTGCGCGCCGTCTGCTTCTGACAACACGCCGTATCTTGCACTCCCGCTACGCTTCAGCCGGGCATTGGCAAATAATACCCGGCCGACATCTTCCCTCCGGCAACCTTCACTTAAGAGCTCTGCCCTCTCTCGACGCCGATAACTCCGTCGCTGGGTACCTTCGGGCACTGGTATACGCGCCTCGACCGGACGTTGACCCGTTATCTATCCCTACCTGTCAGTATTGCACAACAACCCTCCATACGTCTACGGGCGCGAGGTGCCATCCTTCTCATATTGCAACTATCACGTAGCGTATTAACGCAGGTGTCCGCTCCCTGCGAGGTAGTGGAGCACGAGAGACGCATGTAACACACCGACAAGACAGCCCGCTCCCGTATTGGTTCGGGCGTCGGTATAAAGTCCGTAGCCACGACCATTACGATGGAGGCGAGTGGGAAAAAAAA